TGAATATATTATACAAGGCATCGCCACTTCTACTAGTTCATCTCAAGGAGTAGGTATACCAGTCTGGCAAACTTGGAATTATCACGGAATTTTATAGATCTAGAAATATCACGGAATTTCTCAAGTTTTCCTGGATTTCTTTCAAATTATAATCGATTATTGACAAGGTGCAGCAACTCACACAATTAGTTATCATATTAATAATCACATTTCCATTTCTTCAGTCCCTACTGAACCAATTTAATAATCACTGCAAACAGGGATCTCGGTAACTATTAGAAACAGAAAATCTTGGGCAAGTGGGCAAAATGGTTTTTAATTTTAATGCTTATCAACATACCACTAAGAGATTCAATTCAATTCCTAATGATTTGGATTTTATTTAACAAACACTGAAAATCTGCCCTTTTTAAAAATCGGTTTTAGTTGTCTAATTGGAAAAATGTTTGAAGCTTTCTTTAAATGTGTGATTTGTTTGATACCACAATAACAATTATTCCATTTTAAATAAAATCCAATATAACAACCATACGAAAAGGAAGTTATTTTCTTGAAAATATTGGTTAAGAGAAGAAGCAAACTATGCCAGTGGAAAAAACAAAAAATTTCATCAGAATGGTTCAAGAATTTTTGTAAGTCGGACTACAAAATGTAATTACATCTAAATTTTAAACAGAGCGACTGTCACCAGTGGAATGTTTTCCAAAAGCTTCAGTATCTCTAACAATTCCTGAAATTCTAATGATATATTAATTGCTTAAAAGTTAACGCCAAGTAGAGAATTACTTTGTTTACTCTATTTTTAAAGGTGTTAAGCTCAGTCATATAATTTCAATTTTTTTTTATCGTCAAATGAAGTCAATGTTTCTCGATACCAGGATGCAAAAGATATCTAATCCAACTCCTAACTGTATAATGTTTTAATTAATCACAGTTTGCATATGCTTTTTTTAAATATTTAGAAGTAATCTATAACTTTATATAATCAAATCAATTTTTAATTATTTTAGTTTGGCGCCCATAATAAATATTTTAAACGCTCGTTTGCAGCCGGGCTAATTCGTGGCGTCATTTAGTGTGGTCGAAAATCGATAAGATGGACGACGTTGACAGGAGGGCTCGACAGCGTAAGCATAGTAAAGAGAGCTCAGAGAGAAAGTCAAATTTACTTTCCTTCGAAGTTCTCTTAATGCGCATTTCTTTAGACCCGGAAATTGTAGACTAAACTGCAGGCGGCCGAGAAACAAGTTGTGTTCTCGGTAGCACTAAATAACGTCACAATGCGTTATTAATCACGTGACAAAATAATGTTTTAGTTGCTGCTGTAGATTATAAATGTATGCAATTCAAAAAAATAAGGTGCGTTGTCTTTGATCAAAATTTAATGTACACCCTCAGTCATCTAGTAAACATTACTTTTAATGTGCACATCACATTTTCTAGCAGAAATAATATAAATACAAAATTTACTCATAATTTAGCGTTTCGTTTTCGAAAAATATAACGAGCGTTCAAATAAAAACATGGTCAAGTTGGTTCTGAAAATTTGGACGTAGGGCGTAGCGTATAGCAAATGAACTTAAACGTCATCTGTCACAGCGCTATATCGCCGCTATCAATTTGAATATTTTCGTTTTAAAAAGCGTTTAAAATGGTGTTTTCTCAAGAACAAAAAGTGTTTATCATAGAGTCCTACTTTAGAAATGGACGCAAGATTGATGGAATATGGAAGTATTCTATTGAGGAATGTTTCATAGAATTTCAAAATCAATTTCCCGGCGTTGTTGAGTACAAAATTTTTCAAAGTGCAGTTCAGCGTTGTGTTAATGTTTTTCGTGAAACGGGCAGTGTAACAAGAAAAGAAGGAAGCGGCCGACCTAAAAAGCGGACTGAAGAATTAAAAGAAAATGTCCAACAAATAATGGAAAATTCGCCAAGAACTTCTGTACGTGTTTTATCATAAATGGTGAGAGTATCAGTCGGTACCTGCCACACAGTGTTAAAAAAAGATTTGCGTTTGTTCTCATATCGTTTAACTTGTCAGCAAGAACTTCATGAAGTTGATTTTCCGCGACGGGCTGTATTTTGTGAATGGTTTTTAAACAACTGCGGTGAACTTCATAATATCACCTTTATTTCTGATGAAGCCTGGTTTCATTTAAGTGGTTACGTAAACTCACAGAATATGAGAATGTGGTCTTCTGAAAAACCAGATAACTTTTTTGTCGAGGGCCCTCTACACGCTCAAAAAATTGGAATTTGGTGTGCTCTCAATCGAAGGAGGATTTATGGACCTATTTTTTTTAATGGTACTCTTAACTGCGCAAAGGTATAGAGAAGAAATTATCGCTCCTTTTGTTAACCAGCTGGAAGAAAACGAAATTACAAACTTTTACTTTCAACAAGATGGCGCAAGGGCACATACGGCAGGCGAGACGATGAATATGTTGAGGGAAGTTTTCCAAAATCGACTAATAAGTCTCAATGCTGAACATGAATTTCCACCGAGGTCATTTGATATTACGCCGTGTGATTTCTTTTTGTGGCCTTACCTTAAAAACACTATTTTTGAACTGCCTGTTCCTGATTTAAACCATCTGCAGGCTCGACTTATAGACAAGATTCGTGAAATTAACAATACCCCGAGCATCTTAGAAAATGTCTTTAATTCTTTGAGGAACAGATGTGAAAAGTGCTTGGAACAAGGAGGGGGACACTTTCCGCAGCTCCTTTAATTGTTTGTTATTGTTATTACGATTATTCTTTAAAATAAAGTTATATAGTCATTAACGTTATTGAAACTGACAGCTGCTATACAGCTCGTTGAGAAATGAGGTTAAGTTGGTCGCTATAAGCTACTCCCTACGTCCAATGTGTCAGAGCCAACTTCGACCACGTTTTTATTTGAACGCTCGTTACATTTCCGTGACAAAATACCGTTCACGTTTGAAAACATTGGATTAGATGCTTTGCCAACAATTTGCCGCCCTAACCTCATTATAAATGAAAGCTGACATACAATGACTCGTCAGAAACTGGAATAATTTGTCATGCATACAACAGCAGTCAGCAGATCATTGTATAGCCAAACAATAATACTATGTACCAATAGTTACGAGCAGCATTCGAAAAGCTGTTTCTACATTACTTAATCTAGACAGCTTAGAATTGAAATTCAATTGCTGTTGTCACCACAACGATTCGATTGTGCGGTAAAAACAATGGATTCTTCACTGCATCTTGTCGTGTACATTAACAAATCACGGTGGTTCAGATTCTAGGAATTGTATGGCCAGTTTAAAGATAAATTAGTGTAATCCAAACATATATAATTTACGTAACAAATCGCCGTGATATTAACAAAAATGATGTCATACAACAAATTAGATAGTAAATATGTATATTGGTTGTTATGTCGACGGAGAACAGGTTGTTAAAATGAAGAGTGACAGTACGTATACAAACGAAATCTCCGTGACTTGTTAGATTGTTTTAAATATAGGCGTGACTCAAACACACGGTGTATCAATTGGGAATGGGCGATTTATCACGAAATGGGCATATTTTCAGTTTCCGTACGTTTGATATAAAATTATATTGTTTGCGCACGTGTCTGGTATAGACGTTACGGCTTCGGACGCGAATGCTTGGCATAGTTTGGCTCTTAATACGAGAACCGAAGTACCAAATTTAACATAAACACTCTTCACTTCAAGTATGAAATTGAATAAACGGGTCAAAGTCGATGAATCAACGTCCTAAATTGATATATTTCATACCGTAACTTATTAAAGGGATAGTTTTTTAGCGGTACGATATTTATAACTATACAGTGCTCATCTTTACTTTCTTTATACCTATTTATAGATCTTTTCAATTATTAAAGTTTCGAAATTAGCGAGTTGAAATCAAAGTAGTTTCCGACATATTCTAATTGGCCTTCACCATAAGATAGCCTGTATATTCTTTCAACTATTCAAACCGAGTCGATAACATTTTTTAATGTGGACCAATGTGGACAGACCACGTTTGCCCTTAAACTTTTGTTCAGGGACAGCAAAAAAAAACATGTTAACGATTGGATTTATTTACGGGCACATGTTTTTGTTTTTGCGTAGAGCTTTTGTTTATTTCTATGTAAAAATTGTTTGCGGATCTGGACTAGACTTAAAGTAAAAAAAAGTTGTTTCTAAAATTTCACTTACGCTTTAAAAAACTAGTAAGCAAATCCAAAACCAAATACACATTCGGTGCATAGAGCCGCTTTTTTTCCAAATCGCATTCGACATGTAGTTACGATCCTAGTAACCAACTCGGTTATAAATACATTGCATCCAATTATTGCTCAATATTTTTTGCTAGTCAGTTCTAGTTCTGTTCTGTGACAGGATTCAGTGCAAGTCATCCATATCGGAACAAATAAAAGTATCGCGTGATAGACGTAAGTGCTGAGAACCTAAACCTTACTAACAATCGATCTTCCATTTAAGAAAATTCGCTCCAATTATGACGCGACCTTTATTTTTTTTTTACAACAATAAACCCAACAATACGTCGAAGTGTGGTACTGGTCATGATTCTGCTAAATTAGGAGAAAACGAGCTCCTGCCGACGATCGTAATTATTATATGGTATTTTTAAAACGAAAGTCTCGAATCAATGTCAGTTTTTATTGCATTTGTAAGCAGGCATAATTTTCATATCACTTGTTCGCGACGCGCGAGTACCCATCAATTACCCCCACTGATAACCATCTTTGGGACGGAAAAGAAGTAGTAGTGTCTAACACGGGCCGCACGCTCTTTTCTTTGCCCTCCTATTAAATCCTATTACAGATTTATTCGCTCGCCTACCTTTTTCTAGAGAATCCGAGAACGTCGTGGAATCAGCTAGAACAAACGAATCGCAGCCCGACGAGCGACGACTTACGCGAAAGCTCTCGTAGTTTCTAGAACTCCCCACCACGGCATACTCGGCTTATAAAACTGAAACCACGGGATCAGCGCAACAATTTGAAATATACAGCGCGTGAAAACGAAAGAGCAACGACTGAAACATATCGCGATCCAAGTGTCTTCCTACAAACGAAAAGATAGTGAGGGAAAATTGTTCGATTTGTTTTTGTGTTAATCGGGGTGTTTCGGATAATTTTTGTTTAAAAGGCCATGACCTCGCCTATAGTGGACTCGATACGGACGATTCCCTTGATTGCTCGGAAGGGTAGTTCGCGAAATCACATTCCAATGGACATTGACGAAACTGTAAGTTACCTATCATACGAAAAGAATTCGATATTTCTAACTTATGAAACGATTAACAGAAAATTTATTGCTTCCGATACATAAAAAAATATTGAATTGCGTTTAACATTTTTTAATTATACGCAAGTCAAAAATAGTCCGCGTGGCGAAAAAAATATTTTTCAAATGTACGGAACAGATGGGATATTCGTGTAACATTCTACTCTCTCGTGTCTTGTATCAACATTTCGGGAAATTTTCATGCAATCTTCAAGCAAAACCACTAATAAAACTGTTGAATATTCCATTTTGAATATACAAACCAAACTGTTCTGCATCATAGAGAGAAACCAAACCCTCTCCTTTTTTTAATACAACGTCCTGTATATTTTTTACATACGCATTTGAATAGAACTCTTTCTCGAGGATTGATTTATAATTTACTTTTTTTTTTACCTTATTAAAGATAGGCCTATCAAAATCCATGCTGTAATCTTGAGAAAGCATATTCTCTTCAAAAATATAGTATACAATTAAAAAAAAAAGATTAGGTAGATATCTCCGAAATGCAACTTTGAAAAGTTCTCTAGTTTTCAAATATTTGAACAGCTGTTTTCTATATTGAGTGTGGATGGGATATAACCTACAAAATATGTCGTATTATTTTAAATGTCATTGCCACTCGCTGTCTACTGTCATTCGACATTAATTTTTACGTACTGGCAAAGACTGACCTACTGTGTAGGTGCTATGAAAGCATGATTTCTTTTGAATTAAGTGAATAGATGTTTTAACCGTTATTGTAGGAAACTACAAATAATGCTTTCATTCGTAGTTATTTCCCACAATATCGTTAATCGTATTCACCTAATGTAAAACAAACCACGTTTTCATAGCACTTACCTAGTAGGTCAATCTTTACTAGTAGGTACAAAGTAATGGTTTGTGCCAAGTAGGCATTAAGCAGCAATGGCATTCAAGATTTGACATATACTTTGTAGGTTATATCTCCCCAAACTTGAAACATGTCGGTAACTATATAGGCGCCCAAATGGCTAAACCATCCTTTAGTTGTCTCATGTATGACATACTGATGGAATTGAAACTAGTCTCGTCTTTGTAATGCTGCTGATGAATGATATTAGCTATTCACTAGGTATTAAGGTGTATAATTTAATTGGATGGAGATTAGTTGAAAACTGTTTTCTGTTCTTGAAATTCTAAAAACGCTGTAGCAAATCTTTAATTTTAAGGCTCCTTGTAAAAGTAAGTAAATGACCCGTCGTTCATTTTGCAGAGTGGCTTTCCCTTCGAGAGAGATACGGACAGAGATGGTCACTTCCGTTCCCAGCTAGATGACATTGCCAAACGACACCCAGAGTTCGCGGAGCACCTAGGTAACTTCTCGAGACGCCGACAGTCCAGCGGCGGTGACACGGACGACTTCCACAGACGCTTCGAACGACCCTTCACCGGCGCCGGCAACTTCGAGCGATTCGGCTTCCCGTTCGACAGGGACAACTTCGACCCCGAACAGTACGCCCAACAGTTCTACAAGGAACAGCCCGAATACCAGCAGCCCCAACAGCAAAGTTACCAACATCCAAATTACCAACACCAGTACAGTTACCAACCGCAATCGCAGGAATACCAACAGCCCCAGCAGTGCCCCCCACAGCAGACCACCGCGGAAGAGCCCTGCGCTTCTGAAAGCGGGAGGAATAACATCCAACAGAGCAACACCACAGACCTGGGCCAGAAACAGGAACCGGTTAATGATAGGAATCAAAGGTCTATGTCGGCACCCCCCACAGAGAAAGGGCAGAGATTCACCTCCAGTATAAACATACCAGTCAACCAACCCCAGCCCGAAGAGAGCGAAAACATGGCTCAAACACAAACCGACGGTAAAACGACGGAACGGATCATTCCTATCCACATAGAAGGGAGAGACGAACCGGTCATGCCCAAAACGGCTCCCCCCACGTTCTCCCAACCGCATCCTACTTACAACGCGGGCCCACAACCCGAAAGGATATTCGGACAACGACCAGAGCACTTCACGCAGTACGTTAACCGGGAACCGAGGCAGTTCGACAAGTGGCATCGTCCGGGATTTGAACAGCACCAAGGGTTCGGTCCGGACGAGTTCAGACAGCAGAGATATCCGCAACAGAACGTGCCTCCTTACTACCAGCAACAGCAGCAGCAACGCCCCGCGCCCCAGCAACACGTTCCATCACAACCGCAGCCCAAGGAGGAAATTCCCATCCCCGTCCAAAGAGACGGGCCGCAGACCAAACAGCAAGCCCCTCCACAACAAACGCCGCCTCCCCAGCAACCTGCGCAACCAAAACCGGCCCCGCAACAGCAGAAACCCAGAACACCAATCGACCAGATCCAAGTCATCCAGAAAGACGTGTCGGAACTGATGGGGCAGGTACAGCAATTTGCCGGGCAGCCCAAGGACAAACAGTATTTGTATCTGGACGAGATGTTGACCAGAAACCTCCTCAAATTGGACGACATAGACACCCAGGGTCAGGAAACGATCAGATCCGCTAGAAAAGAAGCCATCAAGTGCATAGAAAAGGCCATATCGGTGTTGGAGGCCAAGGCGGCGGGTAACGTCGAAGCTCCCAAAACCGAAGAAAAAATGGAGGTGGAGGAGAAGCTGCAAGAACCCGCCGACGGCGCAAACAAACAGACTGAAGTACAAACCATGGAGACGGAACTGCCATCGGAAAGTAAACCCGAGGAAAACCAGCCTCAGCCGATGGAATTCTCACCGGAAAGCACGAACCAAGAACCAACCTCGAACGAGGAGAAGAAAGATGAAGAAAAATCGGCCGAGGAAAATCCCCAGCCCGTAACTGAAAACAGAGCAGTATTGGTCACGTCCGAGAACAAAGAAGCCCCCAAAGCTGAAGCGGAGCAGATGGAAACTAAGGAGAAACCGCCCAGCGAAGCCGCGGAAGGACCGAAGCCCGAAGCGACCGCCGAAGGGCAGGAAAGCAACCTTCCAGTGGCGGAAGCAGTTAAAAAGTTCGAGAGTAAGGAAACCGAGAGCAAAGAAGAAAAGAAACCGGAGGAGAACAAAGAGGGCGCCCAAGTACAACAGGAGGGGGAGAAGGTAGAAAATAAGAGTGAGGAGGTAAAGGAAGAAAACAAAGGTGAGAAGAAAGCAGAGGAGAATAAAGAAGAGACAAAGGCGGAAGAGAAAAAGGAGAAGAAGAAGGGCAAGAAGAAAGCGGAGAAGAAGGAGAAGTAGTTGATCGTATATCGAGGAGTATTGTAAATGCCTTAATTTAAATAATTAATCTTGCTTTTACAAAATCTTTTAATGTGTATTAGCTTACGTTTTTTAGTGAGACTGAATTGTTATTTTGTAGTTGTCGACTACACTGTAAGGTTTTCCACTCACTTGAAAGTTTTCTTTTTATACTTTTAACTTATTGTTTGTTTGTATATATTTCGTTAGTGTCGCACTAAGTCAAGCATGATGACTGTGATTGTTTTTTTTTTTAGATTCTTTCGTTAATATTAACCCCCCGTCCTTATTTATTGTATATAAATGTACAATTAATATTTAATTGTACCTGTACAAATAAACAATGTTGGAAGCGATTTTTTCGTTTTATTTGGAAAAGCAAGATTAAGTTTATAGGAAATTTTTTTAGGGTTCAATTATTCTTTCAGAGGTCACTCCATGCGAAATTACGGCATTAAAAAGTTGTAAATAGTTCACGTAAACCTAATTTTTAGTGTTCAAGCCGAAGTTGCTGCTGCTTTTTGTGTGTTAGTACATCGCCGATTTTGTGCATAATTGTTATTGTTAATAATTACTCTTTAAATAAAGTTATTATAAAAGTTTTTGCTTTATTGGTAATCGTACAGAGGAAAACTGACAAAAAAAACAAATGTTTAAAAAAGTGGTACACTTGGGGAGTTCATCATAGGTCTATTGATATTTTGTTATAATTGTGAAAAAAATGTAGATATGTACAACCTACAAACCAGCCACATCAATTGTTTGATCCCTATTTCACTCCATATTTACAAATACATGCATTTTAAATACAAACATTTGAATGTGCAAAATATAGGCGCACACAAAATATTTAAAGGTACCCATTTTGTCTGAAAGACACCAAACCTACTAGGGAACATTAATCTATAGCACATTTGTGATAGAATTTAATCTATGTATCGTATGTTGAACAAGTTTAAAAAAAAGTAATATCGCACCCAAGTAACGTTGCTATTCCTATTTTCTTAGATACACGAGTTTTGAGCAGCACAAAAATAAATATTACACAGAACGAACATTTTTTAAGTTTTTTTTTAATACGAATATAATATAACTAATTGTTGCACTTCACAATTTTAATTATACAAAACTAAAATTTTCCCGGCAAAGATGATGTACAAATCGTACGATAGACCATAGACAAAGAGAAAAATAGTTTCATAGATCGCGTTCACTCGGTAACGATAAGTGAACGAAGGATTCTGTACATAAATGAAAAAAAGGTTACTTTTCGTTGTAGTCTTAAGTGTGCAAACAAAAAATCTGCTAGTGTCAGGGTCTAAGTGGAAAAAAAACAAAGCACTTCACTTCGATGTATCACACTCCTGACTCGTGTGCACTGAGTAGAAATAGATAAAGAGTGATCCCGGGCAATTTGGAGTATACCAAACACTAAGATCAAATAGTCGACACCGCGCCATTATTCCATGGCTAGAAATTGGCCTCAATGATTTGGGATCGAGGGGGATTATCCCTCTTTATCCTGCCTCATCTCGTGTAGGCCTGGACAGCCTTCGTAGGTGGGCCCCATCCGTCGTCTACCCCGACCGCAAATGCGGCCGGTGTAGGCGCTTTGTGGGACCTCCTTTTGTCCTGGCTGGGCCCGCCGGCTAGGGCCCTTTCTTCTGGCGCTCATCTTGTTTCGCCGGCTCGTCTATGTAAACCCCGGGGGTGGTGTCATATTTATGGTTGGGTAGGGTGGTGCGGCTATGCAGCCTAGGATGCGTGTCGACACCGAGACAACAGCAAATATATGCTGTGACGAGACAATCACCATTATGTTGCTTATTATTAGTAGTGATGGGCATAATCGACCAATTTTGATAATAGAGTTATCGGTAATCTAGTACTTCTAATAATCGAGTGATCACTCGAGATACGAGATATTGGTCGTTTTCATCCCAGCGGCGCACAAATATGTTTGTATTAGTAATATATTACTTATAAGCGTAGCTAAAAAAAAAAAGCTCACACACTTCAAAACCTAACCACTTTTTCGTTTTATTCTAAAAAAAGCTTACGCAATCAGTGACTATTTGCAGTATGCACTAACATTTTGGGGTGCAACCGTAGGGTAATAATCACTCGAGTGGTGGGAGTAAACATCTCGAGATATCTCGAGTGATCTCAATAATCGAGTACCACTCGATTTTTCACTCGAAATCTCCCATCACTAATTATTAGTCTTTTGTATGACTGTCAGTGGTCAAGGTCAATCATGTAACGTAAACTGTAAACATTGCAATTAAGCATTTTTTAAGTAAAATAATAAATATCCAATATCGTACAAATTTTATATCCTCTTACATGATACAAGTCTTTTGAAAGGTATGAATGAACAAGTCTGTCACTTTAATATTTGCAAATAGAATATAACCTTATTTTTAAACAGCTGGTCATTCTTTTCAAATTGAAGGCGACCGTTATTTAATTTGTTTTAAGTTGAATAATGAGAGTTTATTGATAATCACAGAATATACATTTGTCTGTAAATTTTTCAGACATTTTGGGTCTAGGAATATAATGGAACATAATGACCTAGATGTCGATATGGCCCAATTAGAAATTAATGAAAAAAAACGTAACTTCACAGGCGTTTTTAAATATAAATTAACTGAAGACAACTCGCCAATTTCTAGTCCCGAATCAAATGAGACCATAACTCAACCAAGACGATCGGGTCGAAAGAAAATTCGTTCCCAAGAAACGGAGAAAAGGAGAGTTTTGACAAAGCCTAAAAAACTCCTTAGCAATAATAGCAATACTAATGAAATTAATAACTATTATTTGGACAAGAGAGTTAAGAGACTGCCTCCTTCTTTGGAAACTATTTTTGAAGAACCGAAAGGTAACAGTTTCATGAGTACGAGGAAGTTTAAGAGGTGTATCCAATTTAGCAGCCAAGTAGCCCCATGTAGGAATAAGTTAAAAGTGAAAAAGAGATCCATGAAAGCCCAAAAGGTTTCCATTATTAAAAGACTGAATAAGAATGTAGCGCTGGAACTGCTAAAAGAAAAATTATCTGCTATCGAAGAGGATGAGGAAATTAATTCTTAGTCCATATGAATATATAAAAGTGTATATCATTGTATAGTATTATGTGGTATAATGTGTATTATTGTGATAAATATTAGTTTCTCTGCCTAATTTTGTGGTAAAATCGCCCAAGTTTTATTTTTCGTACCGTTTTAGAAAAGAAGTTTCTTTAAAGAATGCACATATTTTTTCTTAAATGTGGCACTTTACATACTCTGAAATTTTGTTTATTTATTTTTGCTGTGAAAAAAATTGGTAAAAATATTTAATCAACTAATGTAACATAAAATTTATAACCGAATTTGTATGATTTTTGTTTTTATATTATTCCTATTTTAATATATAGTTTTATTACAATTGAAATTTAATTTAAACTTTGTGTGCAATAACGAGGAATTAACAGGTTTGAATTTGCTATAATTCATCCAATTGAAATGATATGGGGTCAAGTTAAAAACAACGTAGTAAAGAAAGCTCGTAAAAAAACTACAAATTAAAAAAAAAAACAAGTTTCTACGACCAATAGGTCCGGAGTTAGCAATTTTTTTTTTAGATCACAGAGCGATTTGTTATAAACATTAAGGCGTGAAATTTTAACATTTTGTAAATGAAGGTTTAAACTTTATGCCCTGTTAATTTTAATTAAATTTGCCCATAATTGATCAATTCAGAGCCCATCAAAGTAAGGGTACGCGGCAGTAGTCCTTCAGGGAGTGGTGGTGGGGGAATCTTCCTCTCAACCAGGAAAAAACTTGACAATGTCAAATATGTAATATTTCAGCTTCTATATAACGTAGAACCTTTTTTTTTAATTTGGGATAACTCGACGAAAAAATTACTTTGGATTATTTCTCCCCTTGTAAAACTACCCCTATCCCCCCTAAAAATGAATTTTTTGCATTTTTTTATTTGAAATGTTTTAGACATCAGTTCTCAATAAAAAAATGTCAAAATTATTTTAACCCTTCAAAATTAATTTAACCCCCTCAACCCCCAAAAAATTCAATATTTTTATTTTTTTTATTTTTTCATACTTTTTATATAATTATGGATTTTGTATATTGATTAAAGGATTAATTATTTTTTATTATTATTTATAATTACCTAGTATAAAAATATATAAAATATTTCCATAGATACTGACGGTAGAAATTTTTTTCTACAATTCGTTATAAATTTCAACTTCAATTTGCGATCGAGCTCATCTTTTGCACATCTCTTAAGGATATAAAAACTCACATTTTGGGAAAGTTAGGTAAGATTTTATTAATTATTCAAAAAGTTATTAACAATTAAAGAAAAAGCACTTTTTCCATTTAATTTTGCAATCAATTTTTTTTGTTATAAAGTCTCATTTTAAAGATGAGTTTCTCTAGATCTTATTGTCTGTTGAACAGTTTTTACTAAGACTAATAGTTTTTTTACAATAACTCATAGAACGAAAAATGGCGAATTTTTTACCTATTTGTTGGTAAAAAACAATGACGCTATACTTTGTTCATGACTCAATTGATAAGACGCCTCTTGTATTATCATTCCCAAGACTTTCCAAGAATAAAATCACGCCCAGTAATGAATAAATTTGAAAATGTTTCGTTTCCTGGTCTATTATATCAATTCTTTATTCAAGTAACCCTGTGCCGACTTCTATAAAAATTCATTAATTTTTAAATTTGTATAAAAAAATCTAAATGTAATAATATAATGTAGTCAGACTTTGAATAAATAAATTTCTAATACAATTTTTCAAAACTTTGTCCATAAAAAAATTGTAACAAGTGTAATATTTGCAATTTGGAAGCCTATGTAAAAACAAGTATTTGAGCTTCATTTCTTTTTTATATACGTTGGTCTGACAGTTATATACCTAGCTACAATGTTATCCTACAATGAGTATCTATACTGACCGCTTCTGGCAAATGTAATGCCAGAGTTTATTAATTTGCGGATGTTATTTTCATTCAAAATTATTAATCTCTGGAGTAAATACGACAACATTTTGAAATTACTTGGTCTGCCTGTGGTTAGAACAAATCTATTAGGGAGAAAACTTGTTATCGTAAATATTTCAAATTACATGTATTTACTTGCAACTGGTAATACACGCACCTGTAAAACGGGTTGCCTATAAATAACTAATGTTTACGTGTAGGCGTGACAGTGTTGTTTCTGTTTACTAAAAACGTTTTACTAATCTGCGGTTTAAACTTGTTTACCATCCACAAACAGTTACTTAACCTTTGCACTTGTTTTTTTCTGTGCCATATTCTCACAAGTTTCTTGTTTTAATTTAAGTTTGTTTAGTATACTTTTGCAATTGAGATAAAAAAAAACGTAAAACATTAATAATAACAAATAAGACAATGGTAGTACCTGAAATTTGTCGGAGAGGTTTACTTACACTAAGTAAACTAATAGTAAAACCAAAACAAGTGAGACAGTATTCGGAACAGGTAACCAAAGATTTAATTTTTAAGAAACTGAAAGGGGATGATGCTGGTGTCGTCACAATTGGTCTGAAGAGACCACAGCAGAAGAATGCCATCAGTATGAACCTACTTGATGAACTCGTAAGGACTGTTGACAAAATCTGTTACGATAATGTGGCGAGAGTTGTGGTGATTCACAGCCTGGCACCTGGGGCCTTTTGTGCAGGTAAAATTTTAATATGAAATGCAGGAAATATTGTAATTATTCGAAATGTTAAGCTTGTATGAAAATTTTGATAAACTATTAAAATTATGTATTATGAGCAATTTATGTGAATGTAACAGTAGTAAATAGTAGTAGTTTTTATTTAGGGAATGTATTTTAATTTTTAAGTTCTAAAAATATATTTTAGGTGCTGACCTAAAGGAAAGAGCAGACTTGACCCTCAAAGAAGTCTGTAATTTCGTCACGAATTTGAGAAACTTCACTAAACGAATCCACGATCTACCTATACCTGTAATAGCAGCACTGGACGGTGTCGCGTTAGGTACTACAGTTTCGCTAACTAGCATTAGAAATTTTCTAAGCTTCATAAATAATAATAAACAATAACTGTTTTATCTATTTTATAGGTGGGGGTTTAGAATTGGCACTAGCTTGCGACATAAGAATTGCCGCCACAAACGCAAAAATGGGTCTAGTGGAAACGAAACTGGCCATTATGCCGGGTGCCGGGGGTACACAGTTTTTATCGAGGATCGTAGGCCCCGCTATTGCCAAGGAACTGATTTTTACGGCACGAGTACTTGATGCAAAAGCAGCACAACAATTAGGTTTGAATAATTAAATTCGAATTTTTTTTTTCGGATATGTACTTAGCCTTATTATTTTCAGGGTTGGTGAATCATGTTGTTGAGCAAAATGAAATTGGCAATGCAGCGTATCTGCGATCGGTGGAGCTTGCTGAAGAGATTCTCCCAAACGGTCCGCTGGGTATAAGAATGGCGAAGAAAGCGATAAACCGAGGTATTGAGGTCGACCTCGACAGTGGCCTAGTCGTTGAGGAAGCGTGTTATGCCCAGTTAATCCCCACAAAGGATAGAACTGAAGGACTGCAAGCTTTTAATGAGAAACGTAAACCGGTCTATTTAGGATATTGATCTTGTTATATATTTTATACATATTCGTACAATAAAGAAACATTTTAAAGCCTCTCTAATAGGATTTCAATGAGTATAAAATAAAAAATTTGAATTAAAAAGTATGGTATATATTTTCAATTATATCCAATTATTATTTGAACATCTTATAGCGGTTTTACAGAGTTAAAGAAATTGATGAATTTTTTATGCGCAATACACAAAGTTGAAGAGAATTTTGTGTATTTTGCATAAAAATTAATTCCAGGTAAAAAAAAATCAATTTAAATTTTTTTCATTGTATAAAACTATTGCAATCATGGAATTTTATATATTTCTATCATGCGATCATTATACTGTTTTTATTGCAGCTATTACATCAATTAAATTAAATGGAATTATTTCATGTCTACCTACTTTCATATAAAAATGTCACTTTGTATATTACAATGTTTTTAAAAGTTCGTCCAGCTGTTTCTTTGTATCATCGGGGTTGATTACCATATGCCCAACCACACGTCTATCGATGAATATTTCATAGTCGTTACCACCTTTGTCGGTCTTATCTCCAAAGAAGTGAATTTCGTCAAATCCTTCATTTTCCAAATGCTGCAAACAGTACGTCTTATCCCACCCATTAGGAAATACATCGAAACTAATTTGTCCCCCAATACTGTACGTCAGGCCTATATCTGGGAATTCTTTCACTAAATTATCTATCATCGTTTTGCGTATATTATGAATTTTGTCGTATTTCTCAAAATCGTCTCGTTCAGTTTGAGAACAAGATCGCCCTATGGGCGAAATGTTCAACATACCACTCCTGAATTCGACAAACGTACCCCTTTTCACAGGTAAAGTTATCGTAGATAAATATTCTAACACGTAGTTGATAAATGTTTGTAAAACGTCTTCGCCCATGAATTTCTGTATGCTTTGTCTGCCAATTTCCTCTCCAAATTTGTACTGTATTAAGCCGTTTTCAGGAAATACATAGTCAAACTGGTGAACAATATCGTCCCCTCCCATTTGTTCAGAGATTTTCTTAAAGTCTGAACCACCGACCAAGGCTATGGAACACTGGGGTTTCACTACGTTCTGCAAGAACAAGTACAATTCAGGAGTTATTACATTTCTTGGTTTTGTTAGAGTTCCATCTACGTCAAATAAGCACAATATCTTTTTCTGCGGCATGGTTTAATTCAAATTTGGTATTGTTGAAGAAAAATAAGATGCTGGACTATGAAAATGCGGTGTTCCGTCCAATTTCTCCGTATATTACTCTCTCTCTCTCTTCCTATTTTAACAGCAAAAATGCGAAAAAAAACATTAGGAAATTTAATGCACTACTTTCATCATTTTCCGGTATCAACATCAACTACACGTAATCCAAATTGTAATACACATATTTTTTACACGTAAACAATACCCTCAAAACACAAAATTAATTTAGTATGGAAGCAAACCAATAAATGCAGTATTAATATTAATTCTGCATTGTAAACTATCACCTGTCAAGTAGAGAAACTGGTGCTGCGGACAACTAGAGGGCAGGATGAGTAAAAATTTGAAAATTTTTGAAAAAGGGAAAGAGGCCGTTTGTGTTTTTATGATATGTAGGACTACAACCTACTTGAAGTGTGTAGGACAAGCGAAGAAAATATTCTTAGGTACAAGCATGGTATAAGCTGAACCAAAGGTATGCAAGTTTTTAATGGAAAAACGTAAGTTAGTTTTATAGAATACTAATTTTATTATATATAATGTTTTATATATACTACGATAGTTATACTTAGATTATAAAGTTTTTAAAAATCCCTCTAGTTGCTTTTTTGTATCGTCAGGGTTGATTACTTTATGTCCAATCACACGTCTATCGATGAATATTTCATAATCGTTACCACCTTTATCAGTCTTGTCTCCGAAGAAATGAATTTCGTCAAATCCATCATTTTCCAAATGCTGCAAACAGTACGTTTTATCCCAACCCTTAGGAAATACGTCGAAACTAATTTGTCCTCCTATGCTGTACGTCAGACCTATATCTGGGAATTCCTTTAATAAATTATCTATCATAGTTTTTCGTATGTTATGCACTTTGTCGTATTTTTCAAACTCGTCTCGTTCAGTCTGTGAACAAGATCGCCCTATAGGTGAAATGTTCAACATTCCACTCCTGAATTCGACAAATGTACCTCTCTTCACAGGTAAAGTTATCGTAGACAAATACTTTAACACGTAGTTGATAAATTTTTGTAAAACGTCTTCACCCATGAACTTCTGGATGCTTTGCCTGCCAGTTTCCTTTCCAAATTTGTACTGTATCAAACCATTTTCTGGAAAAACGTAGTCGAATCGATGTATAATATCGTTTCCCATTTGTTCACAGATTTTTGTGAAGTTCGAACCACCAACTAAAGCTAAGGAGCACCGGAGTTTCACAACATTTAGCAAAAAGTTGTACAATTCAGGATTTATTGCATTCCTTGCCTTTGTCAGAGTTCCATCCATGTCGAATAAACACAATATTTTCTTCTGCGGCATTGTTTAATTCAAATTTGGCTCCAAACAAAAAAAGTAAAAGTTGCTGAACCGTGAAGATGCGGTGTTCGGTTCGACTTCTCCTTGTAATTTTCTTAGTTTTAACAGCCAGCAATGCAGAAAACAAGAAATTAAACGCACTACTTATAATGGGTAAGTATTATCAGTGTTTTCCAGTGAAAACAACACGTAATCAAAAATTTTCTGGTTTATTTTGTACAAAAACATCTTAATTTTAGTATGGAAATACACCAATAAATGCAGATACAAAATAAACGTGATAAAATAGCAACTGTCAAAAGTAGTTAAATTTTACTCTACTAGGTGTCGCTGTGGGTAGCGGTAAAATGTAAAATTTAAAAAGATCGGAACACACTCGGAACATTACCATATTTTCAAAATAAATATATATTTATTACTTTTATAATAAAGATACGAATACTTTATTCGGCAAATTATAACTCAGAAATAACTTATTTATAATATTCATTGTAGCTGACGATGGAGGCTTTGAAATTGGTGCCTACCGAAACAAAATTTGCCAAACACCGAACTTAGACGAGCTAGCAAGTAACAGTCTTATTTTTAACAAAGCCTACACGTCTGTAAGCAGTTGCTCTCCAAGGTAACACAACATCGATCTATGGTACTCATTTTTCGAGATCAACTTGAACATTATTTTCAGCCGTTCAGCTTTACTTACCGGCATGCCTTCACATCAAAACGGAATGTACGGTTTGCATCAAGGAAAACATCACTTTGATTCCTTCGCTAATATAGTTAGTCTACCAAAGATTTTGAAAGGAAATGGTGTAAGGACAGGTCTGTATTTAATTTTTCTGCAGTTGTCTGCAAGATAAGTTTGAATTATTGAAATGTTTGTAATTTTAGGAATAATTGGCAAAAAACATGTTGGTCCCGAAAGTGTATATCCATTCGATTACTCGCAAACGGAAGAAAATAATTCTATTTTACAAGTTGGCAGAAATATTACCCACATTAAAATGTTGGCGAGGGAATTTTTAACTAACACGACACAGTAAGATATAACGTCGATTATTACTTTAATTGTCAAGCTTTTACATTTATTATTTAACAAAAAACAGTTTTTTAGAGTTGAAAGTACGTAGTAATTCTAAAATTTCTGTTTACACACAGACCATTTTTCTTATATATCGCCTTCCACGATCCCCATCGATGCGGTCACACTAATCCGGAATACGGAGAATTCTGTCAACATTTCGGAAATGGCGACCCCGGAATGGGTCTAATTCCAGACTGGCAGCCCATCTACTATCAACCCGATGAACTCGAACTGCCTTACTACGTCCCAGACACCCAAGCCGCCAGACGAGACGTAGCGGCACAGTACACAACGGTTTCTAGGCTAGATCAAGGTACCTTGACGCTACTTTTCCACATAAAACTACCCTGGGTTTTTTAGGTGTGGGGCTAATTCTTCAAGAACTGAAAAATTCTGGTCACCTCGATGATACGCTCGTGATATATACCTCCGACAATGGTATTCCCTTCCCGAACGGTAGAACTAATCTTTACGATTCGGGTATCGCCGAACCAATGCTCGTTTCCTCGCCTCTGCATAAGGAGAGACGAAACCAAGTGACCAATTCTTTGACGAGCCTTCTGGACGTTGTACCTACGTTATTAGACTGGTACGACATTAAACAAGAAGATTCTACCGAAAGCAATAAGATAGAGCAAAAAACATCATTAACGGGAAAAAGTTTGCTACCGCTTCTCATTAAAGGTGATTATTTCCATGGATAAATATCGTTATAATGAAAATTAACTTCTAGAACCCGATGATAAATCAAGGGAAGCGGTTTTCGCCAGCCACAACCTTCACGAAATCACTATGTATTATCCCATGAGGATGATTCGTACCCAACGCTACAAACTTATTCACAATATTAATTACAACAGCCCCTTTCCCATCGATCAAGACTTTTACTTGTCTCCCACGTTTCAGGTAGGCGAGTACAACAATTATGACATACCCGACATTTTTTTTTGTTTGTAGGACATTCTAAATAGAACAAAGTCTAACGAAAACCTGTACTGGTTTAAAACTTTGAAAGAATATTACAAACGACCAGAATGGGAATTGTTCGATCTCAAGTATGATCCGGAAGAGTTAAATAACATCGTTAAAAAAAACAGTTCTCAAGAAATCTTTCAACAACTCAAAAAGAGATTGTTCAAATGGCAAAAAGGAACCGACGATCCCTGGATATGTTCCCCGCATGCCGTGTTTGAAAACAAGGGCGTTTTTAAGGATAATCCGCAATGCTTAGATCTCGATAACGTCTGGTGAATTTTACGTACGTTTTATAGTGAAAATGTTATTTTAATACTCGAATAAACTGAAATATTTTGAAATGTTTTATTGTCACATTATCAACAAAATATAAAACTCTGCAAACTATTTACATATAAAAGATACATCTTGTGCTGTATATAATATAATTAAGTACTTCCACTAGTAAACCAAATGGCACATTATTTTGTACATTTTTCATACATTCACTATTGAATAAAACCTAATTATCTTAAGGACCTTTGGACCCCTCTTGAAGGCAAATTAATGTAGAAAATTAACTTGCCACATGGTTTTTTCAAATCAAACATCCCGTGCTGAAACCAATTCGTCTCCTAAATTACTTTAGTGTAAAAACATTAACAAATATAAAGCTATGTTTCATTAGAAAATTTTATATTAAAGCATTATTGAATACTCTGTGCTAATTTGTTAATATAAAATTTAGTTGGTTATAAAATACTTTGTGTCAAATTAACTTTAACCGGGCCCTGTTAAATTTGTGGGGTTTGATAACCATTTGTAGTTTTTTCATTAGGGACGACGTATAATTTGCTAGTTTCTCAACTGAATTTATTGTTTCAGTCACATCGTTTATCTGCAACAATACAATATTATTTTACAGAAAAGAGTTATTCTAAACTACTTACCCTTTGTTTATATTCCTGCAATCTTAACTGTTTCTGATGGTTGTTGTACAAAGCTTTCATTTGTAGCATAAAACCTGCTGCTAACAACAAACTGCATATTATAAATAAATTATTCGTCTGAGAAAACCTCTGTCGAAAACACAACATTCCAGAAAGTATTATACATTTTCTGCAACAAATAAAAACATTCAAAAAAATTATTGACTTTGCAGAAAGACCTGTATTACCTAATAATTTTCTAATGAAATTCACATTTAATAACGCTGGTGTGGACAAATTTCAAAAATAATTCGTCCCTAACCCTTATATAACTTTTTCGACATCTGTCAAATCTGACAACTGTTGTCTCAGGTGGTCAGCTGTTTTTTGATGGTACGTTCGTTATGTACCCTTTATATGTATCGCGGTATTTAAACAATGATATCGCCTTTTAATTCAGTTCCTAGCGGGCAGCCGACCAGAGCACACGTGTTTTGTGAAAGTGTAGTGCAAGGAGCAATTTCTACCTGCCTTTATTAAGGCTACCTGGAAAGAATCCCTTTCTTTCCTTTTAATCACCGACCTAATCCCCGGCTTAAGCATAGACGCCGTCGGCATCTTTGTTACAGCACCTGTGCCGGGGTTATGCCCAGGTAAGTTTTTACTTATTTATCAGTTATTTGCATTACTTTAGAATACATTTCTTTAAAATTGCGACCCCCGACAAACAATATACCAGACAGACAAATACACCAAAAGACACGTACGCCCCCGTGAGGGGGCATCCCCACTCGACTAACACTTACACACCTTCCCACACACACACACACACACACATACACACCCCCCATACCCTCCTTAACCCTCCCCTCCCGCGCTAGCCTAAGGGCCACCTTAGCAAAGCGCATCCCAGGCTGCATAGCCGCACTACCCTACCCAACCATACCACACATAAACATGACACTACCCCCGGGGTTTACACAGACGAGCCGGCGAAGCAAGAAGAGCGCCAGAAGAAAGGGCCCTAGCCGGCGGGGCCCAGCCAGGACAAAAGGAGGTCCCACAAAGCGCCTACACCGGCCGCATTTGCGGTCGGGGTAGACGACGGATGGGGCCCACCTACGAAGGCTGTCCAGGCCTACACGAGATGAGGCAGGATAAAGAGGGATAATCCCCCTCGATCCCAAATCATTGAGGCCAATTTCTAGCCATAGAATAATGGCGCGCGCGCGGCGCCTTTTAATTAATTTGTAAAATACAGAGTGTAGGATATTGATAATACGAAGATAAAATAATAGTTTATTATTATTTTAATTTTTAGTCTGGATTTTGAGGGCATAAGTTTAAATTTCGATGAGGCATGGAGGCTGTAAGTAACATGGGGACAAGGAGCAGTATGTCCTTCCATTTATTTGTAGCCTTTTGTACGTTTTTTAATCATCTTTAATTTTTTCCATATACTTGTAAAAAATTCAATCCCTATTTAATTCAGGTTTATTTATATGTGCTGCCATCTATCCACGTGGATTTTAACGCACCTCTTTTTACAGGGAACTGTTTGCTTTTTAACATGCTGAAAACATGACGTTTTTAACCTACTGTCATTTTCTTTTCTTTAGTGTGTTGTGAGTTGGAGGTTTGACGTGTATGTTTTTGAGATGTAAACATTTTGAATTAAATCTCGTCCAAAATAAGCCAAAATGTCTCTTCCGGGTAATGGAATATTCGTCGTTAAAGGCGAAATGTCCATTTTGATGACTGCCATGAGAAGAGGTTCGAGATGGTCCTCCCATTCATACCAAGATGATGATATAGATAGTCTTATGAAGAGCTTTCAAGATTTGAAGGAAGTTCTCAATAAATTAGATGATTTGAGACTTGTTGAGCCTAACACCTTTCTATCTCCATTTCTAGAAGTAATAAAATCGGATGAAACCACAGGACCTGTTACTAGTCTGGCCCTGTCAGCTGTTAACAAATTTTTATGTTATGGCATTATAGGTATCAATTTATCTTTGCTTTCTCATTGTGTATACTTGAGATTAATTTATAATATTACATCTGTATTACAATTTTCAACTGTTTTATTTCTCTTTTAGATCCTACCCACACGTCTATACCACATACTATACACAACATCGCTGATGCTGTTACTCATGCTAGGTTTGTGGGAACAGATCAGACGTCCGATGGAGTTGTTTTAATACGAATTCTACAAGTGTTGCGAACCCTTACATTAGCACCTGAAGGTGCAATGCTGACCAATGAAAGTTTGTGCGAAATCATGCTTTCCTGTTTTCGAATATGTTTTGAAACGAGACTCAACGGTAAATACTGTAACATTATTTTTTTATCTTACTATAGGTGTTGATTGCAGAACTGTTGAGAAAAACTGCAGAACAATATTTAAAGGACATGGTACAATTAGTTTTCATGAGGTTACCACAGTTTTCGGAAGATTTAAGGGCAACGGCAATTAAACATTTAAAAATGAGGCCAGGTGCGATGGACCAAACGCGAACCAAAAGGAAAAACCGGCAGTCGTTTAGGAAAAAAGAAAAAGGTAATAAGATATATTTATTTCTTTTTGAACCTATAAAGCAATATATTTTTACCGTAGAAATAGAAGACGTTCAGTCGCCAGTACTATCCAAACCACAGCAGAGTTTAAGGCCTGCTCCCTTGTCTACAACTCCAATGACGCCTGGTAATAATATCGTCGACATGCAAGGGTCAATTTCGCAGAACACTCCGCAAAATCCTATTACCGACGGTGGAGATATAAATTCTCCTAGTTCTTTTCCTTCATCGGATCAAAACGATGCTCAAACAGAGTGTAACGTCGAAATAAATATTCAAAGTTCTTCGCCCACTAACGAGAACTGTGAGGATAAAGTTGAAAATGCGGAAAATGTTGAGCAGGTATGTAAATAACAAAAATATACTGCTACAAAGGCTATGTGAAAATTTGGAAAGGGGCAATTTACATAAAGGAACTAAAACTGTGGCCAAATAGTTTTTTACAATTTGTTTATTATCCATTTGTAAAGCGAAAACATTTAAGATAAATTTTGTGGTCACAACTATTAATGTATGAAACGGCAATGGTAAAATTATTTCGACATTCTTAAAATTGACAACATTTTTTTCAACAAACTCGAGAAACTTTGTTAATTTGAATTTTTCATTTTTAACAGTTCAGATAAATAACGCAACCTTTTAAAAGTAACAAGAAATTGTAAATTCAATAATTGTTAATGTTTCCAACGATTGCCAATAAGTAAATTAAATATACAGGGTGATTCATTAACAGTGGGAAAATCGAAAGCTGAAAATACTACACGTGAAATGGTGACCTTTAGCGCAAACATACCTTATCCGAAAGTTGATAGTTTCGGAAATACAGGGTGTTGAAAGTTAAAATTTTAAATTGTTTTTTTGCGATTATTCTGAGAATATGTATCTAAACCCAGTTATGGATTTTTAAACATTATTATATGTTAGCTAAATACTAAATTGGAACCAGTTAACGTTAAATAATGCCAAAACAATAAATATTAGGAAAAACACTATTTGAACCTTTTTTAAAGTACTTTGAAATAAAGTAAAGTAAAGTAAAGTAAAGAAAAGTCTTTAGAATCATAATTAACGGAAATGTGATCGAAATAACATGATAGTCTATTTTTTTTTTAAGAAAAAATTAAACAAATCAGTGCCTTTGGTGACAGAATTAAAATTAAATGAAATCCATTTACAGTTTTCTTCATTTATATTCTAAGAATATGTTCTGGGTATTTGGCTCACTTACAAAGCATGATTTCGAAAAAAAACTTAATTTTTGAAAATGTAAATTTTTCAAATTTTTGAAAAAAATTCGATTTTTATGCTGTAACTTAAAAATTAAAGGGTGTATGAAAAAATAGAAGCATAAAAAAAATTTTGCTTTATTTTTATTGAAGATTTTGCTTTATTTTTTATTTCTCTAAAATTAATATTAATCGAGATTTTGCCAATTTAAGTTATCATATGAATGAGAGAACCACCCTTTTCGAGTCCTTTAAACCCTTTAAACTTAAAAATGAAGGGCTTAAAAAAGATCAACTCAACAGTTCACGTAGCCCTTACATTTCCCTGCAAAATGAGCCTTTGTGCGATTAAAAATCTTAAAAAGTAAGAAAGTTATCGTCAAAAAAATAAACACGTGTATAGGTGATAATTTTAGCAAAATTTAGGTCAAACAAGAATTTTGAAGCATTTATTTGAAGTATATTCGAATAAACCAGTACTATACTATATTATAATAAGGGAATAAATGTTTATTTAATACGAATGCACATTTAAAATGTTTCTACTCTTTCAATAATATTTTTTCATTTTATTTTCTAAAGAAGTATTTTTCAAGCGTTGAAAAGCTGCAATTGCTAAAAAAGATTTTTTAATCAAGAAATCAATTTTAATTTGATAAAAATGCATGATTAAAACGTTTCAAGTTGAAAACAAATTTTTTATATTATTTTCATCCAAAGGGGTGGTTTTTAAAGCTTTTTCCAGGTTGAAAATTTGGTATACATTAAGTTTCATGTTAGATAGCACATGAAATTACTCATACTGCACAAATAAAAAAGATTTGATTACATAAAATGCTTAAATTTGAATTTTTTCTTTTTTTCCAACAAGGGGTGGTTATCACCCACAAAAGCACACCTAGCGCATATATAAGTTTTACAGTGGGAGGTAAGATAACCCTAATTCTAAATTTTGAGAAAAATCAATGCAGTTATAAAAAATTTTGAGGTATTACTATATTTTCAGCTACAGTAACGGCTACAAAGTCACTGAAATGAAAATGTTGTACCAACTCAAAACTCGTAAATACTTTAAAACAATTGTCTAAATTTTTTATAGGTTCCGGTCATTGTCGAACCAACCGCCGACGTTGAGCCCGAACTTGAACCGAAATCGAACGACAAAATGGATACGATCAGCACCGTATCCACGACAACCGTCAAATCTGAAGAAGTCACCCCTGACGGTTACTCTTCTATCGAGTCCGGAGAATATATCAACCAAAGGGGAATCAGATTTACCCCTCAACTACAAGAAGAATCTGTTATCCTAGTCCCGTACGGTCTAGCCTGTGTTAGGGAACTGTTCAGGTTTCTTATAAGCCTGTGCAACCCGTTAGACAAGCAGAATACCGATATTATGATACATTTGGGGCTGACGTTGCTAACAGTGGCTTTCGAAGTAGGCGCGGACAGTATCGGGAAGTACAACACTTTACTGGCGTTGGTGAAGGACGACCTGTGCAGGAATTTGTTCTCTGTAAGTTTTTTTAAAAGTATTGTGTACAATTTATTATTTTTTCAAAAATTTCATTATTTCCCAAAATGGCAGAATTATAAACATTTGTCATCTTAAAAATGTTACCCAGTAATTTGTGGAGCTTGTACTATGTATTTTACTTCGCTCTAACTCTGTCCGATACTGTAAATAGCTATTTCCAGTTGTTGAACACCGAGAGGCTCTCGGTGTTTGCGGCGGACCTCCAAGTATCCTTCCTAATGTTCGAGTCGCTTCGGACCCACCTCAAGTACCAAATGGAGAGCTACCTTAACAAGCTCATGGAAATAATAGTGAGCGATTCCGTCAAGGTGACCTACGAACACAAGGAAATCGCCTTGGACAGCTTGTTGCAACTGTGGCGAATCCCCGGTTTCGTCAGCGAACTGTACCTAAACTACGACTGCGACATGTACTGCACGAATCTTTACGAGGAACTAACAAAGTTATTAGCGAAAAACGCATTTTCCGCCACCACGGGGGTGTACCACACCCATTTGTTGTCCCTGGACGCTCTGTTAGCCGTAATCGAGGGTATAGAGGTGCACTGTCACAACGGGAAGGTCGAGAATAGACCTTATAATGGATCTACCGAAACGTCGAACGTCGGTAACGACGCAGTGGCAACTATTAACAGTTTCATCGAGAAGTCGTCGGGTAGAGTTAAGTTGTCCAAGAACGTGCTGAGTAAAGAAGAGCTGGCGGCTAGAAAAACCATCAAAAAGGTAAAGGTTAATTTGTCGTCGACTTTTTTTCAACATAGATTTTTCAGTGGCTGCCCCAAGGGACGGAGTACTTTAATCACAAACCGAAAAAGGGCGTTCAGTTTCTGCAGGAACACGGCGTCTTGAAACCCGAACTGGATATACACGAGATCGCCTTGTTCCTGAGGGAAAATCCGGCGTTAGATAAAAAAATGATAGGGGAGTATATAAGTAACCGGAACAACCTTAATATCCTGGAGGCGTTTGTGAAAACGTTTGATTTCGTGGACGTTAGGATAGACGAGGCCTTGAGGGCATTCCTGGAGGCGTTTCGGTTGCCCGGGGAAGCCCCGACGATAGCCTTGATTTTGGAGCACTTCGCGGAACATTGGCATGTAAGTCGTGTGTGTACGGGGCGTAACTTTGAATGGAGGTTGTATTTATAAGGAGGCTTTCTTTAAACTTTAGAAACATTCTGGAGAACATTAAAAAACTTTAAAAAACTGACCTGCACTTAAAATTACATCCTGTGTATTGTTTTTGCAACATGTTCTATAAAAACCACAATTTTTTTTAATAATATTTCATTTTTGTGATAAATTAAGTATTTTCTGCTCCTATTCCTCCTTTTTATGCTTAATAGTCCAATCAAATTTAGTTTAGTAAACAAAGACACGTAAAAATTAGAAAAAATTTCGTAGAATTGAAAGAACTACTTAACGCCAGCTGAATGTTAGGGCTTCATTTTCAAAATTTTTTTCATTAAAAAAAAAACAACATTTTAGAAAAAATGTTTTAAATAAAAGTTGTAGAATTTTTTATAACAAAAATTTTGAGCAATGTCAATTGATAAACAAATGTTTAGTTATTGCAAAAAAATGGCTAAAAATCGCATTTTTTCAAAACTTCTATATCTTAAAAATGAAAAAAGATTTTTTTACGAAACTTTCAAAATTTGTAGTCCTTGGCAAGTAAAATAAGTGCGTTTTTGTAAATTTGCAAAATTTTATATAGTTTTTGCAAAAATTGAGTTTTTCAAATTTCAATAAATCAAACAGTAGTGCACTTACACACCATCTTCGGCTTAAAATTTTCTCTAAGAGTTGTACTTTCTTGTGCAAATTGTGTGCGTATTGCAGTTTTTAATGGGAAATATGCGAAAAATCTACCGAAATTTTGACATCTTTTTCTTATCGTTGAAATTTAATCGGAATGGCATTATTGCCATTTGAGAGCTGAAAGAGTGATCCAAAAAAACTTCTATTTTTTTTTCTCCTCGTTTGTCGTCCTGAAGAATTCAGTTCAAAAGTGGTCCAAATTATACAGTCCATAGTACAGGCCCCTCCTGGAAAGTTGATTACCACATACTTTATAACTCGTGAGGAGCTTCGTTTTGACGAGTCGACCACACTTTTCCTCTGCGACTTTTCTCGATTCCTCCGCTTTTCCACTCGGAAAAGTCCAAAAACATGGCAATTTCCCGGGGTCTTGTAAAGTCAAGACCACATATTTTTTTTAGCTTATGTTTCTGGAAATTTTGTTGCAAATGCCGATTTCAATTAGTCCAACAGAAATTCTTCCGACATTGACGTGTCTACTGGCTGAAACATGCCAAAATGGCAGGGTAATGAAAATCAATTACCACATAGGCAATTTTTAGTAAAATTAATTGTAAATAATTAATTCGGTCAAAAAGTATTGTTGTCTGACAAATTTCAAGCCGCGTTTTTTCAATTCGACAGCTGGATTACCACGTGTAATTTTCATTTTTTCCACTTTTAAATTTACTGTACAAAATAGTGATATAAGTGTCCGACGTTTTAATGTCCGCAAATTATTAAAAAATCAATAAATCGTGATGAAATTTAAATAAAAAAAAGATGCGGTCTCTACGTAGCTTATTATTTGAAATTGGCAGGCGTCCAAACAAACAGAATGATCGAACGGGAGCGAGCAAATGCCGAGCTGAGCGCGCCAGCCAAGTGCAATGTTGCCAAATCTAAAGGCTTACTACTTCAGTCATTAGCGAATCTACAGAAACTTTCCTTAGACTTTAGACGTACCTCCGTACCCTATAAATCTCCTTAACGATTTTTATACTGAAAACATAGCAAATCTTGATGGATTTACATAAACACTTAAAGAAGTCACTCGGTTTGGCGAGCAATCAGTTTTTTGGTGAATTCAGATGCTGTAAAATTTTGTAAAATCGCCAGCACCTCATTAAAATAAAGCGTTTGGTAAAATCTAATGGTAAAGAACGAAAGATTTTTTACATAGGAAATGGTACACTTTGCATATTTAAGAATTTTGAACACAATGAACCAGTGTGCCGAGAACGTTGCCAACTAACAGGTTTGACTTGTCATATCTCCAAAACAAAAACTATGCTCAACTTAAAATTTTGCCTACTCTAAATTTGATACTTTAGAGCTACTATTTAGACCACTTTTGAATCGAATTCGTGAGCTCGTCACAGTGATGGTTGTGGTAAGGGAGAAAGAAGGATTAAGATTTTAACTTATGTTTAACTTGCGATGATAATGATTGCTCCAATATTGAAGAAAAAACTATTTCTTAAACTTATTGAAAAAGATATGGACGAGCCATGTCTATCGGAAAATGAAGTCGAAACAGACGAAGAAAACTTCGATGATATTCAAAATGATGAACAGGAAATTGCATTGAACAGTAGTAGTGAAGAGGAATCAAGACCTAAGAAAAACATTAATATTAAAAAAGAGGTCGTAACGATTTTTTGAAAAAAAAACTATATTCCGCTCCTGTTGGTTGCGACATTTTTTTTTTAATTTGTAAAAAAATTTCAGCTTTCAAATGGCAATAATGTCATTTTGATTAAATTTCAACAATAAGATCTACATTTTTCGACTCAAAAAAATAAGTCGAAGTTTCGGTAGATTTTTCGCAATTTCCAATTAATTTGCAATACGAGCACAATTTGCACAGGAAAGTACAACTCTTAAAGGAGGTTTTAAACCCAAGATGGGTCATATAAATAAATGCATTACTGTCTTTTTTTCGAAAAACTCAATATTTGCAAAAACTATCAAATAATTTGCAATTTTACAAAATGCACTTATTCTACATGCCAAGGACTTCATATCCTGAAAATTTCGTAAAAAATTTTCGTATTGAACATATACAGGGTGCTTCAGAAAACACGGGCCAATGCTCGGGGGCAAATTTCGTATTTTGTAAGGGCTTGCAAGTAAGTCCGGTCCTGAAATTCATATTTAACATAATACCTAGGATGTAAATAGTTAGTTGTCCAAATTTCGTTTAATTCCCTCTAGTGGAAATCTAGATTTTTGGAAAAAACATTTTATTTTAAAACTTTGACACCCTGTAATTAAGGAACGAAGCGAAATCGGACCCATGTTGAAAAATAATCTTGTTTTGAGGTTAGGAATCTGCCGCCGAGCGTTGGCCCATCTTTTCTGAAACACCCCATAGAAGTTTTAAAAAAATGCGATTTTTTGGCCGATTTTTTCAATAACTAATACATTTGTTTATCAATTAACATCGGGCTGGGCTCAAAATTTTTGTTATAAAAAGTTCTACAACTTATGTCTAAAACATTTTTTTCTAAAATGTTTAGTTTTTTTCTTAAATTACAAAAACTGTTTTTTGCTAACTTTAGGCGCCATTTTGAAAATGATGCCCCAACATTCAGCTGGGGAATTTTTCCTAATTTTTACGTGCCTTTGTTTACTAAACTAAATTTTGGCAAAAAAAACGAGGTATTTTCGACAATTTGACTGGCCTATAAATATGAATATTGGGAAATACTTCTTTTTCAGAAAAGTAACGGTGAACCATTCGCCGATGTCGACTCTGCGTTTACGTTAGCCTACGCTATAATAATGCTGAACGTCGATCAACACAATCAAAACGCCAAAAAACAAACCATCCCGATGTCCGCATCAGCCTTCAAAAAAAACTTATCTGGCGTTAACGGCGGAAACGACTTCGATGAAGACATGTTGGACGAAATTTATAACACCATTAAGTAAGTTGTGATAATATTTCTCAAGTTTCATGTTAAAATTCTGCGAAAGATTTAAGAAACTACATTTTTTCTTTCAGAAACGATGAAATCGTGATGCCGGCGGAGCAAACTGGCCTGGTGCGTGAAAACTACCTGTGGAAGGTCCTACTACGCAAGGGCCAGTCGAAGGAGGGAGTCTACTTGCATGTCACCGGGGGCACGTACGATTCCGAGCTGTTCCAGCTCATCTACGGACCCATCGTGGCGGCCCTCTCGTTCGTCTTCGAAAAGAGCGAGGAGCAGAACATATACAAGAGGGTGATGCAAGGCTTCGAACGTTGCGCTTTCATCGCGTCGTATTTCGGCATGTCCAAAAACTTGGACATGCTACTCCTGAGTCTGTGCAAGTTCACGATCTTCCATAACCACCAGAAGCAGAACAACGTCCTGGTGCAGTTCGGGGCCAACGTCAAGGCGCAAACGGCCCTGAAGGCCGTTTTTTCCCTGGTGCACCAGCACGGCGACAACCTCAGGGAAGGGTGGAAGAACCTGTTCAATTTGATCCTCGCTTTGTACAGCAACGCACTGTTACCGAAGAGCTACGTGGAAGCGGAAGATTTTATCGAGTCGAGCGGGAAGATCGTTTTGGAATACGAGGAGGTCCAGAATCTGCAAAAACAGGATACAGGTTGGTGGTTTCGCTGTACGAGCTATGTTTGTATATAAATTATACATATTTAAGGTCTGTTAAGTTCGCTGTACTCCTACATGGTGTCGGCTGAGAATCTGTCCAAGGTGCCGACACCCGAAGAGCAGCAGTACATTGAGGTGGCCAGAGAATGCGTCAAAGATTGTAATTTGGAACAGTTGATAACGGATTCCAAGTTTTTACACGAGGAGGCACTTTTCGAGTTGGCGAAATCCCTCATCGAGTTGTCCAGGGGGCCCGACGTACAAAAAAGTCTCGGGTATAATTACAATGAGAACGTTACCGTCTTCTTTTTGGAACTTGTGATAAAGATCGTGATACAGAATAGGTAAGACTCCCTTTTTCGGTCGGTTGTATCTAGTTTCATAAAAAGAAATCATTCTCAAAGTGCATTTAAGAGGGCTCTATAGCAGATTTTATTACACAGTTTGTCTAAATATGAATCAATGCACAAATAACAGACTTTCCTCCATTTTAACACAAATTTTCTATAAAATGGACTTTGTTTGAAACTCAAATAACTTTTTGTTGTAAAGAAATTGGTAATTTGCATCGTAAATTACAAATATCTTGACACTAAAAACTAAAAAGTAATTTCATATTTAGACAAACCGTAATAAAAATCTATAAAAATGTATTGCTGGTTGGCTATTTGCTATAGAGCCCTCTTGATGTAATCTTGATCTTATTATTTTAGGAATTTTTTAATTTACCGAAATTTAATTGCAAAGGAAATAAAATTACTGTGGCTCGTAATCATTTATGAAAGCTCAGTATTTAGTAATTGTGATTTACCTAACCAATATTTGCCCTTTTCACTAGGTTTCTTTCAAAAAAAATCTATATTTTATTTAGTGGAGTCAAGATAGCTTAAAATTACGCATTATTTCGAAATAATTATGCGAAGCATGGATTTTCCTAAAACCTTTCGAAATTACTTGGAGATAATATTAGAAAAAAGTTAAAACTTATTTTTTGTACGCTAATTGTTTTTTAATTGTTTAAACAATAATAAATAGTTTTTTTAAGAACATTTAAATTAATTAATTCAATGAATTTTAAATCGAATTCTTTCAAATTGACAATATAGGGGTTTTCGATGTCGCTGAACAAGAATATGAAGTCGGAAAATTAAAATTCAAAATGGCTGATCCAATACGGCCGACTATTTTAAACAATTTATTTAACAATTATCGATTTTAAATCAAACTCGCTTATATTTGTAATATAGGGGTTTTTGACGTCGCTAAACAAGAATATAATGTCAAAAAATGAGAATTCAAAATGGCTGATCCAATATGGCCGACTATTTTAAACAATTTATTTAACAATTATTGATTTTAAATCAAACTCGCTTATATTTGTAATATAGGGGTTTCTGACGTCGCTAAACAAGAATATAATGTCAAAAAATGAAAATTCATAATGGTTGATCCAATATGGCCGAGTATTTTAAACAATTTATTTAACAATTATTGATTTTAAATCAAACTCGCATATATTTGTAATATAGGGGTTTTTGACGTCGCTAAACAAGAATATAATGTCAAAAAATGAAAATTCAAAATGGCTGATCCAATATGGCCGACTATTTTAAACAATTTATTTAACAATTATTGATTTTAAATCAAACTCGCTTATATTTGTAATATAGGGGTTTTTGACGTCGCTAAACAAGAATATAATGTCAAAAAATGAGAATTCAAAATGGCTGATCCAATATGGCCGACTATTTTAAACAATTTATTTAACAATTATTGATTTTAAATCAAACTCGCTTATATTTGTAATATAGGAGTTTTTGACGTCGCTAAACAAGATAATGTCAAAAAATGAAAATTCAAAATGGTTGATCCAATATGGCCGATTATTTTAAACAATTTATTTAACAATTATCGATTTTAAATCAAACTCCTTCATATTTGTAATATAGAGGTTCAAAATATGAAAATTATTAATGGCTACAGAGGTTTTATTGAAAATATGTTTTATTTTTTTAAAAACAAATTTATTACAAAATAATTAATTTTTAAATCTCATAGAGTTCTTGCTCTTCTTCAAAAATAACTGATCAATTAAGGCTTTAAACCAATAAAATTGAAAAAAGAACACTGATTTTAAAAACAAAATTACAAAATCAAAATCAACGTCCCCTATTATTTATTTATTCATTAATAATTTTAAAAATGGATCAATATTCATATACGTATAAATATTAAACTCATACATTTACAGGATTAGCGTAAAAGAAAACGAATATAAATACCTTAAATGCAAACTGAAGATTATTTGTAATATTAAGTAATAATATTACATTAAAGAATTACAAGTGTACAAGAGTATAACCTCAAAATTCCATTTAAAATTTTCAATTTGACCTCTAAATGACCTTCAAGGTCATGGTTAAGGTCACCGTTGGACTGCTCACTCAAAACCCTGCAACTTTTGTCCTAATCATTTTTTTGTTTGAGCAATATTTTCTGAGATAGAGGGGGGTTCCAAACTTTTTGAACACCCTGTATATATATTAGACTTCTATCTGTGTCTACATCAATAAGAGAACTTGTATTCACAATTTCAGACACAGAATGTACGTTTTAAAAATGAATATTAAATCAATTTGTCAAAAACGTTATTTTTTTGCTGTTATAACAATTTTCCACTTATTACTGTAAATAAAAAAATTATTTTTCGCTGGATTTACTTTTTTTAAGGTCTTTACTTAATTCTTTGATGGTTTATTATACAAAAAATTTTTTTTTGTACATTAATAAACTTTATTTAACAATAAATTTCATGGATTTTTCATGAAATATTTTTATTTTTTCAACTATTATTTAAATTTTTTAAGAAAAATAAAATGCGCCATCTTAAAGTAGAGATTTTAAGCTTTAAAAAGTGCTCTCATAAAGTTTCAATATCACATTTACAACTATAGTTTTTGATCTATAAAGTATGGCCTAAAAAGTCAAATTTGTGATTTTTTAAAATTATTGATATGTTAGGCTCAAAATTTTTCAATTTAAATTTTTAAAATTTTTGCCATATCGCTCACTGTTTCAATCGTCATTTGAAGAGTAATCTGTGAAGGTTACAGATATTTATTTTAAGAATTAAAAGAATGATGGCTATTTTATTACTTTTGTACAAAATTATAGAATGACGTAACTTTGTATACATACTACTCGTATATATATTTTTTTTCTCAGGTTTAAAGACATAAAATTTTGATAGCCGGATCACTCTTCTTTCATTTAAATTTCTGTGAGGTCAATTTGATCAAAATCTATCTTGACTCCACTAATTAGCCATTAAATTTGTTTGTTCTATTAATAATTTTTGGAACCCTCTAAAATGATACGCCCATGGAATCACGTTCTCCACACGGTTCACCCGTCGCACATGTTGAAAATAAGTCACTGCCTTTCATTTCGAAACTGTATAAAAATCATGACTTTCACGCGTTCGACAATTCACACTAAATAAGAACAATTCTGCACTTAACTTTTAAATCATGGTCCGATATATAACGAAATATAACAATTTCAGAGACCGCGTCATGACGATATGGCAAAACGTGAGGGACCACATCTACACCCTGGTAATGAACGCCTCGGTGTTCGACTACCAGTTCCTACTGGAACGGTCGGTGATCGGTTTACTGCGTATAGCCATAAGGCTCATGCGTAACGAGGAAATGAGCCCCATCGTCCTCCAGTCATTGAGAATGCTGCTCTTGTTAAAGAGCAGCACCCTCTGTCGAATATCCCGCCAGATTTCCTTCGGGCTATACGAACTACTCAAGACTTCGGCTCAGAACATCCACACCAATACCGACTGGACTATAATCTTCACGCTGTTGGAATGTGTGGGTGCGGGAGCGCAACCGCCCAAGCCCATCGTAGACGATTCATCGCAGCTCGAACAAGGCACTAAGTCTGACGGGGAGAATCAGGCGAATAGCGATGAGGAAGTTAGCACCGATCGGGGATACACGTCCGACTCGGAACTGACTAAGAGTCCGAAGCACGGCCAGCAGAGGCCGCACAGTCCCCTCATTGTTCCCACTTCGCCTATAGGGACGCCGAATACCGGGGGATGGATTTTAGTAAGTAATTTTTGTCTTTGTGTGTTAGGAGGTGACAAAAACGGACTTTGGTAACATTTTTTCATTTTAAGGTTGGTAACGAAGGGGAGATCCAGCCGGTAGTGGGCAGGACCGTGCCTCCGACCCAGTACGGGCTGTCCTTGGAGAGAAATTTGGGTCCGCACGACCCGAGCAGTTTGATAAAGTGCTGCGAAAGTTTGGCCTTCCTAGTCAGAGATGTCGCCCACATAACCCCGTACAATTTCGACGTTTGCGTTCACTGCATCCGAACGTTCGTCGAGGCCAGTTTACACGGATGTAAGCGATAAATATCTCTTATTGCTTATTTATATTCTTGCTTTGTTTTGATTAAAGGTAAGAGAAGCAGGAAAAATTCGACCCGTGAGTCGAGACCCAGGAGAAAAAATTCAAATCGGAGAAGAACCGAGGCCTACCGTAATAGAAAAAGCCCCACGAGCAGTCCCGAGGAGGATGATGAGAGCGATGAAGACGACTTGCCCAGTGGGTATCATCAGATATCAATACAGGTAGGTAATCGCCTTACCCACCATTGTAATGTGCTATTCATTTCGCATAGTGTACCAATAATGTATGTGATAGTTTTAATAGTACAGTCATTGAAGCTGAAAATCAGCTGTAACTTTTGAAGGCTTCCGTGGCTGTCGTTAATGGTTGAATGATTTCCGGGCTGGTTGCCACGGCGTCGGTTCACAACACTTGACGTTTCGAGAGACATATCGCTCTCTTCTTCAGAAGTTACTCTGAAACTGGAGATCTATTAGTCTTGTCACTATTTATATTTGATGTGGTCACTGGTCCATGATGTTCCGGTGGGTGACAACGCGTACGAGGTCACCCACCGACGATGTGGCAACCAGCCTGGAAATCATTCAACCAATCAGCTGTAACCTCCGAATTCTTTGAAACTGGATGGATTTGCATGAAAATTTAGAATAAGGCTCATCTTAGGCTCAGGTTCAAAAGTGACATAAGCCCGATTGACGCTTTTTTTTGTTAGGGGTAAAAACTACCGCTAAGTGAAAAATTGAAAAAATTAAGTTTTAAGCATTTTATTGAGAAAAATCTTGTTCAAGCACAAAGATTAAATAATGTTTCATGTTCTCGAACATGTTTTATGATATATTTGATCTTTTTGACCCTTTATTTAACCCTTAAAAACTACCCCTAAAAGTAATGATAAAAAATTACTTTTTAAAGATTTGGAATGATTAAATCGTGCAATTATTTAAAATAAAAGTTACCTTATAGCTAATAAAAGAATTTTTCCCTTTCAACCCCTAAAAACCACCCCTGTATTGACAAAAATTATAAAAAATTACTTTTTAAAAGCTTGGAATGCTTTAACGGTGCAATTATTTAAAATAAAAATTCCCTCATTGCTTTTGAAATAATTTGTATTTCATTACACTTTTCAACCCTTATAAATCACCCCTGTGTTAAAAAATTAATAAAAAAAATACGTTTTAAATCTTGGAATGCTATAATTGTGCAATAATTTAAAATAAAAATTCCCTTATATTGTTTATGACAGAATATTTTACTTTTGCCATTTTCAACTCTTATAAACTACCCTTTTACCAACATTAATGTGAAATATTTTTATTATAATCAAGTATTAAATATAATCAATCATAAAAAAAATTGCTATGCTGCATATAAACTTTTATACACGCTGACGCACACTTGAATCCTAACATTTTGCTCCAAAAATGAGAAAGCCTATTTTGCTCCGAAAAAATGTCATTGGTTTTTTTACCATAACTCGCTTAATTTTGAAGCTATAGTATCCTACAAAAAAGCATTTTAAAGATAATTTCAAGAGCTGTTAGATCGTTTGCATATAAAACCTTTTAAGTCCTTCGTTTTTTAAAGGGAAAGAATCGAAGGGCTCGAGAGAGGTCGTTTTTTTGATTAAAATGGATACTTCAAGCGGCGATATCTCCTTTAATTTTTGTGCTATAGGAATAAAAAAAAGCAAAATATTTGTTGATAAAAAAGCTACATTTTTGTTGTCTATCATTTTTACGTATCTCATAGTTTCAGAGTTATTATATAAATAAGGCAATTTATTTTGAATAATGAAAAATACATTTTCAACTTTTACCGTACATTATTCAAAAAATACGCATTCTAAACAGGTCTAACTTCAGGATCGTATGAAAAACGCTATAACAAAACTAATTGTAAAGTATCTACGATTAATTTTAATTCTGAAAGAAATGGTAGTGTTTACTGCTCATTTTTTCTTAAAAAATATGAGCAACCCATCTGTTTTTGACGATAACTCCTTCAATTTTGCTCTAATTAATTTTTATAACTGCTAATTTTGAAGGTCTCTTTGAGTACTACAAGAAACTCCTGGAGCGTTATACACGTAAAATTAATCCTTTTTTCGTTATTTGACGTTGAAAACATCGATTCGAGTATTTCTCGCAAAATAAGTCCCCTTCCACTAACCATATTTCGCTTTGTATAGGACGTACAACACTTTTTGGAAAATGATTTTCTTTGTTTATTTATAAGCTACATTTTTGTTCATTGCACTCTTTTTAATAAAATGCGTAGTTTTTGAGCTATTCGTGAAAAAAACTTTGAAAAAGTGTTCTTTTTCACTCAAAATTCCAAGTTTTCAATCGTGAATAACTAAAAGACTATTGATTTCTCGATAAAATTCTTCGAATATTTTTTGCTCAAAATTTGAATATGTATTGATTTCCAGCGTTATTTTTGAAAAAAAAATTTCCACCCCCGAGAAGGGGTGTTAACCCCCAACAGGGTGGAAGCATCAATCGGTGCTATGCCACTAATGTTCATTGACCTTTTCTCTATCTGCCAAATTTCAAGTCGATTGGTTAAGTTTCAAAGAATTCAGAGGTGAAACGGTTCAATGACTGTACTATAACGGAGATGTGTCAGTGAGTGTCATAAGCGTACAAGTGGAAAAGAGTGTTATTATTTTCACATTTTAGTTGAAGTATAGTAATAATTTCCCCTTGTTACTCGCTTTATTTTTCAGTTATTAGACTTAATGCACACCCTGCATACCAGAACAGCTCAAATTTTCAAGTGGTGGGCCGAAGAAGGGGGCGAAATAGCTGAAGAAACATCTTTATGGACCCAAGGTTGGTGCCCGCTCCTGCAGGGTATCGCCAGACTGTGCTGTGATACTAGACGACAAGTAAGTTCAAGATAAAACTCGAGAATTCTCTCAAAATAAAGTACCACTTATTTTAGGTTAGAATGAGTGCTATAACCTACCTTCAACGAGCCCTACTAGTCCACGACCTGCAAACCCTGAGGGGGCCGGAGTGGGAACAGTGCTTCCAGCGGGTGCTTTTCCCCCTGCTGAGCTACCTCCTGCAGCCCATCACCCCGAGAGATCCCGTGGCGATGGAGGAGACCAGGATGAGGGCCGCCACCGTCTTATCCAAGGTCTTCCTCCACCATCTGACTCCCCTGCTCTCCCTACCCACCTTTTTCAATCTGTGGCTGTTGATTTTGGACTTTATGGATAAGTACATGCACGCGGACAAGAGCGACTTGCTGTACGAGGCCATACCCGAGTCGCTGAAGAATATGTTGCTCGTCATGGACTCTGCGAAGGTGTTCGACGGCCCCGACGGGAAGAACCCCATGTGGAACGCCACCTGGGACAGGATCAACAAGTTCCTGCCTAACTTGAAGGACGAGCTGTTCAGGGAAATCGAGGTTCAGGACCAGTCGAGGGAGAAAAAGGAGGAACTGCCGCAGGTGAGGCCTTTCTATTTTTTTTTTTATTTTCGTTATATCGGTATGTTTACAAAATTAAAAAAAAAATTGTTTTGTGCGAAGTATACAGAAATTCGATTAGCTTTTTTTTATTTACGTTCTTAACTTTGTAGAGGTCACGCTTATAAGTGGAACATGGGCCGTCAGGAGTGTGTGTACTGCCTGTTCGCAATAAAGAGCTAGAAATTTTTTATAACTTTTGCAATCTAGAGAGTAGTCAATGAAGACATGATCAGGTTTTACTGTTCATAAAAGAAATAAATTTATTTTGTTAATGAAAAACATATGAACTATTCTTCAATGCGTAAACTGAATGAAATACAAAAAATAAACAAGTTAAACATAAAAAAAGGTATACAGATTAGTGAGTCACTGTTGTTTCCATTAGAGCTGCACTCTTGACGAACAGTCAACAAATGTTCCAAGCAAATATCCAGAGCGTGTCTTTAAGAGATGCAAAATTTATCGTTTAATTAATTTTTAGCAAAAGTGATAATTTTGATCATTCTGATCACGACAAAAGAAAAATCGTAGGGGTTTGAACTCTCGAATGTTTCTTTGGAATATTTTGAGGTTAAAAAAAACGAAAATGTCCTTAGTCTATTCATTATTTGTATCTCAAGTTTAACAAATATTCTTAAATATGAAATTTTTTACTTTTTTTTTAATCAAGGTTCTTGCATTGAAACAAATTTTTTTATCGACAAACCAACACTTAACCTAACGCTAGATATCTGATGTATACCACGCGTGCATTTGGCAGACTTGTCCTACGGAAAAAATGTGAACAACTATTATTGTGAAACATTTGGTAAATTTCAAGACAATCGTTTTCTCCAGTTTTTAAATAAATAAAATGTATCGATTTTGTAGTACGAATATAGTGTTGTGCTTAAATTTTTGTTCGAATTTTAGTAATTATGAATCACTTAAAAGAGGAATTTAACTTTTAATCAAATTATGAATTTGAAAAATATGTAATTAAAGTACCTACAGATTCACGTCATCCAAATTTAGGTACTTACCAAAAAGCAAAATTCAGTAATTTTTAAACACACAAGTACAAAACAACATATGCTCAGAATGTCCACTACTATTTTCGATGCACGCACGACACCTTCGAATCCAATTTTCGCGTACTCGCTGGAAAACACCTCAAGAAAAGGAAATAGTGGTATGCAAAAAACACTCAGACATGCTCCAATTCCAGATACCAATTCAATTGTGTATTGCTGGACAGCACGCCGTTCTCACATTGCTCGATATGAATTTTATCGAATTTTAAATTTATTACAGCGCTTATTATTTTTTAGAATTAAGGAGGTTTATAGGGTACGGATGTACGTTTAAGTCTAACAAGAGTTTCTGTACATTCGCTAGTGACTAACCCTTTAAATTTGGCAACGCTAACCTTGACTAGCGCGCTTGGCTCGGCGTTCGCTCGCTCGCATTCAATCATTCTGTTTGTTTGGACACCAGTAAATTTCAAATAATACGCTACGTCGAGACCGCGGCGTTGCCGCTATCACGCATATGGAGGATAAGTTAGTCAACGACAGCAGTTTGATGGAGAATTATAAATTATGTATCTTACAAGTACCTAATCGATTTCTACGAGCTGTCATACGGTTCCTTATATATCGGTTTCCTATTTATATAAGCTGCTGTGGAAAATGTTCGTCAATTGTTGCGCATTCTAATTGGAAAGACCAAAATAATCTGCATTCTCATAAGACTGTACTAAATCGTGAAAAATTATTTTATTAATATCTCATCTCTTAGGTATCCAAACTAGTCATAATTTTATTTCAGGATTTTTTTCATATTAATAAGCCTATATTAATTTTTTTATGAATATTTGTTTGTCAATTCCAAATCAGATAAACCTCCTTAAGTATAAAGAAGTTCAAAAAAGTGATAAACATTGTATTTCATGGTATTCTATGCAAGCAGTTATGTCAATATTCCTTAATTAATCGAACTTTTGTCCATCAAGTTGGAGATTTTGAAAAATTTTTTCTCGGAAACGGTTGAGTTTAGGACCCATGCCATATAAGTTTTTTTTTGTTTATTTTAATGTATTCTATCGTCTGTTAAAATTAAGGCAGTCAAAATTCTAACACCCTCTAGAGTAAATGCCTCTGGGTTGGTTAATGAACGAAATAAGAAAATGGAACCATAGGGCCAGTCCTTTGGATGCGTTTTTGTTCGAATTATTTTCGTCAGAAATCAGACTGATAATTTTGTCAGATTTCGCCGATGTGGTAGTTTTTGCTTTCCACGAAGTCAGTCACTTAGGCGGTATTGTTTTTTCAGGGATGATATAATTGTTAATAACATGGATGATTATCTTTTGGAAAATAGTTATCTTCTTAGATGGTATTAGAGATTAAATAAAAGTGTTGAGTTAATGACATATTAGCTAAACGAAAAGAATTCGGAGAATTTCATCATTTATATGATTTAAAGGACGAGAAAACATTTTTTGATTATTATCGCTCGCATCAGAATACATTTTACTATATTTTAGAAGCCATAAGTGAAAGTAGAAAAAATGCCGAATTTCCTCGATTTGTCAAAACAACTGCGAACAATTCCATTTGTTTCGGATAGATGGCACATTGCATGTTATCGTCCAAATTCAAACGAATTAATTTGGACACAGTGTACAACCTTCAATTGGTTTAATTAAAATGGGATCATTCTTCGTCTGATTTCTGACGAATCCAATTCGGACGAAAACGCATCCAAATGACGACCGGCCTAAAGATATTTATTCAAAACTAATGTCTACTCTCTTTACGACCATTCTATAGGCTGCCTCTTCCTTTTTATACATACATAAACGTCACTCTCAACTAACTCCCCCCTCCCCTGGTCCCTTTCAGCTCTTATAACTAGCAGCACATTAAAATTATATCACTGTCCACACACCTGCACATATAGTCTTCCGTCATCTAATAAACCTCTCAGTGTCTATACAGGGTGCTAACAGGACAGTTTGAGGTTATCTTCTTAGATTTTTTGTACGATCATTAGTTCCCGAAATCAAAAAGGTGATTTTTGCTTTGAACGAAAATAACTCGGAGACAAATAATCGTACGTTTCAAATTAAAGAGGATGAGTCAAGCTAAAAGAGGTGATAGATGGGATTGTCAAAAACAAAAATGAAAATTTTTGACCTTCAGAAGCTTCAATTTGCTTTTTTTTTATTGATCTACAACCATTTTTTTCAAAGTTACAGCTATTTGAAAATCACGTAAAAATTTAGGACTTTTTTATCCTTTAATTTTTGTGACTAGTGTATATTCCACAACGCTTTCGGTTTGCAAACAGACAGTTTATACAATATTTATATTTTAACGTAACTAACTAAAATCAGTGGTATGTTGTAGTAAAATAGTTATCAAGTAACTTCATTGTGTTGTAGCCTCAAGAGCCTGATCAGAGGATAGAACAAACTCAAAAATCACTGCCCCACAACATTGAAAACGCCACCAGGTCCAGTATTATTTTACAACCCCCTTCGATGCAACAGCCCGTCTCTTCCCATTTATTTGCTCATCTGGGGCAGGTAAGTTGAATACCTACCGGTCTTAGTAACGGATAAGCGATATATTTTGAGAAACTTGTATACTTTATACAATAAACTTTGTATTTATCACCACACTGTTGCCAGTTCATTACGTGTTCCGTGTCGTTGCCAAATAACCTTGAAAATGTCTAACTACTTTTGCAGATGGTATCCACGCCGATAGGGCCGAATTACTCAACGGACACGTCCCAAAAACCAGTTACCATCACACCAATGCCACAAGCGTCGACGAATCTTCCCGTAATACCCAACTCCACATCACCGATCATGCAACCCACCTTACAGACGGGCATGCCCTACATGCCCAACTTCTTCTCGCATACACCGACGGGCCAACATACTTTCCCGGTGTTGTATAACAGCGCGGTGCCCGCAACCGCCACCCCTACGGAAGTGCAACCGGTGTCGCTGTACGCCGAGTACATGGGCAACCCTTACAACGTTCCGTCCCCGGACGTTTACAACCTGGGAGGGAAAAACGAGATTAACGTGGAAAATGCACCTAGCTCTAACGCCAACGTGGAGAATGGGTCGGATCTAACGGCGGTTTCGGTTACGAATATCAACCTCGATTTGAATAAAAACAACAGCCAGTCGGGCGGAGCGGTAGTGAAGAATAACAACAGTACGAACTTTTTCCAATCTTCTAATTATTTCGGTAACGCTACCGCCGCGGGTTGTATTCCTGTCGGTTCCGAGATACTGTTCGGCGTCGAGCAATGTCACGTCGGTAGCACGCAGGGTATAAACATTCCAATCACAACCGAATCTAAAACCACCACAGATGTATGAGTACAAGATTTTGTTGGCATTTACGCTGGAATCGTGGAAACTGACCTGTCTTTTTTTTAACTTAAGTGGTAATTTGATGTGCAGATTAGCGTTTTAGTCAATTGTTTTAATATGGAAATATTAATTTGTCGACTGCGGCGTTATCTTTGTTTATATATTTTAAATTTGACAACCAGTCGAGGTTAGGAATGGAAATACTAGATGGCGACTCTCGAATAAAATCCCTAAAGTTCCTAGATTGACAAGGTACCGTAATCGATTGTTCTCGTTTTGCCCCAAAATGGCGGTTTGACACATGTTTGTATTTGACATCTCTAAATGTTCTGATGCATTACATGTTTATGATTTACCTGCTGTTTTTATCAAAACAGTATTAAAATTTAATTATATCCACTGTTTCACATTATAATTTTGATTTATTGTTTAATAATTATTCAAAATTATTTTCTCTATGACAGATACGAAAAAATGTTTGGATATTTAAGATGCTCTTAATTTAACCACATTAATATAATATTTTCTACATTATATAAAAATATATCGAAGAGTATTTATTTAGTCTTATATTTCAGGGTCGGCAAAAGGGATTTTATCCCAATATGGCAGGTGATTGGTGAATTCCTAAAGTCCCTAGATTGATCATGAACCACCACCGATTGTTTTAGTTTGACATATGTCAAGTTGTGTGCTATTTGTATAAAAAAAAACTATCGCCATTTAATTGTTGTAGCATTCTAGACCAAATTTTTGGTTATTGCATAATAAATTCGTCAAAATATTAGAAAATTAACTATCTACAATAAACATGTCTTAAAAAAATTCAATCTTATATTTACAATGACTGATTTTACCCCAAAATGGCAGGCGACTGGTACTTTATTAATCTAGGGACTTTCAAAAATCCCTAGATTGATCATGAACCACAAGCGATTGTTTTAGTATGACGTATGTCAAGTTGTGATATTTATATTTAAAAAAACTATCATCGTTTAATTGTTGTACTATTCTAGACCAAATTTTTTATTACTGCACAATAATTTTTTCAAATTTAAGAAAATTGTCTACAATAAATGTATTAAAAATTCAAAAATATTTACAATGTTGGCACCATTGATTTTACCCCAAAATGGCAGGCAACTGGTACTTTATTAATCTAGGGACTTCAAAAATCCCTAAATTGATCATGAACCACAAGCGATTGTTTTAGTTTGAGATGTCAAGCTGTGTGATATTTATATTAAAAAAAAACTGTTACCATTTAATTATTGTAGCATTCTAGATCAAATTTTTGGTTATTGCATAATAATTCCTTCAAAATATAGGAAAATTAATTATCTACAATAAACGTATTAAAAATTCAAAGTTACATTTATAAGGTTGGCGCCACAGATTTTGCCCCAATGCACGCGACTGGTACTTTATTAATCTAGGGACTTCAAAAATTCCTAGATTGATCATGAATCACAAGCAATTGTTTTAGTTTGACATATGTCAAGTTGTGTGCTATTTATATTAAAAAAATATATATGATCGTTTAATTGTTGTAGTATTCTAGACTAAATTTTTGGTTATTGCATAATTTCTTCAAAATATAGGGAATTAAAAATTCAAACACGTTTACAAGGTTGGCGCCACAAATTTTACCCCAAAATGGCAGGCGACTGGTACTTTATTAATCTAGGGACTTTCAAAAATCCCTAGATTGATCATGAACCACAACCGATTGTTTTAGTTTGACGTATGTCAAGTTGTGTGCTATTTATATTAAAAAAAAAAAACTATCATCGTTTAATTGTTGTAGTATTCTAGACCAAATTTTTGGTTATTGTATAATAATTCCTTCAAAATATAGGAAAATTAATTATCTACAATAAACATATTAAAAATTTAAACTTGCGTTTACAGTAAAATTTATAAAAAAAGTTAATTAAATTTTTCAATCGCCCCAATGACAGGCGACTGGTACTTTATTAATCTAGGGACTTTCAAAAATCCCTAGATTGATGAAGTACTGCAACCGCCGGTTGTTATTTGACATGTTTATTTTTGAATTATTGCATAATAAACTCATCAAAATATGTTAAATTCGGTTATATAAATATATATTAAGAATTCAAACTTACGTTTCAAAGATTCGCACCAGCGATTTTTCCCTTAAATGGCCGTTGATAGCAGTACTTTATTTTAATAATTTTTAATTTCTACTATGAACAAGACTAACAGGGATTTTTTAACAGTGTCTCCATCTAGTGTTCTCGTACTTAGGTTCAATCACTTGTGTAACTATCGACATATATAAACAAGGACATTATACCAGAATAAATCTATATTGTAGATAAAATATTGTGTATATTGAATTTAAATATATGTAATGGGCTAGAGGACATATCTAATTTTTGATTCACCTAGAATCTGAAACCAAATTCGAGTTTGAACGGTTGAATTGACCGAGAATATGAAGAAGCATATTGAATATGAAACTGCTGTAAAAATTAGATATAAACAACAACTACTACTGACAAACTGACGAACGTACGTCTAGTCCATTTGGTCCAAACCGTTCAAGAAATGTACAGTGATCTTTACTACTTCCTTATCTTTTTATATTTATTTATGTTACACAGATTTAATCATTTATTGTTATCCTATTAAAAATTATAAAAAATGTGCAAGAATACATTCTTTTATTTCCACACATGTTCTGGTCACTTGGTATTCCCGATAACTTTTGTGGGTGGTTCGTGCACCTTCGCTTTCCGTTTGAAAATAAAAAATACGGTGTAGTTGCTGGAGGAGTCCTGGCTGCTCTTTTGATCTTCGTTGGGCTTGGTTACAGATTTAACGCACCTCGGCGGGAAGAGCCACTTGGAGAGCTTCGTGCTCTTAATCGCTCTCCGAAATTTTTCGTTGTTCACTCCGTATATGAACGGATTGATGGCTGCGTTTAAAAAAATAAGCAACTTCGAAGTGAACCATAAGGTATGATAGACTCCATTCACCTGGAAAAAATGACTTCAATATAAAATATTGTAAACGTCTGCTATGGTTGGAAATTTCAAAACTATTTCTTGCAATTTGTCCTCCTAAATAAATAAAATACCACGTAACATGATTAAAGCATGCAAGTTTTATTAAATTTCACATTCTAGGCAGAAAAAGAGTGTCAGTTCTGACCCTTGCAACCTTCCCGTTGGATACACCTCTGTAGGGTCCCTGAAACTGTATGTCTCTGTATAGGGTATCTCATAAATCGGGCTGTCAGAACTGAACCGCGGGATATGAGATTTAGGGTTATGTTGTTATGAGATTGAGGTTGGGGAGTTTAAAGGTCATAGGTAGAACTGTCAGAACTGAGTCGCGTTATTTTAAGCGCAATAAAATAAATTACGTAGAAAATAAGCAATAAATTAGTACAATTCATAACGATTTGTTCAAAACTCACCCTGTTATCTAGCTCGATGTACTAGGTTCGTTCTCAGTTTTAAAACAAACCGGAGAAGCTGTGTAATAACTTTGCAGCATCAGGTAAGTTTCTATTGTCGTTTCCGCGAGTGATGTTCGTTGTGGTGAAAAAATATGATTATATTTTGAGAACGACCATTCCACATCGATCGAAGTAATACAGGCGTACTTAAAGTGGTCTTTGAACTCGTATAACGGATCTGAACATTCACTAACGGTACCATCACAAATTTGTCTTAATCGTGTAAAACCGGCATCTTCCTCTAACACACTCGCGAACTTTTCCCTAACGCACTCATTTTTGGCATCATCTATAGTGTTCAGCAAGCGATTTACTTCGTCCAGTATTTGCACTGAGTCTGCAAAAGACAACGCACTGTTTTTTAATTTTCCGATGGCGTCATGTAAGCTGCTATAGTTACTGTGAATAGTTTGTAAATCACTTTCAATGTCACTATTTTCGAATGCCGTCTGGCACTCCTTAATAGCCACAGTCTCCTTGGGATTGAACTGTCCTATTACAGCTTTTATTTGTTGAAAGTATTTTGCATAATAAAGAGCTGCCTGTAGCCACGTTCCCCAACATGTAAGAATTGGCTGTGGTGGTTCGGGGATATCTGGGCACTGGCTGCGAAATACCTGGAGGCGTTTGGGAGATTTTAGAAAGACTTTTTTTGTATTTGCTATTAATTTGTCTACCTTTGGAAAACCTTGACAAATAGTTTCTGCCACAAGATTTAAAGCATGAACTTTACACGTAATATGTACGAAACGACATCCGTGTTCTTGAAGAGAACGGCCGACCAAACCCATTGTCACAGCACCGTCGGTGACAAAGATTAATACTTGACTTGTTGATAGTTCAAATTTTTCTAACGTCTCTAGTACCACCCGTGTAACTGTTTCGCCAGTACACTCACTTAGTCTTTTGCTAACTAGTAACAGTGGCAATGTCGGTTTCACAGAGTCCAGTACACGTACTATTACATTCACAATGGAATTTTTTTTACAGTCTGTTGTCTCGTCTACACATAACCACAGCCATGTATTTTTTAATAAACATTTGATCTTGCCTACAATGTCTTCACGTGCAGTTGGTAGATAATTGCATAACGCTGCGCGACTTGGTAATGGCAGCTGAGGATTGTATTTGTTCCAGAAATCCCGGAATGGTTGTTTATCGAGTATATGCAACGGAATGTTACAGGCAATGAACATTAACTGTAAATCAAACATGAACTGTGTTGTCAAAGGCACACCATTCTTTTTATTCTTATGTTGCACACTATTTACGTGACGTTTACAGTCCCTTTTGTCCCAGCACATCAGGTCTCTTTCGCACACTTTACAAATTATTATGGCACCGTTATAAAATAAATCCGGGAATTCGCCGATAAATTTATTCACTCTGTCAGCGAATGGACGCTTTTTACTCTTCCGCACTTGTGACATACTTTATTATTATTAAAAAGTAACAAATTAATGCTGCGTTCAGCTAATGGTGGGACTAATTTGTTTGTGGTTTCATAACCTAATAACCTAAATGAATTTTCGTGTTTTACATCGTGGTATGGCCATTGCCTACCTAAATGTAAAATATAAATACTATGATTTGATTTTACTGTTCATAAATCATATTTTATGATCAATTTGTTACAGACCACAGAAAATAAAATATTTATTTTTCCTTTATTAGGAATCTCTGCAAGAGGAATGGTATAGCGATAGCCACTATTCAGTTATTGTCAGAAACTTCTTTTTGTTCTCTCACTTCTCTCTGGTTATTGTTAAGCAATTGCTATAATGAGAATTTGAATTTATAAATTACTCAAATTAGTGAAAATAAAAGCCGCAAACATAACAGGAACATAACCTGTTGATCACAGAACACAGTTTTGATAGATGGTATTATTGACATATCGACACAGAAGCCACAGAAGGCAGACAGTCAATAAGGGTTTTTTGGCGACCCAAACCAAATCAAACCCGGTTAGCTCGAGTTTGATTGTGTTAAGAGGTTGTGTTAACATTTGACAGAACTCGCAAAAATTCTTTTGTTTAGGATATCTAACATCAATAATAAAATCGTAACAATAATCTATGATAGTGCTCGTAGCTCAAGTTGTTTGATTATTTCTTATACACTATAGTCACAGCAAAATATGCTGTGCTATAGTTGTTATTCCTAATCTGAAATGCACATCTACGAAAGAACGTTAATGTATGGATGGTTATTAGGGGGGCTTTCGTTTTGGCAAAAATAGTACCTATTAGCAACTAATATCAGTTCAGAGTAACTCTAAGTTGCTATTAGCTACTAATAGCTACTATTTTTGTTAAATCAAAAGGCCCTTAGATCAAGTAGTGACTAGGTACGAAACAGAAAATAAATAAACAAAGATAGAAATATTAACTTAAGATCCAAACCAACGCACAAGTCCGGTTTGATAGTTTGGCAAACTTTGCCAAACCGGGTTAACTATAGCTGTTCGCGGAGCCTGTCAAATTAGTCCGGGATCAGTCAGAAGCAGTCGTCCAACTACTTTCTATGCTATTTCCTACAGGCATAGCATAAAAGAAGTAGCTAAACGATTGCTTCTGACTGATCCCGGACTAATTTGACAGACTCCGAAACGTCAAACCGCAGCAAACTATAGTTAACCGGGTTAACGGTTTTCTCGCCAAAAAACCCTTAATATATTGGATCTGTGGTCATGAATCCCATAGACCTAGTATAAGGTCTATGATGAAAGCACAAGTAAGTATATTAGCCGTCTTCTATTCATTGTTTCATTGAATCACGGATCTTTGATCCGGATCGTATCAAAATAAACGTCAAAAGAACATGTTTTTGAAACTGTGTTTAATTTAAAATTAAACTGAAAATAAACATAACCTCTTAAATTTGATTAGTTAGTCCCGGATTTTTTCATCTGCTAAAAATTTAATGCCGATAAAGAGTTAAAGTTAGACCATTATTTTTTTTACCTTTTTTGCTATTTGCTAAGTTGTAATCGATACGGGAATTTTAATATATTAAACAATTTCTTGGGATCAAGTTGCTCGTTCGCTGATCTAAAAATGTGTTCAAAAGAATAGCGACAGATCCCAAAACATTCGGTGAAATGGGTTATGATCAATGTATTTGGATGAAAAGAAGGCGGCTATTATGACAAGCACCAACGGATTTTCACATTAGTATACACTATACACTAATGTGAAAAGCGTTCTGAGAATGCGGCTCTCTCTGACATCCCTACTCCCTACACATAGAGAAAACAAATTTGAATCAACAGTATAGCCACAAGAGTAAATAAATTTAGGTACTCATATGAGTATAGCGACTTTGCCACTCAGTCAGGGTCAAAACTGATTGGATATTGATGATCACGTGGTTATAACGGATCCGCGGTCACGCATTCATGTGGGTCCAGGCTTATCCTCTCCGTAACCACTCTAACCAGTAACCACAAATATTTCCCGCTTCGCCGTTTATATTTATGTCAGACGACAGTTTTTATCAGGTTATCACCAATATATATGGGTTTTTTTTTGATTATTTAAAGCGTTATCAGTTGTATATGAGAGTGATATGGTTAATACTAGTTTTTCCTGTACTGCTAGATACAAACGATATGTATAAGGCAGGTTCCATAAGGAAAATCGAGGTGAAAAACTTCGTTACCTATTCTCACGTAGAAATGGTTCCTGGCCCCCATTTGAACATGATAATTGGTCCCAACGGAACGGGCAAATCTACAATGGTAGCTGCTATAATTTTAGGCCTTGGGGGAAACCCCAAAGTAGTAGGTAGGGGCACGAAAATCTCTGAGTACGTAAAACATAATTGCGACAGCGCAACTATCAACATAATCATTCAAGATCAACGCGAAGATAGATTTATTAAGGTAACAAGAGAGTTTGATAAGAATGACAGGACTTGGTGGAGATTGGACAATAGAAAGGTTAAGCCAGACGAAGTGTTAAAGTGCATCCAGAAATTTAATATTCAAGTAAACAATCTGTGCCAGTTTTTACCACAAGATCGCGTGCAAGATTTTGCCAAATTAAATAAGCAGGAGCTTTTACGAGAAACACAGAAAGCACTATGTAGGTTTGATTTAATAGAAAAACAAGAAGCTCTTATCAACAATCGATTTAACCATAAAGATCTCATCGCCTCAATAGAAACTTATCAGAAAAAACTGCAGGAGGCTCAAGATGCCAACGCGATGTTAGAAGGCAGGGTACAAAATTTCAACACAAAGAAAATATACACCGAAAAAGTATTGCATATAGAGAGAAAAATAGCCTGGATGATGTTCGAAGAAGTTAAAGTGCAAGTCACAGACATTAAAAAGGATAGAAACAATGCGCAGGAGGTGTATGATAAATTTAAAAATGAAGTGAGGCCTGTGGAACAGGCAATCGATGACTCTAGAAAACAAATTACAAACTTCCAACAGAGCAATTCTAGACTTGCCCAGGTAATAAGAAATATTGAAAATACTATTCATTCGAACTTGGAAAAGACCGACACCCTAAAGGGCTCCATAAGGTCGGTTGAGGACGATATGAATGTAAGATTGAGTGAAATTGAACAGTGGGACAAGGAAATTGAGAACGCTACTAACAAATTACAGGAAATGAGAATGTCTCACAAGGAAAGCCAGGCAAAGTGTGAAGCAGGTATGTAATTTGTCTGATTAATAAATTTATTGATATCCACATTTGAATAATTCAAAACTGTTGAATATTTATTTATTATTTTCCATCATTGTGTTGTGTTTAAAATAGTAGTAAATGACAAAATTAGAGTTTACTGGTAACTTACTTATGCCCAAAATATGAAATTTTCTATTCACTTTAAAATATTTGAAAACCATTTAAATAAACTTTTATGGTATGTTTGAAATTTTGATATTTTTAAGCTCAAGGTCATCAATTTTATTTAGCAAATTGAACTCATCTTTCATAGGCTCATTTGTTTGATAGAACAGTCTGAAGATGCCATTTTTGCGGTATTTTCATTTGTGTATCGCCTAAAACATTGGCCTTTGCAAAAAATAATATAAAGTGCCAAATTGCTCATATTGACAATTCTACTTACATCACTCTGGAAAATAAATTCCATAAAAAATAAAGGTGTTTAAATTATTTCATTAAATTTTATGTGGGATTGAAATAATTTCTTGTTTAGACGATCGGGAAAGGCAAAACTTAACTGGGGAACTGAAAAAATTAGTCACCCAGCAGCAGTCATTTCAGGACAAGAAGGACGAAATCCTCCAAGCAAAACATGACGAAGTGAGAAACATAAATTCCCTTGAGCATGAAATGAACCGTTTGGAAAACGTGAAACACACAAGACTTCAGTTATTGCAAAGGCAGAACCAAGACGCGCACAAAGCTGTATGCTGGCTGAGGAACAACAAACATTTGTTCCAGGGAGAAATCTACGAGCCGATTATGTTAGAAGTGAACGTTCTGGACAATCGTCACGCCAAGTACGTCGAAAATGTGATACCTATGCGCGATCGTCTCGCGTTCACTTGTGTAAACAAGGAAGACATGAATAGACTCATACGTTACTTAAGAGAAGGACAACGCCTGACGGTCAATGTTGTCTATTCCAGTGATAGTTCGAATAACCTTAACGCATTCCAGCCTAAAGTCCCTATAGAACAGTTACGCCAGTACGGATTCTACACTTACGTGAATAATCTATTTACGGCTCCTGCCCCAATAATGAGTTATTTGTGTAAAACTTACCAAATACACAACATCCCGGTGGGCGATCACAACACAAATAACTGTTACGAGAAATTGCCGCAGACCATTAGGCAGTTTTTTAGCGATAAATATCGGTACAGCATAAGTTTCTCTAAGTATTCGGGAGAAAAAAGCACCAGGCAGACCGAAATTTTCTCAGACGGTGGACTGTCGCTTTCGCTCGACGTGGTACGCCTTGAAAAACTGAAAGGGCAGATAAACGATGTAAGGAAAGCATCGCAAAACTATGACATGCAAATTGAATCTTACCAAAGTCAACTGGGGAAGGTGAGCGAGAAAATCAACATGTTGCGTGAACGAATGAAAGACCTGCAAAAGGAAAGACAACACCTTCAAATGATAAACTCTAGGATACACACCATGGAAAGACAGATAGAAGACATGAAGAGGAATAAGAAGAGTCCCGAGGACATAAGAAAACAATCGAGAGATACGATAAGGGGACTGGTGCTGGGGATGCACGGAATCCAACATACCATTATGTCCGAATTAAAAAAATTGTCCGATCAGATAATTCAGAGCTCTCTGACGTCCGTGAGGATCGAAGAATTCAGGAAAAAACTCGCGTACCTAGAGAACAAGGCGAGCGACAACCAGACCCGTTGCCAAGAAGCAGAAGAAACACTGAACAAGATCAGAGACAGATATGCTGAAGTCATGAGCCGAGCCAAGTCGTTGCTGAACAAAGCAAAGACCATGTCAAGCGGTTTCACCCAGTCAGATGCCGGATTCGACGAATTCCGCGCCGAATACGACAGATTATCCGACGACGTACAGGAGCTGAATGCCGAAAAAGACCAGTTCGTCTCTCGCATCGCTTGCCTGAACACAGCCGACGACGGCGAGATGCAAGAGTACGAGGAAAGGCTGCAGGAAATAGAACGTCTGCAGGAGAAAATCGAAAGCTCTAACGCCGAGCTGGAGAAGATCACCACTAAGATGGATAGGGTGCAGGAGGAGTGGTTGGCTCCGCTTAAGGAGTTAGTGGGCGAGATAAACTTGAAGTTCGCCTCGGCCTTCGAGAGGATGGGGTGTGCGGGGGAGATATCGATCAGTACGGGGGATAACGATAAGGATTTCTCGCAGTACGGGCTTTGCATTAAGGTGACTTACAGGAACGGGGAGCCGTTGCAAGAATTGAACAGGAGCGTACAGAGTGGGGGCGAACGGGCGGTGGCTACGGCAGCTTTTATGTTGTCGCTGCAGGAGTTGACGCCTGTGCCGTTCAGATGTGTCGACGAAATTAATCAGGGTGAGTCTATCGTTTTCTTTTGTAAAATATTTGTTTCTAGAAGAATATCGAGAATAATAATTGTTTTCATGCCACTGTTATTTAATGTTGTAAAGGCGAGAATGTGTGTGTTAACGTTTTCTTCGGAAACACAAAAAGGAAACCTTTTTCTTACTTTTTTAAATATTGCTTTTGCAAAGATTTTATTTTATTGTGTTCTAAAACTATTTAGACCCATTTTAGTGCTTTTTAAGGCCATTTTGATATATACATACAATTGTTTTCCAAATTAGTTTAGAAGAAATTTTATTTATTTTGTAGCCGTTTTTATATAATTTTAGACACTATAAGTGACTTTGTTTCATTCTGATATGTTTTTATTTATTTAGAAACATTTTCACACTTGTTTTGATATATTTACTGATATTTCAGAGTATTTAGAGGTATGAATTTTGTAATTTTCAAGGAATTTATAAGTTTTTAAAATTTGTCTATGTATTTAGAGTGGTATTAAAAAGATTACAATTTATAATCTTATATTGATTACCCTTTTTTTCATGTTTTTTTCTTGTATTTTTTAATTAATTTTAATTATTAATTAATTAATTTTTTAATTTTATTGTCATTGAAAATTTTACAATAATGAAACAATGTTTTATAGAGTTAGTGTAAAGACATATTTTACAAAATTTGTTGAAATATTGGTAGACCTTGAATAAAATTCTTCAAATATTCGATATAACTATTCGATCTGATGTATTTTAGGTATGGACGCCAACAACGAGCGAAGGATCTTTGAATTAATTGTCGACGTGACGTGTCAACAGACCTCGTCCCAGTATTTCCTTATAACGCCTAAACTAGTGCCACATTTGAACTATTCCCGAAATATGGCGGTGCACATCGTCCACAACGGACCGTTTGTTGCTCAGGATAAAAAGTGGGGATTCTCAAAGGTCTGCAATCCCTTAGGCCTCCAGATAGCGTGATGGATGCTATTTCTTTTGTAAGAGTACAAATATGCGCGTTAATTCCTCAGTTACATATTTATTTTTTAAACAAAATTATAGATATATTTATATAATGTAAGATTCAGTTTTGATAAAAAGCTCGTTTGATAACCTTTCTTTTTCTTCTAGTTACAACCCAAAATACAGGTACACGTTGCTTAAGCTCAATATACAGGGTGTTCATTTGGCATAAAAATATTTAGTTTTTTCTTTAGATGGCCGTGCAAAGAAATTTCTTTCCTATTTTCTTTTGTTTATTATTTATTAAAAACTGTTTAAACATAAATTCATCAAAAACTTGTATTGAAAAAGTTATTCTTGCCAGGATTGCAAACATATAGGGTGTTCCAAAAAGACTGGAACCCTCTGATAACACCTCGAAAGGAAATAGTGGTACGCAAAAAACACAGACACGGTCCAATTCCAGATACCAACTGAATTGCGTATTGCTGGACAGCTTAGTATCCTCGTGTTATCCGCCGCGCCTTTGTCACATCACTCGATATGAATTTTATGGAATTTTAATTTATTGCAACGCTAATATTTTTTACAATTAAGCATAAAGAAGTTAAAAAAAAAACATTGTATTTTATGGTATTCTATGCACGCAGCTATGTCAATATCAAGTTGTAAGTTTGGATATTTTTTTTCTCGGAAATGGTTGACTTTAGGACCCATGTCATGTTTTTTTTGTTTATTTTAATGTATTCTATCGTCTGCTAAAATTAAGGCAGTCAAACTGCTAACACCCTGTAGAATGCACCTAAATTTTGCATTTCGGGGATCAACTTACCAATGGGACACAACTTTAATAGAAAACACTGATAACTTTGAAAAAAATTACCTGATTTTTGACGTCATTGGAAGATGACAACTGCTTAACTTTTATAAGTTGCTGGCGGTATATAATGAGCACCGTGAAGGGAAGACGGCATATCATAAATGTTACAATCACCACAAACATCATTTTAGCGGCTCTTTTCTTGTAGCTCATGTGACGGTGGAAGTTCTTTTGTATAATTTTCTCGTATTTATTCAGCTGAAATAAAACATATAAATTATACCGGACCAACAAATAGTCCTAGTCCTTTTACCTTTATCAAAATAGAAGCGTAGCAAATAACCTGAATAGTCAACGGTAGCCAAACCAGAATTGTAATTATAACGTACCAGTACATGTTTATCACTATCGTTTTTTCCGTGCAGTATTTTTCTAGAAAATCCAACCACTCACGCTCCTAAAACGATTTTATATATAGCGTTAATTAACGGTTACATCAGCAACTCACCTTGTACGTTCTGTAGACAGACAAGGGTATCGACAATATAATCCCAACGATCCAAGTTATGGCCATGACGATTTTCGCCCCTCTCTGGTTCAAACTCGTCTCTTTAGGCAAGACTATTGCGGTAAGTCGATCGTATGTGATAGCCGACATGCTTATCACGCTCGTAATAAGAATCGAACCTACAAAAACGTTTATATTGATTGTATTAAAATAAGGCGTTTATCGTACATTCCATAGCCGATTCCCCTTGACATCCTATCCTACCCAGCTGGTAGTTCTGGAACGTATCGTAAGTCAGTACAACCCAGGGGTCTATTAGAAGGGAGAGAAGGTCGGCCAGAGCCATATTTCCTATCAGTAGGTTAGTGGGGGTCCGTATATTGGGATTCTTTACGAGAATGTAGATTACAAGTATGTTGCCGAATAATCCAAAAATAACTATCGGCAGGAAAATTGTTATTTTCGTTACTATCTCGGAGGCGTCCTTGGATATCCATATCGTGTTGATGAACCTTGTGCCGGAAGTGTCGACCTGAAAAAACAGTTAAAAAATATAACGAAGAATACTGTTAGATTAATTTTTACTTTTATCTTGGGGGGTGGTGGAAAATTGCTTTTCCGTTGCGGCACTTAGGCCTTACACCCCCCTTCATTACTTGAGTACTTTTCTTCAAACCATCCTATTACTACACGGATGGCACAGTTTTTAATGTATGATAGCATCGTCTTGAGTTACAGAGATTTATTGCACTATTCTCATTACTATTTTTATCAGGGACCACATGCAGGCGGAAGGTATTGAGCGACCCAGGTCTCTGGTAGGCTGCCACAGCCACGTCCCCGAGCCTGCCTTAGGTCACCCATCCAAGTTCCAGTCTGCATCCAACACACACACCTTTCTGACACGATTATTTTTGTATACGCATGATTAGAAAAAACTCTGCTACTATTAAACATTGCATGCTAGTACTTACGTTAGCCCAGTCGATCGACTGATTCGTCACTTCATTCATCATTTTAATTTTTTTGTAAAAACCGGATACCAGTCCTTATTGACAAAAGCTAGAGCAGGAAATCAGTCACATTTTCCCCAACTTTATCAATTGATTTAATGGATTTCAGCTTCAGAAAAGTTATCTGGTTTATTTGAATAACACTCGACGGGAATGTGTGCATTACTGAGGATTTCTCTAAATCCACAGCAGTAAATGAACCATATGTGTATTGTCTGTTCCACAAATATTCACTACATTGTTTGCATTAGTTAATCAACAATCTAAATATATTTCTGATAATGCATTTTCGTTTTAATTGAATATTAAAAAAAAAACTTGATGAAATGAAATAGAAAGATATACTTTATTTTATTCTACAATAAGTTTAATTCTAATTACCTTATACTTGCCCTATTAATCCAGTAACGTTATTTGAACATTTTTTTTAATTTTGTAGGACATTTTTTAATACATTTTCACTATAATTATTAAGAACACTCAAAAAATGGATAAAAATTCATTTGAAAAATGTGCCTACCTTGTTTAACGGCATCGTTATAAAAATGAGCGAAAATCAAAGTAAAGACGGCCTTTTTTTTATGGATAACGCGTGTGTGCTACACTAGATATGTAATGTGACTTCTGTAAGTCGAAAACAGAAATCCGTACAAAATTATCTCTACATGTATTCTGTTTGATTACTAAATCAACATTTGAAGTATTTATTCTGTTAATAGACTACAAATAATGTGTAGTATGTTTTGTATGTAGTAAGCAGGCAATAATACACCTGTATCATACAATATTGAAAAAAATTATGTACACATGATGGCTCCTAAGTACGTTCTTTCCAGCGGTATCAAACTAGAGCTATATTTCTGGAAAGAAAATTACCGTAGCACCACCAAGCAGTGTTAATTAACGTATATACAATTTTTTTAGCCTACATTTGAGTTGCAGCCACTGAAAATATGTGTGGTTTTCAAGAAAACCTCATTTCCCAAAGTATATCTATTACCCGTACATTCTCATAATAAATACTATATTATCTTTACATTATTTTCAGAAAAAACATTTTGTGTTTTCCAGACCTATATATTTTTGCTCTCAGTCATACAAACATGTATAAAAACTGTTTGCAAATATTTGTGTAAAAACAGTTGCGCAAATACATAAGTTTTAAATACAAATGTTGCCTGTGAACAATTAATATGGATAGGTTTGTTCACAAAAATACGGGCAAATTCAAAGTATTGCAATAATTATTATATTTTGTGTATTTTATACGAGCATAAATTTCTATTCTTTAAATTGCGGATCATAAAATTGTGTTCCGGTAACTTACTTATAAGATAATCAACATGAGATTCCCAACTAAGTCGCAAGTCCAAAATAATTTCTAAGTATTTAACTGTTTGCTGAAAAATCGAACTCTTCGTTTATGTACTAAAACAAAAATGTAGCGATTGCGTTTTTGCAGTGTTTAAAGTAAGTAAATTTGTACAGAACCAATATCCAAGAGTTCTTTTTAGTCCAAGAAAGTTAGACATAAAAAGACGGAATAAGCAGACTTTTACTCTGAGATTTTTTTATAGAAAAGTAGGTTTTGAGATCAGGAAGCATATATCTGAAAGATCGTTAAATTTTGAGTAATTTTTGTAATATAAAGTTTTTCCCAATATTTACTTGTTTTTGAGACATGAACTTCAATATAATATGCAATAACGTAACAGGAAAATCTATTATTTTATTTAAATCACACTGAGACAAAATATTCTTTTAAAATATTGTTATAATGGCTTTAATCACACCACATACTAACTAACAAACAATAAATTATAAAAAAAACAAACGATCAATTACAGGAAAATCTATACGGAAAAATTTGAACTAACAATTCTAACTGCAATTTGAAGCTATTGGAGGGACTTAACAACCCCAGTTTCCGAAACTAAAGTAAATTTCTTCATTTGGGAGATATTGGCAACGAGAGTGTTAAATGGCACACCCTGTATATATGATTTTTCGCGTTTTTTCACCAAAAACTGCCAATATCTCAATGAAGTTGCATTTTTGAAAAAACGGTTCAAATAAAAGTTGTTCAAAATTAAATTTCCTACAAAATGGCTCCTACGAAAATTATTTTTTAAATGAAGTACATAGTACAGATTATGTTGAAATTAATATTTTGGAGCCAAAGTAATGGTAAATTCATTTTTTAAATAACAAAAGTGAATTATATAAGTTTTAATTCGGGGGTGTACCAATTAATTATGCACTTTTTAATATTTTCCAGAAAAATAAATCGGTTTTCTTTGAAATTTGTAATAATGAACTGAAAATTTAAATTTGACGACAATTGGAAACGAATTTTCTAAAAAAAATTATATCAATAATTTTTTTTTTTTCATTTATTTATAAATTAAAGAAACAACTTTTCCTATTGATTATTTTTAACAATTTTTTATGAACCTCCATATGTAGGTCTCTTATGTAAAACTGCTTCATCGCTGTTGCAAAGAAATTTCTAAGATAACAGATGTTTCTAGAAAATACTATACTACTACTATACTATTATAAAAAGCCGAAAAAGCGCATTATTAATTCGATATGTACACGCTCGAAAACCTAAAAATTATACTTTTGATGCTCATAAATATTCAAAATTCGGAAAACTGTACTTATAAGATTTTCCACAATTTTCTTTTCTCTAATTCACTTTTTTTATTTAAAAATGAATTGACCATTATTTGGCTGCAAAACATAAATTTTCACATAATTGCACTTCGTTTAAGATATAGGGAAAACTATTGGGAAAATCGAAATTTTTCATAGTAGCAATTTTGTAGAAAATTTAATTTTGAACAACTTTTATTTGAAACTTTTTTTCAAAAAAATGCATCTTAATTGAGATATTGGCAGTTTTTGGTCAAAGAAAGCGAATAATCATGTGTGTCTATATCTCAAGATGCTGTATGTTCCCGGTGATTGCGTGTATATGTTTTCTGATCTCAATACCTACTACTTTTCTATAAAAAAATTTCAGAGTAAACAAGTTCATTTTTTCATTTTTCTGGACTATTTGTTGGCAACTGTTTTGGAAAAGGAATTGTATGTGGAGTAACGACAATTTACTGTAGTAGTGTCATCAGCAAATAGAATGACATTAATTACTATTTGATTCACAAGTGGATAAATCATTTGTTTAATAAAAAAAAGTAGAGGACCTAAAATAGATCCTTGGGGCACCCCATGTGTAATATTTCTCAATTCAGATTTTATTAAAGTTATTCTGGCATGTCAATTTTCTTAAAATATTAGGGTAGGAAACACAGTTGAATGTCTTAGTAAGGTCATAAACACAAGCTACAAGAATTATTGAAGATTATTGGATTACTTGGACGAGTTTATTAAGGCTAATGTTGTCCGACAGTTATTACCAGCCACATTGATCTGGCATATAAAGCAAAGTGCGTTCAAAATTTAAAACTGTTTTGAGATTTTGAAATTTGAAAATTTTAACCAGTTTATAACAAGAAAATCGTGGAAAAAAATTGCTAAACTATGCCTACGCCTGAAGGTCCAGAACATTTGTTCATAAGAATTTTTCCCTCAAAATAATCTAATCTTTCATTATTGGAGGATCACTTTATAACCTAAACCCGTACAATCACATCATTGATTTAATGTTTTAGCACCAGTAGTCCAAGCATTATAGAGAAATGCTTACAGAAATTATTACCTGGACAAAAAAAAAATGACCGTATAGAAAATTAAATTTTAAATTGAGTTTCTTGTTCTTTAAACTCGATCCAATATGGAGAACATGGTTAAAAAAAATCGCAAAGTTGAAAAAAACGGTTTTTCTAAAATAATTTAAAAAATATAGCACGGATTGAAAAATTTTAAATGAGAAAGTTGTAGGTTTTAAAAAGATCTATCAACTGATTTTTTGAAAGTATCGATTGCTTTGTTACTTTTCGAGATATATCGAAAAAACCGTTAAAAATCTTCTCTTTTCTCTTCTTCTATAACTCGTTTACATTTACGTGCCCATATTTGCTATTTACTGCAAGCATAGCCCGCGGCAAGCCAAAAAAGTACATTTTTGAAAAATTTAAAAATATTAATTATTTTTCGAGATATATCGACTTTTTGAAAAAAAGACACTCGAAAATTGGCTAGATCTTCTCAGCGGATAGCCCTACAGTAACGATTTTCGGTTTATTTTCTTCGTAAAGAGTTATATTATCATGCTGTTAAAAAATGTTGACGATTTTATTAATATTAAGGATCAAAAAATGACTTTGAATAAATTGCACTTTTTTGGGTATGTTTTTTTCAAATTACCATTTCAATTTTTATTTTATGAAAATGACTTTTAAAGAAAGAAAACTAAACATTTACGTGTCTATTTTGCTTCTAAGGCAAAAATGCTATAATATTCGTGTTTAGCTACCCCAGATTAAGTACAAAAAAATAATAAAAATTGAAATAGTTATTTGAAAAAAAACATACCCAAAAAAAGTGCAACATTTTCAGTCGTTTTTTGATCCATAAAATTAATAAAATCGTCAACATTTTTTAACAGCACGATAATATAACTCTTTACGAAGACAATAAACCGAAAATTGTTACTGTAGGGCTATCCGCTGAGAAGATCTAGCCAATTTTCGACAGCGCCTTTTTTTCAAAAAATCGATATATCGAAAAATAATTAATATTTTTAAATTTTTCAAAAATGTACTTTTTTGGCTTGCCGCGGGCTATGCTTGCAGTAAATAGCAAATATGGGCACGTAAATGTAAACGAGTTATAGAAGAAGAGAAAAGAGAAGATTTTTAACGGTTTTTTCGATATATCTCGAAAAGTAACAAAGCAATCGATACTTTCAAAAAATCAGTCGATAGATCTTTTTAAAACCTACAACTTTCTCATTTAAAATTTTTCAATCCGTGCTATATTTTTTGTTATTTTAGAAAAACCGTTTTTTTCCAACTTTGCGATATTTTTTAACCATGTTCGCCATTTTGGATCGAGTTTAAAGAACAAGAAACTCAATTTAAAATTTAATTTTCTATAGTAAATTTTTTTTGTCCAGGTAATAATTTCTGCAAATTTAACATTAATTCGTGACAGAATGCTTGGACTACAGCTGTAGCCACAAATTTGAACATTTTTAATCGATGTTCAAGGAAAATAAACACTACTCAAAAATAAAAAAGAAATTTTAATTAATAACTACATCCATAAATTTAAACAATAGTATATTCGATCACCTACAAATAAATAAATGCTAAAAATATAACTGCTGCATTAACCGTTCGAAGAAATGTACCCTAAAACACTAACAACTGGTTACTAAAATTTAAAAAAAACTACGCCGCTTCCTCGGTCTCCATCTGCTCCTCGATCTCAGTCCGCATTTCGTTCTCGATCTGATTTGTGCTCTCATTAGTCTCCAGTTCAATCAAAACGTTCTCGTCCACATTCACATTCGCACCTGCATGCTGACTCTTCATGTGGTCCCTCAGGGCGAAAGCCCGTGCGTAAGTGGCGCCGCATAACCAACAGTCGAATTTCAAGTTATTATCCCTCTTGTGAGTCTCCATATGCGCCCTGACGGCGTACAAGGAAGCGAAAGGTCTGTTGCATTCCGTACAGGCGAACGGCTTAATGTGACTGTTTTTATGCCCGGCCAGTTGGACGCTGGTTTTGAAGGCTTTCGGGCAATACGGGCATTTGTACGCCCTTACGTCCGAATGGGTGAGTAAGTGGTGGTTGTAGACGCTGTGCGATTTAAACCGCTTTCCGCACGCGTTGCACTGGTAAGGTCTTGTACCGGAATGAGTGCGCAGATGGAGCGTCAAGCAATAGCTAACGCGGAAAGCTTTCCCGCAAATCTGACACACGTGCGGTTTTTCGCCAGTGTGGATCCTCTCGTGTTTCACCTTCTCGTGTGGCCTGGAAAACCTCCTGCCGCAAAACTGGCACTCGTACTGACGTTTCTGACACTGGTTGGTGACGTGCTCCTGCAAAGCGTTGAATGTCGTGAAGGGTTTCTTGCAGTACGAACACGAGAATTTCTTCCCGTTACTGTGCGCTTTGACGTGCATCTCGAGGTTTTCTTTCGTGTAAAACTTCCTGTTACACACCGAACAATTAAAATTCTCTTCCTGACTGTGCGATTTCATGTGCACCTCTTCGTATTCCTTGTCGTAAGTTTTGTTGCAAATGCTGCAGATGAACATGTGACGCACCATTTCTCTGCTGTCGTCTATAGGGCCCGTGATGCTGTAGCTCACGGGCGCTTCGGGAATCTTGTCCTTAATGGGGTCGTGCATCCTCTTGTGAAGCCGTAGGCTTTTAAAGGAAGGGAACATTGTGTTGCAAATGTCGCAAGTGTACGGACCCAAAGTAACGACCCGTTTAATTTTACCCGTTGTTTCGTCTTTTGTTATATGCGACTTCATATGACCCGTCAACGCTTGGTAATTCAGGAATACCGCGGTGCAATGCGTACACTTGAACTTGTTTTTCACTTTCGACGGGTCACACATATGTTTCTTGTAATGGTCTAAATTGGGGAATTGCAGGTAACACTTGGGGCACTGGTGAATTTGTATTATAGTTTCTTTGTCGTAAATCGCGTCGGCTTCTTCTTCTGTGATTTTTCGAATCTTTCCGTTCTCCAACAGGTACTTTTCAGTCATGGGGCCTTCTTCCTCTTGTTTGTCGTTCTTGTCTATCCAGAATTTGTCGATTTTGACTACCTTTCTAGTATACACTCGACCGTCTTTATCTAAACACTGTTGTTCTTCTATCGTTTTGGAAGCCTTGCCATCATCTATGTATTCTTCGGCATTGTCGTACTCTTCTTCGTCATTTAATTCAAACATGTTTTCTTCGATATCTGTGCCGTCCTCATTTTCAACAGTGGGATTATGGCCATCGCTTAGTATGTGTGCCGTATCCCCACTTTCCTGGAAAATTAAAAGATAAGTATAAATTGTATAGCCTTATAAAAAGAAAGTAGAATTAATTACATAAATGACTTCCTCTCCTTCATGGAACTTTTGTAAATGTTCTTCGATTGAAGTAAAATTAACATTACACATTTGGCACATATACATGACTTTAGAAGACGAATACTCTCCTTGGTCCTCATTATCATTTTGGAGATCTTCTTCAGTGCTAGTTAAAGCTTTTTCAAGAATGCTTTTATCGTAACAGTTATCCTCCGCTTCAGTTTTGGGATTGATCAAAGCATTATTCGACTCACTTTCATCAGGTGACTGGGATTCTGGATTTGCCTCTTTTTTTATGGTTACTTGTGAGATTGGTTCTGTTACGGGAAGCTCGACTTCTTTTTCTTTACATTCTCTACCCAAGTGTTCTGCTAACTCCAATATATCATCGCACCTACAGTTACACGCCGGGCACATTACGTTATCAACCATGCTGAGAATGTGATATTTTAGTGAATTGTAGGACGTGAATTTTTCTTCGCAGCAAAAGGGACAGTTTAATGATAACGTTCCCATTTTGCTAGGCGTGGAAACCAAGCAGAAAACGATTTTTTTGCCTCGATTTCAGTCAACGAGTCCTCCGTTGGAAAGCTTTTAAATATTTGGATTTTCAAATCAGTAATGTTGAAATTATTCTTCTTCGTCCCTTTGAATAACAAATAACTTCATAGCAAACACTGCACGCAAATCACTCTCACGAAGTTGGATAAAATGGCGTATGAACTGACGTATGTCCGCTTCGCAAGTTAAGTCAGAAATCTTTATTAAATTTCGTTGATTCAGAGCACTTTTTAGAATCACAAACACTTTTTTTATAACGAATTGAATGTGTAATTTGTATTTTTTAATTATATATCTCTTTAATTACAGTTAAAAATAGATTTAATACGTTTAATTCGACTATTTACTAATAGATGGCGGAGAAATTCTCATAGTTTAGAATTTTCATTAGTTCAAATAGTTCATTTTAGTAGATCAAATGGTTGAAATTATTTGTAGTAGGCATACATTTTTTAAAGCCATTAATTCATACTATCGTTACTACTGAAAGTGCGAAAGTGTATGACAGAGAATTAGTTATTCGTGCATATTTTTTTCCAAATAAATAATTATTTGGTTAAACACGTACTGAAGTTGAAGTAAATTAGACAATAGTTACAAATAAAAAGTTTATTACAGGAAAACTTAAACCGATAACATAGAAATTACAAATGATTAACAATTTTCTTGCATATACTCACAATTATAGTATTATAACATTTGAGCTGTCTTGTGGTGCATTCTTCTCGATAACCTAAACAGATCAGAAAGGTATTGTAACGTTATAATTTATACAAAACAGATTCAAATAATAAAACAAGAAACCTTCTTTAAAGTCTTTTCAATCTAACAAATTACATTAATAATTTATACATCATACGTGGTGGTTTTCGATTATCATTCCCATTCGGTTGTTCCAGGCGGCTTTGAGGTTAAGTCGTATAAAACTCTAGAAATTCCCGGCACTTGTACCACTTCCTGCACCATCCTTTGTACCACCTGGAAACGGACGCTTTCAGCATTTCTGTTATTAGCAAGCAACCGATTTTTAGGCAAACGACAAAAAAAAAGTTTAATTTACGTTTTGTATCAATTTTTTGTACCGCGATGCATGCGAAAACGTCACCTGCCTAAAAATCTCACGATTAGTCATTAGGGAAAATGGGGTGGTACTCACTTCGACAGGCAACTGTTTCCCGGGAATGGCGGGTGTCCCGGTCATGAAGTCGAGCGTGCAGAAAGGCCTGAGAACGACGGATCTCTGACACGAAGGAATCCTTAAAGCCTGATCCCTATCGAAGTGCAGGGGAATAAGAATCACAGGCATTTGACTCACTGAAGCGTTTTGTCCGCTATTATGTAACACCTGAAACAAACAAAACACACTCGTAGCGATTTCTTCGTTTTCCGTTGAAAGTCGTACTTACACCCGTAGCCACGTCGTCACACTGGCGCAAAGTGCTAAGAACGTTACTGGTGAGATAGGTGGGCGTGACGTCGGGCAGGGGCTCCTTAACGATACCGCCGAACACGTAACACACCCGATTGACATTACGGCATATTCTGGGTATAAGGCAGGATAAGAACATCATATCGTCCCAGTCTGGTTCTCTCTCACTTGAAATGCCCACGACGTAGCTGTACGAGCGGCAGTCGCCCTGGACGCCGACGCTGCGGATCGGGAGCAGCGTGGCGGCCAACTTCTGTTTGCTCGATATCCTTCTCAGTATGACCCTGAAATTAACAATGAAGTCAAACAAATGGATGTTCTCCGATACCAGAAATCCTAAAATTAACAATACTACATGACAGATCGAGCTCAAACTACACAAAACGAATCAATCGTAAATAAAAAAAAACTAAACACCTGTTAAATATTTTAAGCAAATACAATTTAGAAAAAAATATATTAAAAAAACGGACGCCCGACTCACCTTTCCTCATCGTTTGTCACTCCTTCCACTCTGTTCAAGAGAGCGTGCTTCTTCTGCAACATTTGATCGAACTCCACGATTATTTTCACTAGAACCTGAGTCTCGGAGAAGTCCCTTTCCATGTAAGGTTCCTCGGCGCACAGGACCCTGATCGCGAGGCCGGGTCCCGGGAACGGGTGCCTCATAACTAATTCCTGTGGCAAACCCAAGTCCCTGCCTATCGCCCTCACCTCGTCCTTGTGGAAGTCCTTCAACGGCTCCACTACCCTACCTGAAAGTACGGGAGACGATTTGTTATTCAACGGAATGATAAAGTTACATGTGAAAATTACATGACATACGGGAAAACGGATAAATGTTGATATCGGCAATTGTTCCTGCATCGTTAGAAACCACAAAAAATGCCGAACGGGGCCGTTCGTCTTTAGGAAGAAAAAAATTTAAAACATAGCGCAAGTCACCATTTATGAAAAAATGGCAAAATTTTATCACGAAGAGTCACTTGGAACCAAATTCTACCACACAAATAATTTCGGAGGAGACTGAAATAATTTAATAACTATTTATTTTTCCCAATAAAAATAATTTCATTTTTTAAAGAGCTTAAAAGCCTTTTTCTTAGCCATTTTTTTAAAATATTAATTTTAATTAATTTTCACAATAAACTTAAATTTGTATTAAATTTTACTTCATATCGCAATAAATAACAGAGACAATAAATTGCTCATAAAAAATGGGACTAATCGGAATGATTGATTCAAATAGACGTTAATTTAGTTGGAAAGTGTTGCAGAATATTTCAAAGAAAAAAACTTAATTTCTATTGCACCCTGTATACTCAGAAAAGTTTTAATAAAATTTCTGTGCCGAAGTCGTCACTGAGGAATAGACCTATAATTAAAAAATCATCCAAATTTTGCGGTCTTTTCTCATAAAATGAAATATTGGTACATTTTTAATATACTTTTAATTTTTCGCCAAATCCCTAAAAATGATCGTCCTCATTGATATTTATCAAAATCAAATGAGACAAAAAACATTCACTTTCAAATTTATTATTTACCATCAGAGCATGCCATTTTCGTTATTTAGCTATGTTGAGTGTGGGCGAGGTATAACCTAAAAATGTATGTCATGTTTTATATGTCACTGCTATTCAATGCCTACTGGCAGAAAGTGTTACTTTGTGCCTACTGGCAAGCAAAGACTGTACATCGTAACACATAGAAGCTGTCCAAAATGTAAAATGCACAAGAATTTGTTTCTAGAGAATTTTTTATAATGCGTAAACAAGAATAAACGAGTATAAATAAATGTGATCATGAAAAAAAGTTAAAAAACTTGAGATATTTAATATTTTTTAAGAATTATGAAAATTTTCACTATTATCGAACTTTCTTTAGAAAATGTTCTCCAAATTTTGATAAAAGCTCTTAAGTGGTTGATATTTTTGCAAAATTTAAGAAAATTCATAAAAACGTTTTCATTTCATATTTCCAAAAAGATCATTTCATGTGCAAACACTCCCAATACTCTCAAGCGTACGGGAAAGTTTTCGCTTTTACAACACTATTCTTATACTGGGTGAAGCATTTATCTTGAGACAAAATAATATTTCGGTTGGACTCGATTATTGCGAAAAAATTTTCAGACAAAAATTGTAAGGCACCGATGGCGACCATTGAAAGGTCCATTTTACGACGTTCAGTTTAGACCTGAAGTGGTGCTTTTAGATCCGAAGTTGATTTTTTTTAAATGGAAACACCCATTTTTTACCAAGGATTTCGATTGAAAAACGAAAAAAAGAACACTTTTTGTTATTATTTTTTCGATTTACCCATATTTTGGCCATAAAACACAAAAAAAGACCTAAGAATCTTGAGACAATAAATTACCTTGTTGAGATCACTTTTTTAAAAAAAATGTTTCATCAAAAGTTGTAGGGTGAAAACGGGGCTATCTTGACATGACCTTGACCTTGATTCAAAGGTCGTTTAAAGATCAAATACACTTCGGTCTTTAGCGAATCATAAAAATCTTCAGAAAACTGAAGAAATTCTTAATTTCAGCAAAAACAAGCACCCCAAAGGGAATAAAAAACTACATACTACGTCCACGTCGTTACTCCTGGGTCGTGATGAAAGTAGTTAATAATTATATAGTTTTTTGACTTTAAAATGACCTTGATATCTGATCTTGTTCTTGAAGTTAAATTCGTATCTTGTAAAACTTCCCGCTCTTGTAAATTTTGAATTTGACCTTCAAACAACCTTGAAGTGAAGGTCAAGGTCATTTTCAAGGTCATGTCAAGATAGCTCCCCTTTTCACCCCACAACTTTTGTATGAAACATTTAAAAAAAAGTGATACCTTGTCTCAAGATTTGTTTTTTTTTTGTTTGTTTTTTATGGCCATTTTATGACCAAAATGTGGGTCAAATCGAAAAAATAATAACAAAAGTATTTATTTCGTTTTTCAATCGAAATCCGTGGTAAAAAATGGGTGTTTTCAGCTTCCGGTCTAAAAACACCACTTCTGGTCTAGACGGAAAGTCGTAATATGGACCTTTCAATGGTTTCCTCGGTGCTTTATAATTTTTGTCTGAAACTTTTTTTTCGAAATAATCGAGTCCAACCGAGATATAATTTTGTCTCAAGATAAATGCCCCACCCTGTATATTAAATATTGTAGGTATTTCTTGCCCCCACACTCGCCCTCAATATCGGCTAACTTGCTGACAGACAGACTGTTTTTGCAAGTGAGCTGAGAGTGCAACACGCTCCTCAGTCGTTCTAGTTGAGTTTTTTCTGCATTTTCTATGGTATTTTTTATTTAGAAAAACTTCTTTCCGAAAATCAACGATTTTGTCCGCGAAAGAGACGCAAGAAAGATGGCCGTTGTTTAGAAAAAAATTGAGGAGTCGCTGAAAAAATCAAAACAAATTTTGCATCAGGGAGTATTTTCCCGACTGTTATGGCAATGCTGGGTCGTTATTCTGCCGTTCGGCATCACCTCTGGTCCTTTTCGATTTTATAGTGAAAAAACTTTATTATTTTAAACATTTTAAGTTTTTTTTTCAATTCAACAAATGATTCGACTATTTCGATGTTTATCTACAAACGTGTATTACAGTATCGGTGAGATGTAACCTACAAAACATTTTGTATCTTTAAATGTCATTGCCTACTGACACATATGCCTACTAATACAAATGACCTACTCATCTAAGTTCGGTAGGCACACGTGTCAGTAGTCATAAAGTAACAACGACATTTGAACATATGACATACGCTTTGTAGGTTACATCTCACCAATACTAGCCGTACGCATTACATACCTTCCTCCCTAAGCTTCCTAATTAGCTGCGAATCATTGTGATGCGTCTTTATAGTATCGGCCTTGGACGAGACCAGCTTCGAGGCGGACTCGATCAAGTCGGGTCTGAGCGTGCCCTGTCCCAAAAACACTTCCTCCGCCTTCAGGTTAAGATCCGCGACGATCTCGTCCGATATCTTCACGAAAATATCCCCGATAATCTTCCGCTTCTCCTCCGGGTTGGACGTCATACAGAGCATCTTGGTGATCCGGGTCCTGGAGTTACCCTCCTGCTTGTCGATGGGCACGACGGTGGTGCCCTCGGAGAAACTCGACCCCGCCTTTATCACCCTCAAGTTCAGCCCGACCTTCTGCAGCGAGTTGTGCACCTTGGCGCTCTCGTTTTTCCTCATGAAGCCGTTGTCGATGTGTATCGCGATGATCTGGTCGGGCCGCAGCGCCTTGTGCAGCAACGCCGCGCATACGGTACTGTCCACGCCGCCGCTCACCAGCAGGAGCACCTTGTTGTTGCCGACGGTGTCTTTGATGTACTTTATGCACTCCGCCTCGCGGCCCTGTATCGTGTAGTTCCCCGTCAGGCCGGCTATGTCGAACAGGAAGTTCTTCAGCATCGTCTTGCCGTTCGGCGTCAGGTCTACCTCGGGGTGGAACTGGACGCCGTAGAGGTGGAGCTTCTCGTTGTAGATGCCGGCGCAGAACGACGAGCTCTGCGCTATGGGCCGGAAGTTCTCCGCCACCTTGTCTATGGAATCGCCGTGGGTCAGCAGGACCTGCTGCATTTTATCCAATCCTCTGCGCAGGAGAGATGTTTTTATTAATTACAGTCACATTTTGAAGAATAGTAAATATGAATTCCTGATATTCGTAAATACATGGTGATCCAAATAATGCGTATCTTGGAAAATTAATTAAAAAAATATATGAATTTTGGCAATACTAGTGTTAAAATGTCATACACGGTGTAGCTTTGATTTTATCCTCGATAAATCAAAGTTGTTCCGTGTTTTTTATTATTTCGGAGGGTTGTATCGAGGACATTCTAAATTTCCGAGAAAGTCCCCTTCTTTACCCTCCTTAATTAATTTCTACAACAAAATTTCTCCCCCGCATTTCATTTTAAGTGTCACTACTTACTTAAAAAGCAAACATTTCGTGTTAACTTCTATGGTAAACACACCATCCTCTCTGGTTTCCCTTCTTGTAACGGTACCACCGAACTCCTTGTTCATCATCTGCATTCCATAGCAAATACCTGAGGACCAAATAGCAAACAAATATATTCTTTTGGTCGGGTAGGTACGTACAAAAAAAAAGTCAAAACTACGGGCGCTTTAAAACAACTTGACAATCTATAAAATAGCATTACATCTATTTTTTTTTTCAATGTTAATTTCCTTGAAATGCTATTTGACAGTAATCATTTGATATATTGAGAAAAATCATAGATATTCCGACACTCCAATTGGTTTCCTAGTTGGATTAAGAGGGTTCTATAGCAAATAGGCAACAGCAATACATTTTTATAGATTTTGTTACACAGTTCGTCTAAATATGAATTAATGCACAAATAACGGACTTTCCCCCATTTTAATGCAAATTTTCTATAAAATGAACTTAGTTTGGAACTCAAATTACTTTTTGTTGTAAAGAAATTTGTAATTTGCTGCTTTTAAACAAGTAAATTACAAATTTCTTTACAACAAAAAGTAATCTAAGTTTCAAACTAACTCCATTTTATATAAAATTTGCGTTAAAATGGGGGAAAGTCTGTTATTTGTGCATTCATTCATATTTAGACAAACTGTAATAAAATCTATAAAAATGTATCACTGGCTATTTGCTATAGAGCTCTCTTAAGTTCAACGACTTGGCTAGCAAATATTAAATAATATTATGATGCCAAAGTGGAACAATGGCAACTTCTACTCCTCTAGAATATTGTGACAATTGATGATTTAACTGGACAAATTTTGCAATTAGTGAACGAAAAACCTTGGTCGAGAAAACTACAAAACAAAGTGTGAAAACTTTAAGTGAAAATCGCTATTATTTTATCAAACAAGTCCTAGATTCTGCGAATTTTCCATAGCTATGGAAATTTTGTAAATCACAGAGCATACCGAACAAAATCCACAATTTTAAATATTCTTTGGACGAACTAGATGTTACAAAGAAAGAAATTTTCAATTTCAAAGACCATTTTTCTGTGAAGATAAATAAAAAGATTAGAATACACTCAACCATTTAATAGTGAACAATATATCGGGCAAGCCACGGACAAGGCCACCAGCACAATTCATGAGCAGAGGGATAAAGAGTGACTGCAAAAATCGTCTGTTTTTTCACAATTCGCAGAGAGAAAATAGATAAAAATATGTTTTTAGTCTCAAATTACTCATCGTAAAAAATTAAGATGAGCATAGCTTTTAGTTTTTTGAAAATTTTCAACCTATTTAGCGGTTGAATAGACGCCCAAAATGAAGAATAGAATATTACCAATAAATATAAAAACTATTAGCATGTAAATTTTTCTATCGAATGATTCTTGATACAAAGAAAGATTTATTCTCACGACTGAAATAAGCATGTTGAATTAGAAAATCCATCCTTAAGCGCGCTCAGGGGGTGGAATCATCCCCAAAAATAGAGAATATCTGCTATGCTAATAGTTTTTATACCAATTGGTAATATTCAAATTCTTCATTTTTGGCATTTTTTCATTCCCTAAGTAGGGGTGATTTGTAAAATTTTCAAAATATTAAAAGCTATGCTCATTTCAGTTTTTTAAGACAAGTAATTTGCAACATATTTTAATGTATTTCTTTTAATTCTCTGCGAATTGTAAAAAAACGGGATAAAATCACAGATTTTTTGCGGTCACTCTTTGATCACATACATAACCCTCTTATTAGAAACAGGGATTGTTTCTACTGGAATCAGAATAGAATTTATGTAGTTCAGTGTTGTTTCTTTATAGTAATATTTAAATATTTAGCTCGTCCAGCAGAAGGTATAAAAATTACAAAAAAAAAAAAGTTAAAAAAATCAGTTTTCACAACAAAAACTGATAAAATAAACTTGTATGTATAAAGATTACAATAGAGTAGTAGAAATATATACAAAATTTCAATAAAGGGGATGTCCCCTTATTGATAAAAGCAGCTTTTGATAGTACAATCAAATATACCCAATATCAATACAACTATACTAAATTTGTAGCAAAGGAAAAAAAATTAATGTATAGACCATCATCAACTCAAAAACCTTACCTAAGACAGGCAGACCTATCCTGAATATATCAGCATCGTATCGGGGCGCATCCTCCGCGTATACAGAATTCGGTCCTCCCGATATAATGATGGCCTTATAGCCACCTTCCTTTATATTAAAAGCGGGAGTGTCTAGCGGCAATATATGGGACTCGACGCACAGCTCCCTCACTTTCCTGTCGATTACTTTGCCGTACTGGGCGCCGGCGTCCAGGATACATATTTTCTCTGGGTTGGGAGCCCCATTGACGTTCGTGTACTGACCTTCTGGATTTAAATTGTGCATAGCTCTTCCCCAACAACACTGAAAAATTCAAAAGTGGTTAGTTGTACGGCACTCTTCACGTGCCATGCTATTTTCTTTTACTTTTAAAATGATCATGTCAGATATGGGGTTTTAGGTTATAATTAATAAGGTCGGTAATAGTGCGCTTCACATGATTAACGTTTATCTCATAATCTCTATTTGTGTACTATATAAAGGAAATTTTATTTGCATCGATATCAATTGATAACCTGTTTTCCGCAAGAACTTTCTCCAAAGCCGCAAATAAATTATTACAAAATTATTTCAGAGGCCTCTTTTACATTTAGTTGTAATATTTCTGTCTTTAGTAAAAATTTCAAACGTATTCTAAATGTTTATACGACATTTTTTAGAACAATAGGTAATTATCACCAATAAATAACAATATTTTTTAATGTTTGCACAATTTTTGTCACAACTTGTGTGTCGTGAACAAATATATTTAACAGTTTATTTAAAAAATATGGTCTGTATAGGTCTCACATTATATACTACTAAATAAAAGAATTATAAGGATAGTTTTGCTGCAAAATTGCTGTTATCTTAAACCAGCTTTGTTTTGCTCCGTCACATAAAAAAATACATGTGAAAGAAAAAAAAACGATATTTTAAATCAGTCCTAAACTCTATGATACATTATACCTTTTTTTTTAAATAATAACAAAGCTATAAATGTAGATCAGATGGTCTTAATGATAGTGTTATCTTGAATTAGCTCTATTGTTTCTATAACTGAAAATTTGAAGCATGAATCAATAATATAATTAAAGATAATAAAAAACCTGAAGTTTTAAAATAGTAAATATACCAAAACAATAAATAGAGAGTTAGCAATCCTTAATTCTTTTCATCCGTTCACGATACTTTTGGTTACTTATATTTAAGTGATAAAATAAAGTATAAAATTGAGAGGTATTTCAGCATTTCCAAATTTTACAAATTTAGAATAGAAATGGTAATAATTTTATTTTATTTTTTTATTAAAGAAGTGTTGAAAAATTAAATTTGCGTGAGAAAAATCCTTATAACAAAATTAGTATAGTGTAGGTTTATATAATACAATCAAAGAAAAAGTTCGTGGTTAAATCACACATTTTTGTTCAATCGTTTTTGTTAACAGAGTACATTTTGCACAGAATCGGGTTAAGGGCAAAGACATTTACAAATATTCTAGTCCCTTTTTGTGATCGAACTTGAGGAAGAGTTAAGTTGTCAAAATAATAATCGGCCATTAAGCAAACAATAAATAAATGTTCAATTTATATTTAGACATGCACAAAAGTAAAATATAATATAAAAGTTGTATTATTATAAGTTACCAATGATAAAAAATTCATTTCGTGTATATAATACCTCTTGATTATAGCATATTTCAACACAAACTTAGAAAGAAAAAAAATTACATTTGTTTCACTACTTTTAAACACTCTATGAGGCATTCTATATTTAACTATGAAGGTGAACATGCAAAATCAGACTACAGAACTAGTAATTTTGAATTTATTTTTGGTTAATTCATTTACAGATTCCTGTTATAATTTCACACATAAGAAAACAAAATTTATTACTAAAATACCCTTTTGGGAATATGTTTAGATACAAAAACATTGAAAAATTTTTACAAAATTGAGATATTAAAGGAGAGTCATTCACAAATTCAAAGTGGGGTTATAACATTCACGATTCATTTGAAGTGAAAATTAACGTGAAATCAAGTTAATATTAGAACGAAAACGTTAAGTTTGAATAAAATCAAAGTTGATAGATATATTTGTAACAAAGCATGTGAATTTAATAATTATAATATATCGAATAACGATGTTTTTGCAACAGACTGTACAACCTAACTGTAAGGATATCATTAGGAACTTTAAGGCATTTTAACTAATACGCCCAAAATAAAATGATTCTCTATTTTATAAATAGAATCTTTAAAATAATTTTATTAACACGTGTTTTCTGCAAATAACAAAAATAACATTATTTTGACAGAAAAACTTGACCTACAACCTTATGGCCGAAAAATTTTAGCGGCTTCTAAAAAATTATATAATACATATGTGATTAAGTAAACAATAGGAGACACATCGAATTAATAAGGTAGGGGTACTTACCTAAGCGGTAGTAACAATTTATTAACAGTAATAAGGAATATAATTTGTTGTTAAGAAAGTGTCAATCACATCACTTTAGACAAAAAGAAACAGTTTTACCGGCTGAGCCATTCCGGGATCTATTTTCAAATGTCATATCTTAAGACAGTTCGAACGTCGCTACTACCGGATTATGGTTATACCAAATTTTGGTTGTAACGGTCGTAACCATTTAGATATAACCGAATGATTCTCTTCCAAAAAAGAAAGGAAAACATACATTTTTTGATTCAGAACTTAAAACATCTAAATCAATTTAAATAAAAGAAACAGTAAAATTTGGAATAATTTACAACTCGTCAGAATGGATGTCCAAGGTGTTAGAAAGTGGGGAATCCCAGCCAGTTTTGGCGGTTAAACTTCAGATATTTTAAAGGAAATGTTTTGGTACACTGGCAGGTACTTGTTCTTATCTATGCTGGCAGAGTTTTACAGGTTTTGTTAAACAAAGTATGTGTGTCACATTTTATTCATTAATTATTCTGTATTCACCCTTATGAATAATGTTCTAAGGTCAAAATACTTATCAATTAGTTGCTATGGAAATGCTACAAATCCAAACAGACTTTTCCTAACTATTCAAAAATTAAAATTGTTTGAGTACTTTATCAACTACATTTTACCTATATCTCAACAAAAATTCAAAGAAAAAAAAATATGAACCCAAATTTAAGAGAAAAAGATGACTGCAATATTCGTAACTCAACAGACATACCTTCCCACGGTTCAATACCCAAATGGTTAGAAGATATAACAGAGTAAGTTTTTAAAGAAATAAAGTTATCTTTCTTACAATACAATATGTACTTTAGGGCAATAGATAAAGAGCATATTCGAACCTTACCTCAACCTGATTCGACTAAAACCAAATTAAAGGATAAATACTCAATAGATAACAGTAAACTGAATAATTTTATTAAAACCGAACAAGCAAAAGAAACGAAAGAAATTAAGTAAGTGGTAATGAAATATTTATAGATACTTATATTATATTTTTGCTATTTTTCAGTGGTGTTTCACACTCAGCTAAATATGGACGGAGATCTTCTTTAGCCAGCCAAATAATCTCGAAAAACATTCCAAAGAATATCGAAGTAATAAATTCTGATTATTTGGTACTGAAATTTGACGAGAATTTCGATTTCAGTTCTTTAAACCGTTCGTCTGAACAAGCGGATCTAGAGAAATATTGGCAAAGCTTAAACCACTTCAATCAGTCGCATAAAGGCAGGCTAAACAGTGGGTCAACTAAAAGCTTAATCGATGAAAGTTTTGGTGAGTGAGAAAGTCTATAATAAAGGATTTTAACTATACAATTTTGTCGTTTCATTTATTACAAATCAATGCACAGTTTCGTAAATATTATGGCACATTATAATGTAAGTTTTGTGATACATTAATCGTTGCGAATAAAAACTGCCACATCTTTTTAAGGAGACAGCGTTCTATCCCCAGTATCGTCGAACAGTGACGACCTGACTTCAGTTTACAGTCCCTCCGTCCTCGAAGACAATGTGCCAAATAGAAGTAAGAGTGCAATGTCAAACATCTTACCGCTCTACATTTATGGTAGCATAAAAAAAGTTACGGAGAAGTATAACGACTCTTTAATGTACAATATAAACAAATCTAAATCTACGGACAGCCTATATTCTTCGGCTTCAATTAACACAGAGACTTCTCAAGATGCCGAGAGAAAAAGTAGTAATATTACTTTCGAAACGAGACTTAATAAGTATAAACAGAAAGTTGCTGAGGAAGAGAGATTAAGGGATGATATAATTCAGGAATTACTCTCCAAAAATGAAAAAATTGGCAGCGGTAGAAGGCGAAGCTACGATTACACCCCGCAGCAGAAGCTGTATAAAAAGAATTCTAAATACAAAAATAAATATACCGACAAAAGAGGGAGTATGATAAATGATGAAGATTTCAAAGAAACTTCCGACATTTTCATTATTCCAAAGCTACCAAGAGGGACGACTATGATTATCGACATCTTAAGTACCTGGGGGGACAAATATTATGTAGGGCTCAACGGAATTGAGATTTTTAGTGCTGACGGGCAATTAGCCAAGGTGAAAAACGTAAGCTGTAAACAAAAACACTTGAAATTGTTAATATTACAAAGAATGTATCTTTTTAAGATTTTTGCAATACCGCCAGATGTAAACATTCTCCCAGAGTGCAACAACGACCCAAGGGTCGTTTCCAATTTACTAGATGGAGTGAATCGCACTCAAGACGACATGCACATTTGGTTGGCACCGTTCGATTTGGGGAGGAGTCATTTAATCACCATCGAATTCTGCGAAGTTACAACAGTAGCTATGATAAGAATTTGGGTATGTTTAAAGGAAAATTTTACATATATGGTCGATAATGTTCATATTTATAATTTAAATGCATTTCTTTCAGAACTATAACAAATCTAGGATTCATTCTTACAGAGGCGTTAAAGACATCGTTATATTCCTAGACAACAAGCCGATCTTTAAAGGGGAAATAGCCAAAGCTTGCGGTGGGATATTGGGTGGGATCCACCATTTTGGTGATGTAAGTATACAGGGTGTTAACACTAAAACAATGGCCACACAGGTCTTGCTGTTATGGCACCTGTGAAATAGCAGGTCGCTTTCTGCCAGTTTGGTCGTCTGGAGGCTAGTCATTGAGTAATAGCGACCGTTCATAGATTGTTACATCCCCATGTCTGTATTTAAAACACCAAAAATAGCTGGATCATTAGTCGGTTCTTCCACCTATGGCATATTGACGAGAACCAGTTTGAAACTGGTATATGACTGGTGGTTCGACTGACAAATGATATTAAAACTGTTTATAATACATATTTAATCAAATTCAATGATTTTATTTATTTCGTTCTCGTAAAATTATGATTGAAGGGTTGCTTTACGTTACAACTTTTTTGGATAAAATTTATTATCTAGGTTCATAACTTTTTAGACGATTTTGTTCACAACCGATGACAATATCCTGGAAAGCATATCGAAAACCGACTCCTCATACTCTTCCCTGACATCAGAACCGAACACACCCCAAGACAACGAAGATAGACCCCCGACATCTACTCTAACGTCAGAAGTAATACGTTTACACTGGTTTTTAAGCAGATAACTATAATATGTATTTCAGATTCGACCCGTAACTGGCGTCTTAAACGTAAGGAAAGCTAGTTTAACCGAGGCCACTGATCAAATATTGCTAGGTGCAAGCGTAATGCAGATCGTAATATTACAAAATTGGGGGAATTCGATAGCAGTGGGTCTAACGGGTATTGAAGTCGTCGAAGGTACCGACACAGTCCTGAACTTAAACGCCAATCAACTGAGTTGTATGTGGGAAGGAAAATATTTGTACCACCTCGTCAACGGGGAAAACATAACAACTAAAGGTACAAACATGTGGCTGGTACCGTATAATAAGGAAAATATCGTTGTTACGGTGGATTTGGATGGGTTTAAGTACATTTCTGGTAAGACATGTAGGGTAGTAATAAATTGTCAAGTTATAAATTGTTATCAGTGTTACCTATTCTTACCTTCCCCCATACAAAGTTACATCCGGTAGTTACTACAGCTTGAAACTAGATTGTAATATCGTAGGAATTCGAATATGGAATTACAACGAAAACCTGGAACTCTCTTACGCGGGTGTCCAAATGATGAAAATTCTTCTAGATGGCAAACCGGTCATCAATCCTGTGAGCAAAAACGAGATATTTGTCCTCCGGAGAGCTCCAGGCAACGAGCACTATGATTTTGTGCAAGATATAAGGTTTTTCGAAGATTACGATACTATCCCTTACCCGTTATCAAATGAGGGACATCAAGCGAATGTTGTCGGTTTCATTATTCAGTTTGTTATATATTCAACATGGGGAGATAAATATTACTGCGGGTTAAACGGGATTGAATTATATAACGAAAAACACGAGAAAATTGTTTTAGAAGAACAAAGTACGTGTTTCTGTTATAAATAAATTAAAAAACCTAATATGCAAAATTTTTTAGACATTTGCGCTTATCCAGAAAGCGTTAATACCTTGCCTAATGTTTCTGGAGACATACGAACACCAGACAAGTTAGTAGATGGCATAAACGAAGATATATCGGGTGGACACTCGTGGTTATCTCCTATTATTCCAAAAAACTTAAATAGGATCTATATCGTAATGGATGTACCAATCTCTGTGTCCTACATTAAAATTTGGAACTATTCCAAGACTTCTAACAGAGGTGTAAAGGATTTTGGGGTAAAAACTTAATAAAACGATGATTTGTTCTAACTATTCTTTTTTTTTAAGGTTTTACTAGACGATTTATTAGTTTGCTGTGGAACTTTAGAGAAATACGATTGTGAGGAGAACGCAAGTCAAATCATTGATTTAAATGAAAGTGATCATATTGTTTGTGACGAGAAAAGGTAAAATTTAAATCATTTAAATAAAATTTTGCTCACTATGTAAAATTTCAGGCACGATCAAGATATTATCTTACTGGACGAAAAGCCACAGGGTGAGACGGGTGGATCAGCTTCGGCAGATCCTACTTTAAGACCTTTCACTTGTATAAGCCCTTATAACAGGGGTTTCACATCGTATAGTCATTAGTTGTGTGTTTTGTACATTTTTTACGCGGAGTTTCTACGTTTGCATAGTTTAAGTGTCTACGTTAAATGTGATTAGTGGTTTGTCTTACTATGTTATTACAATATTTTGAATTAAATGCTAAATAAAGTGGGTACATATTTTATATTCCAATAAAGAATTTTTAATTAGGTCCGTGTTATTTATTAAAATCTATTTTATGAGATCCGCCATATAATAACTTGGAATGATAAAATACAGAAAAAAATATATTTTAATCTTATAATATTTATAAAAATTTGTATTGTACAGTAAATTTGAATATTACCCTTTTCCATTCACAGATAACATAAAAAGTCGATACACGATAAAAGTAAGAACCGCAATATTTCCAGTTCCAGTAAAATATTTACTTGACGGACACTTGCCACTCTTGCCAAATTTTGAGCAATTTTGATATTTATCTAGGATTTTGATCTTGCCAGTGGCAATTAATGACAATTAACAAATTAACTTTCTTTTCTTTTTTTAATCTACGTCATGTGACGTACCCTCAGAGTAATAAGTAAAGGGGAGGCCGCATACCCTATTTCAGTACACAATGTAAACATGTAACCTCAACCTATTGTATGTTGATAAACAAATGATACATAAGTAAACACAATGGTCCCTGGTACAGTGGCGTACCGAGTTTAGGTTTAAAATCTATCATAATATAAGGAAATCATAAAAATTATACTCTGTAATAGAATAAAATCAGAAGTGCTCGATTATTTAAGCTTTCATGTGTAATAAATAGACAATAAATAGGAAAAAGTTAATGGTTTCTTCAAAATCTATAATTAATATTTTAAAAACATTTCCAGAACAAAAGAGTGACTAAAGAAAACTCCTCGATTGAAACTATCATTATACTATAGCTATAGCAATGTCATTGCCTACTATTAATTCTATTATTTCATAGTAGTTCTCGATTACTGGAAGAACATTTATTAAAATAAATAATTTAAATAAAACTACAAGAAAAGGAGCAAAAATATATTTAATTAAAATCTGCTGGAATATAAACAATGCAAAGAAAACAAAACATATTTGTACTAAAAGTAACGGAAAAATGAATTTACATTGAACAACATTTAATCGTATGGGAAAATAAGCATGTTTTAAATGTACGCAACAAAAATAAGCTGAATTTTGAGCTCACAACATTGACAGCTCGTCTCTTATGGAACAGGGACAACATGTGATTGAAGATGTTTTATAGCAACATTATAAAATTTCTTTCACTGGCAATTTCTCGAAGAGGGAACCTTTGAGACGGCACAACCATTTCATCAGCACTGTGCTAAAACGTATTACCTTCCAAATGTTGTATTAATAGGCACAGCTCCATGTGTGAGACATCGTTTTCCAGTTACTGTTAACTTAATATCTGTAGCACGGAAATGCTTCGACAGACATAATTATCCTTTGAAAAATCATATTCAGATATGGCGAAATTTTCTAGCCACACTGCTCGTATCGCAGGATCTTATGGTATTCTACAAATAAACACAGAGCTAGTGTCAGTATCAAAATACAAACATAATAAATTAACAAATAAAATACTTAGGACACCTTACACCCTTGTAAGAACGCCCATGGAAACAATGTCAAACTTACTTGTGAAAAGAAGTAGCACATATTTGGCTCTTTTCCTGTAATTGTCGGCATATTATACGCCGCTTTGGCATTTTTATTGAAATTAGATAAAAAAACAGTTTAAAAAGACACAAAACACTGAACTCGGCTAATATCTATTTCACAACAATAGACTGTAATAATGGCGTCCCCTTTAGAACCGTTTAATACCAGGCAATGATGCCACTTACGGCGTTTGTATTGCTAGGAATTTCAATAATGTATTTTTTTTCAGATATTCAAAATCTATAATTATAAAACAAGTTACAAGAAAATAGTGTCGTAGTCTTATGCATATTACAGTGTAACTAATTTGTAAGTCGAGGTCAAGAATGAGGTAGATCCTTGTACGATAATCAATTAAAATGACCGCTGTACCTAACTGTAAAGATAAAAATGTAACATTGGCATCAACGTCAAGGACGTCACAAGTACCAATGTTTGTAAATACACGTATGTCAACACTTCACTATCGAATGTAAATAAAGGCGTCCCCTTTATTTATTAGTCTGAGGACGTACCAAACCAACTGACAGAAGTGACAGGTATCATTTATCTAGGTCTGAAACAAACTAGAACAGAAAACAGAACAACGAACAACCCTTCCCTGTAATTTTTTTGCAAATAGTTCCCTATTTATCCGCTTGATTTGCAAGTGTCGCTGTCTAGTAGGACAAATCAGTGTAAATCGGGTGAAAGGTGCAACATTTAATTCAACGATTAATATCCAATGTTGAACATAAAACATTTTTTCGTATTTCCTTACCATAAAACAAAGCAGTAAAAACATACATTTTTTTATAAATATAATTTTAAGGGTACTAAGCTAATTCAAATAAATCTGTCAAATGGAGACAACGTTCTTAAATACTTAAACTTTACCAATGCAAATGATAACTAACCTCACAGATAAAATTTCTACTTCCTGATATTGTTGGAACCAATAAAATTAAAAAATAAATAAATAAATGTATTATATATGCATATACATTTTTACCATATTAATTAATTAATTACTTTAAAATTGGTGTTTATTTAAATCTCGAAGGCGTATTCCCAGCACTGGCACTCCCGCATGTCAAGTGTTGTAGTGCAAACAGTTTGAACATACCTTGTACTATTTTGACGCGAAAGTTTTGATAACTCGTGATAGAGGTTATGTATATCATAACATAAAAAATACTATTCTTTGTTCTTAAAATTGTGAAATCTAATAATAAACAACAATGTTCAGGGTATATTAATAAAATGGGTGGTGAAACACTTACGTATAATTTTTTTTTGTGACTACTGAAGCAAAAAAATGGAAAATATTTTCGAGGAACTGGGTATACCTAAGAAGTACTTGAAGAAGTCATGTACAGAAGACAGATATGTAGCTTTAGTCCATAAGCTCTGGTTAAAGTAAGTTATCGAATAGAGAAGTATGGGGTTTAATAATTATTTCAATTTTTTAGGTCTTTGGTGAAACATTTAAGGTTAACGGAATTTATTGAAAAATCTCGCTTAGATGCATGGCCTAACACTGACGATGAGGTTGGATTGTCATGGATAAAGGTATTTGTTACCGTTTTGAAGAAAAGAGATTCGAAAGTTATACCTCTACCTAAAATACGGCCTTCTACTAAAGAGGAGAATGCTTTGATGTTTTCTCAGTTAATGCAGTACATTTCGCAAACAAATTATAAGAACTTATGGAAAGAAGCCTATAAAAAGTATTCGTTTACTTCAGAGCCTAGTAAAGAAACTCAGGTGATCCTTGTAGATTATAATGATGTTTTAAAAGATATTATTACAAGATTATACGGCTGTCCCATCGTAAATACATGTAATCCTGAATCAAGTACAGAATCTTCGAAATATTTTGATGTAAACCTAAACATTCTTCCTTCAGTATGTGCAGTAGAAACATTAAATGCAATCTTTTTAATCCACGTACCTTATTTCGAGCACAATTTACGTGACTGCGTTACATTTTCACCTGCTATATTAGATAAATGCTACAGCAAACCGCTTTTTATCGTTTTCCAGCTGCTGAATATACTGAAGTCACTCCATGACCGTAGTTTAACATTAGGCGATGTAAATTTAAGTGATATATACATGACTGAAGATATGTGGATATATATTTTTCCTCAGATCAGCTCTAATATTTACGTACAGAATCTGCCTCAGTTTGAAACCAAAAATGCAAATATGATTCAAGACTGCCGCAAGTTGGGCCACAAATTTGATAACACTTTCAAATGCGAATGGTGCGGTTTGCGGACTTACGATAAGATCCAAATAAATAACGAATCTCTGGAAGACCTCTGTCAATTATGGATCGACGGGCAAATATCAAATTTCACTTATATCTCGGCCCTAAATAAGCTCTCGGGAAGAAAACTGGGGGACCCCAGCTGCCACTACGTGTTTCCGTGGGTCACTGATTTTTCGTCGCACTGCGGGAAGAACTGGAGAGATTTGAAGAAGTCTAAGTACCGTCTGAACAAAGGCGATCGTCAATTAGACTTGACTTATAACAATTCCCAGACTCAAGTCCCGCACCACGTGTCTGACGTGCTTTCTCCGATCACTTACTACGTTTATATGGCCAGGAGGACCCCCAAGTCGGTACTGTGCAAAAATGTGAGGACTATTTGGGTGCCGGCTGAATATCCTAGTTCCATTCAAAGGATGCAGGAGTGGACCCCCGACGAATGCGTTCCGGAATTTTATACCGATCCGTCTGTATTTAGAAGTATTCACGACGATTTGGATGATCTCGAAGTACCCCCTTGGGCTTCCGGGCCAGAGCACTTCATCGAGAGGCACAGGGAACTACTGGAGAGCCCCCACGTCTCCGATAAGTTGCACTATTGGATAGATCTGACGTTCGGATACAAGTAAGTGTTCTGTATGAATTATACATGGTGTAATTTTGAACGGAGGTTTAGAAACATATACAGGGTGTTCCTTAATGATAGGCGAATATTTAAGGGTGTGATTCTACATGGAATATTAATGATAGTTTGCTTTGTAGACTATGGTCCATAATTAAAGCACCTGTCATTAATTTTCCATTTATTTGTGCTGCAGATTAACTGGTAACGCTGCTGTGAAATCAAAAAATGTATGTTTACACTTGGCCGATGATCACACATACTTGACGAAATCAGGACTAGTACAGCTCTTTTCCCATCCACATCCGTCAAAAAGCGTTAGTTCTCCCTTTTGGGCCAAAACCCCACCCAAAATATTCATCCATAAGCCAGTTAAAGATAGTAAGTACTCATTTTTGTGGATGCCTCACATTCCCTAACAAATTCAATTATAGGGGCCAGAGACAGAAGTAGTTCATCCGTAACGGTACAAGAGACTTCAAAAAGCGACGAGGACGAACACATAGCAGACGATCTAGCGGCGAATTTCTTCTTGAACCGGTCTTCGTTGGATTTAACTAAATTGTTGTCACGCAGCCGTTCTTCCTTGCACGAGGAACAAGGTTCCAAACCGAGCAGGAGCCCCAGCAACCAAAGGAGTTCTAGCGTTGGCCCGAAAAACCCTTCGTTTACGTCGCACGTCGTGCAGAAACCGAAACCGAATCAGCTGTGTGTCCCGTCGTCCTCGTTAAGTACCGGCACAATATATCTGCCTAAGGAGTATAAACCCGAGCAGGCCCTGGATCTTTTGGAGAAAAAACATGCTTTTATTGCTAAAATGTTTCACCCTGAACAAGGAAAAGTTTACTCGAGCGTACCCGACGAAATGCTGGTCAAAGATATTGAAGAGTGTGTCGTTCAAAACGCCTTCACGAATTTTATATACTCGGAGAATTTCAGGGAAAACTTCAGGGCAAAGCCTAAAGCGACCAAGTCGCACACGTTTCCGTTGGACAGTCACGATGTTTTTCTGCAGAGTTATCAAAGACTGCCGAGCCAGAAATCTGAAAATCAAATTATTTGTAACTACGCCGGCATTATTTCTACGAGGCGTACAAGAGAATTACAAGTTTTAGGATGTCTGGTAGTCGAAGTTTTCATGGCGAAGCAATTGAGGGCTATGGGGGCTAACAATTCAAACTTACCATTCAACAAACGACTGAAATCGTGTTTGACGGTGTTGAAGAGTTGCAAAAGCGACGTCCCTCTCTGCGTTTCGTACCTAATTGACTTATTGTTGCAACCGGAGAAAACCGACTTGAAAAATTTCGCTTATCCCGTGGTAACCGACTTAGGTTTACCTCCGCCCAGTGCCCATCTCTTACTGGAGCCTCTCCTAAACTGCATTATACCATTCTCTAAACATTTCCCGCATTTATACGCCTTGATATACACCTTGAAGGACTTCCAGAACGTCGCGATGGAGTTAAACATTTTGTACCACTTTGATTGTAACGGAGAAATGTGTTCCGAGTACGAAAATTTGGAGAGAACTAAAATCTTACTTGCTCAGAATATAGCAGAATGCAAAGTGAAATCGTGCGCTAAACACCTAGAAAGTCTGCTGGGCGAGCTGAACACTAATACTGATTACGAAGTTGTGAATATTTTGTTGCCACATATAAAAGATCTGATCGAAGACCCTCCCACTTCTGTATTATCGGCTTGGTACCTCTTCGAGCACGTCTCGAGAGTTTTGGGTCCTAGGAAAACCGCGGAATCTCTACTAGAATCTATTTTGAAGCTTTACGAAAACGAACCGAACGACGCTCACTTACCGTACAACGGGAAAATTGCAAAGCTGTATCACCACAGTTTCTTGCTTCGTCTGATGGTACGACTGGGTCTGAGGTGCTTCTTGGACAACTTCATAACACCTCTGGTAGAAGCCGTGGGTGGTTATAAAGATTACGATAAGACGGAGGTTTTCCTCCACTCCCACTCGGAAAAGGTGTCCAAGAGGACGTCGCATTTGAAAACGATGGACTCCGAACACATGGACGCGTCCGTTAGCGATGATTCCAGCGCCAGCGAGAAACAATCGAGCATAGTTGTGGCTAAAAAGGAGGTTAAGCCCAGTTCCGACGAAGAAGTTCAGTTTGAATTTGATGAGGACAAAGAGGACGATCAAATGAAGTCGTTGATAGAACAGCTTGAGCTTAACGTAGCTTCGGACCTGCCGTTTAACCACTCCACCGCCGAAGAAGCTCTGGACGCTACCATAGCGGAAAACATAGACCAGCTGCGGAATATCGAAGAACTGAACCTGCAACTGAACGACGATATCGTGGATATTAGGTCTGGAATCGTGTCTCCTACTATACCTATTCCGTCGAGTTACCATCACAACGTCATGAACATTAGCTGCGAAATTGGCAGTAAAAAGAGCGAGAGCGACTCGTTTTTAGAGAAGAAATCTGTGAATTCTCAAGAATTCAACGCCGATTCCTCGAATTCCAGCGTGGTTTCCAGCACTCAAAAACTGGGTTCGAAGACTAAGAAATCCGATACGAAGATTTCCGAGATGAGTTCCGACAGTGTGGTTTGGTTGTCGCACAGGTTAGGTCCAGTACTAACTGCGCGATACTTGTCCAGAAACCTGCTTAAAATGTTGACGTTGTGTTACGTCGGAAGAGAAAACCTGGCACCGTTGTCCGTTGAGGAAATAGAGGACGTGTCCGATATTTCCGTAACTTCCAGTCATATTTTAGGCGATAGAAACGCCGCTAAGGTTATGGAGTGCCTTTCCAGTATTGCCGGTAAGTGTATATTTGACAGATGCTTGTATATGTCAGATGTTCTTTGGTGCAAGAATGAAACGGGTAAGATGCACAAACACACGGTACTGTCACTAAACTCCTAAATAAAAAACTTTGTAAGGTTATGAACTGAAACCGAAAAATTAAATAAATCGGCCATTCTTGTATCACAGAAAGAACGTTAGCTTTATGTTTTTTTTGCCTCCTTAGCATGCTGTTGTCATGTCACATCAGGTGGATTGATATGTAGTTGACCTAAACTAGATCAATATCAAAGGTTATTGACTCTGAAATTCACAAACTAAACACAGTGCCCTAAAAAATAACAAAACAGTAATTACGCAGGTCAACATTTGATCTAGGGACAATCGTCAGAAGTGACTAGGTATATGGGGGTTTTTTGGGTCGCTGATTACGAATCCGAGGTCAGTTAAGCTCCATCACATCAGATTCAAGGTGACTTGAAGGTCAAATAAAGAAATGACCTCCAAAAAATCTGAAAAAAATCATGCTTATGTTTTAAAGTCCACCGAATCCAAGGTTTGTTTAAACCTACGATACACCCTAGAGGTCATTCAAGGTAATTTCAAGGTCATTCATGAAGTATTTTGGATAAAAAAGTTAAAATCAATCTGAAAAATCTGAAAAAATTCGTCTGAATGTTTTTGAGGTCACTAAAAGTGATTTCAAGGTTATTTAAGCTCCATCACGTCAGGTTCAAGGTGATTTGAAGGTCAAATCAAGAAATGACCTCCAAAAAATCTGAAAAAATTCATGCCTATGTTTTAGAGGTCATTGAACCCGAATCCGAGGTTTGTTTACCCCTACGATACGCCCTAGAGGTCATTCAAGGTCATTCATGAAGTATTTTGGATAGAAAAGTTAAAATCAGTCTGAAAAATCTGAAAAAATTCGTCCGAATGTTTTTGAGGTCACTGAACGCGAATCTAAGGATATTTAAGCTCCATCACGTCAGGTTCAAGGTGATTTGAAGGTTCAAGTTAGAAAAAGTTGTGTAAAAAAATTTAAAAAGTGTATTGAAGTGTTTTCGGGGTCACTGAGTTGATCCGGAGGTCTTCAAAGAGTTTCCATCTGTCTACGTATAACCATCTACACGTTTGTATGGAGATATAGTCTCTTTTTCTGATGGGTTACTTTCGTTCTACTATTCTGATTATGGGTTACTTTCGTTCTACTATTCTGATTAAGAACGTTGGCATATAACTATCCCATACGTTAATACGGTCAAAATGAATCGTTCTCTGAAAGGCCTCAGTACAATAGGTAAGTCCTTGTAGATGAAAATAACAGCAAATTCGAACTTAGTCAATCCAACATCACTTTACTGTATCTTTTCTGATTTTTCGCAAAACTTTTTCTTGATTTGACCTTCAAATCACCTTGAACCTGACGTGATGGAGGTTAAATGACCTTGGGTTCGCGTTCAGTGACCTCAAAAACATTGAGACGAATTTTTTCAGACCGATTTTAACTTTTCAAAATATTTCATGAATGACCTTGAAATGACCTTGAATGACCTCAACGGTGTATTGTAGGGGTAAATAAACCTCGGATTTGGGTTCAGTTACCTTTAAAACATGAGCATGAATTTTGTGCTCATGTTTTGCTCGGATTTGTGATCAGCGACCCAAAAAAACCCTATGTACCATAGTCACTTCTGACGATTGTCCCTAAATCAAATGTTGACCTTTGATTATTTTTAAACAGAAGTTGGTTTTATGTACAATTGGTAGTGTATAACAATATTAGTTAATATTTAATAAATTGAGCAAAAAAATATTTTTTTAAAAGCACTAACAAATTTTTTGTTTTGTCGTTTTATCTGCCTTAACATAAATTTCAAATTTCAAAGAAAAAAACATTTGTTTGGCATATTTTTTGGCTTTATATGCTAAGAACTGAAATTTCAAGTAAGATTTCTATCGTAGCATTGTTACTGAGGAGTAAAAAAAATTCAAAACAGATTGTTAAAATCAGTTTTGCGGTTCACAAAAAAATCAACTTTAAAACTCATTTCGAGTGAAGTATTTTTGTAACATATTTATTTTTAGCCTTGTATGGTGAACAGTTGATATTATTCCAATACATTCCACATATGAGCGAACTGATTTTACTTTGCAAAAGGAAACTGACTCTAAACTTAGAAGGGGGCCTAATATCATGTTTGGCGCTGTTGAAACATATAATTCCATATTTATCCGATGCAATGTTAATGGATCAGTTACAGGTAACAACTACATGGATTTTTGTATACTTTTTGGTCATTTTATACTTTTTAAATTTATTTTTTTAGGACGTCATACTAAAAAACATATTACATCCCACCGTTAGACTGTTAGGTTCTACAAAGTATACCTTCCCAAGTGGACATATAGCGAGGAACATTTTAGCTCGTAAATATTTAGACGCTTTATATATACTTTCTATTCGAATGGGCTCCGATATGACAAAGAAATACTTAGCTGTACCGGCACTTCAAAGATTTTTCCTAATTTTTGATAAAGTTTACGTAAACGATGAACTTAAATATCTAGAGGAAAAGGCAAGAGTATAAATTTTTCACAATACACCTGATAAATAATTAACTTATTTTGCAGGGACCTGAAAAGGATAAAGACGTTACAAAAGTCACAGAGGGGTCTCACTTTGTCGAATTACGCAGAGACGGAACCACAACGGAATGGGCAGTGGGTGGCAGACCCGTTCAGATATCTCACGTTCGTTTAAAAGATTCCGAATCCGCCGATAGTTTATCGCCCCCTGTCCCCAGCGAAGTGGTGGCGGTTCTAGCACAGGAGAGCACCATAAACCTAGCTCTAGACGAATTAAGGCTTGTTTTTACACCTGAATTAGCTCACGCCGCTTACATTCCGTTTTTGAGACACGTAGGTGCCGACTCTTTGGAAATATCCCTGAAAAATCACGACAATATCCGCGACTTGTGTCAAAACTACGAACAAGAAATTCGGGCCCCTCCCAACCTCGTGCCTAGGTTGACGTCAGATTTCAACAGAAGCAAGACTATAACGACGTCGAGCAGTATCGGCAGCAACATCGCGGTTATCGGCAACAGAATAGACGTGCAAACGGAGAATTTCGACAGCCTCAACTCTGACCTTCTCAGCTTGGTCAGCAGCCGCATGGAGAACACCACGAGACACCTCCGGGGCAACTGGCTGGCCTATTGGGAGCACGAGATCGGACGTTCGGAAAAAGACAACATGTTCAACTTCAAGCAAATAAAACTGCAGACTTTCGCCGGCCACACGCACAGCGTGAAGTGCCTGTACGTCCTAGACAACGAGAACAGTTTTATGTCAGGTAGCCGAGATAAAACCGTCAAACTCTGGTCGTTGCGGAGCCAAGGCGACGGTTTCAGCACGTCCAACTGCCAGTGGACGTACAGCGCTCACAAGAAATCGATACTGACAATAACTTTCATAGAAAGCATGAGGCTGGTCGCATCCTGCGACAGCGTTGTGCATATATGGGATCCGTTCATGGGCGCCAATTTGGGTAACTTGGAATCGACTAGGTTCTCGCCGGTTAACGTTCTGAAAAGCATGCCGGCGCCCTCGACTTTAGTTTTCGCCGCCACCACGGACGGTACGGTGAAGGTTATCGATGCAAGGCTTCTGAATTACATACAGGAATTAAGGGTGAGTGAAATTTAATGCTGTGAGGTTTTTTAGTCTTTCTTGTGTTTAGGTGTTCCTTTAAAATTACTACTATATCAATTTTTTATAAGAAAAAGCTCATTTTTATGGGACACAGATTGAAAACTGAAATTTGATATTACTTATTTTTGTTAACGTCGCTAATAACGTATTTTACTTCCCTGTGAATATTGACATTTAGTACAATCATTGAAGCTTTTCACATCCGAATTCTTTGAAACTGAACCGATCGACTTGAAATTTGGCAGATACTTAGAGAAAAGGTCAATGAACATTAGTGACATAGCGCCGATTGTCGTTTCCACCCTGTTGGGGGTTGACACCCCTTCCCGCTGGAAATCGATAGAGAATAATCAAATTTTGAGCAAAAAATATTCGAAGAATTTTTTCGAGAAATCAATAGTTTTTTAGTTATTGACAATTGAAAACTTGGAATTTTGAGTGGAAAATTCAAAGTATTTTCCTCGAATAACTAAAAAACTACGCTTTTATTAAAACAAGTGTAATGAACAAAAATGTAGCTTATAAATAAACAAAGAAAATCATTTTTCAAAAAGTGTTCGATGTATTCGATGTCAAATAACGGAAAAAGGATTAATTTTACGTGTATAACGCTCCGGGAGTTTTTTGTAGTACTCAAAAAGACCTTCAAAATGAGCACTTGTAAAAGTTAATTAGAACAAAATTGAAGGAGTTGTCGTCAAAAACAGATGGGTTGCTCATATTTTTTAAGGAAAAATGAGCAGTAAACGCTGCACCATTTCCATCAGATTTAAAATTAATCGTAGATCCTTTACAATTAGTTTTGTTTTAGTGTTTTTTATACGATCTCTCAAGTTAGACCGGTTTAGAATGCGTATATTTTGAATAATGTACGGTAAAAGTTGAAAACATATTTTCCATTATTCAAAAAAAATTGCCTTATTTATATAATAACTCTGAAAGTATGGAAGATATGTAAAAAATGATAGATAACAAAAATGTAGCTTTTTTTCAACAAATATTTTGCTTTTTTTTATTCCTATAGCATAAAAAATAAAGGAGATATCGCCGCTTGAAGTATCCATTTTAGTGAAAAAACGACTTGTCTCGAGCCCTTCAATCCTTTCCCTTTAAAAAACGAAGGACTTAAAAGCTTTTATATGCAAACGAACTTACAGCTCTTGAAATTATCTTTAAAATGCTTTGTTGTAGGATATTATAGCTTCAAAATTAAGTTATGGTAAAAAAATCAATGACATTTTTTCGGAGCAAAATAGGCTTTCTCATTTATGGAGCAAAATGTTAGGATTCAGTGTGTATAAAAGTTTATATGCAGCGTAGCAATTTTTTTAATGATTGATGATATTTAAAAATCGATTATAATAAAAATATTTTACATATATATTGGTAAAAGGGTAGTTTATAAAAGTTGAAAATGGCAAAAGTAAAATATTCTTTCATAAACAATATAAGGGAATTTTTATTTTAAATTATTGCACAATTAGAGCATTCTAAGATTTAAAACTTAATTTTTTATAATTTCTTTAGCACAGGGGTGATTTATAAGGGTTGAAAACTGTTATGAGATACAAATTCTTTCATAAGCAATTTTTATTTTAAATAATTGCACCGTTAAAGCATTCCAAGCTTTTAAAAAGTAATTTTTTATCATTTTTGACAATACAGGGGTGGTTTTTAGGGATTGAAAGGGAAATATTCTTTTATTAGCTATAAGGTAATGATTTAATCATTCCAAATCTTTAAAAAGTAATTTTTTATCATTACTTTCTGCATAGGGGTAGTTTTTAAGGGTTAAATAAAGGGTCGAAAATATCAAATATATCATAAAACATGTTCAAGAATATGGAACATATTTAATCTTTGTACTTGAACAAGATTTTTATCAATAAAATGCTTAAAACTTAATTTTTTCAATTTTTTCCACTTAGGGGTAGTTTTTCCCCCTAAAAAACAAAAAGCGTCAATCGGGCTTATGTCACTTTTGAACTTGAGCCTACAATGCACTTAAGATTGTAATTACTATTAATTATAAGAAAATATAATTTTTTTATCTATTTTTCTTAGTTTGTACTTTTGCGCTGAAAAATTCCCCAAAAATTGAGAAGTATCTTTCTATCTTTCAATGACGATTTGTTTACGCGGCTGGTCTACAGCACGTAACTCATCGTATAGCACACGGACAGAACCGTTCCAGAAAAAATATTTTGATACATAATTGAACTTTAATTTATGAAAAAAAAGCAAAAATTGAACTTTTTCGTTTCTATTACAAATATCGTTAGGAGGCTGTAGTTTAATTTTTATAGATTATAACATGCCACACCCTGTATTATGTATTTAACCAATCAAATTTAGTGACTGGCACTATCCTGGCCTAGAAATATATTAGAAAATGCTCCAAATGACGATTTGGTTAGGGTTTCCTATTTGTGTAATAATGAACCTATTTCTTAGTATGTCTTACTTTTATTTGTATTCACTTTGTTGTAGATATTCCTGTGACGTTTATTTATTAACTGTTTGTACTTGTAAAATAGTCTTATTTTTGTTCTTTAGATTTGTACCAGTAATCGTACAACACAATGAATCTATCTGTCTATCTGTCTAGATCAGCTTGAATCCGTCCGGGTTTATACGAAGCTTGGCGATTTCCCGTTCGGGGTTGTGGATTGCCGCCGGTCAATCATCGGGAAATATCACGGTACTGGATACTAGAACCGGATTGGTGATCTCCAACTGGCGTGCCCACGAAAGCGAAGTTTTACAGGTAGTGGCGGTGGATAACAACACTTTAGTTTCGAGCAGCCTAGATCAGACTATTAGCGTCTGGAATATATGGGACGGAAAGTTCAAGTTTTATATGAGGTTCGTATATTTTTACGTTATTTTTAAGATTGCTTCAATTAAAAAAAAAACACCATTTATTTATGCTTTGACAATTTTTTGTTATGACATTGGCTTTTATTTTTACTTATTATTGACAATCTTGATATATGGGGTGGTCATTAAGTACATTTTGATAATAAATAGAGTGATTCTCTCTTCATTTTCAGGAAATAAAGTTTTTTCAAATTTATATCCTAAACGGCTTAGTTTTCGGGGTGATGTTCAACGAATATTCGAAAACTTTCATATGGATTCAACGAACAAAAACGATCGACCTTCTCGATTTTTTTTAAACTTTGGGATGTCAGTCTACTTTAAATTTTATGAGACGTCTTTTTGTTTTTCCAAAAAAAAAATGTTTAGGGTTCCTTGACGCCATTGCAAAGTTTCTCAAAAATCCCACCTTTTAATTTCACAAAATTTGGATGTTTTTCAAGGCCAAATAAGCTATCTTTTAGCCAAACGTCAATATGCAAAGAATGACCGCAAAAAAAGCCATTTTTCCACCTGTTTTTGAGACTTTGACAGAGGCGACAGGGAAAATCCTAAAAATATTCTAAAAATGTCCAGATACTCATCATGTAAAATGAAAATGGGCATCACTTTCGGTTTTTCGAAAATCACCCTTATTTAGGGGTTGAAAAGACAAAAAAGTGAACAAATTAAGAATCATCAACAGTCGTAAAACCCCAAATATTTGTATGTTGTTATCAAAATAATATTATGAACGTGAAAATATCTAATTTCGTATTTGATACGGTTTTGTCCGGATTGAAAATCAACCCATAATATCCCTAAAGGGGTGAAATCATCCCCTAAACGCCTAAAAATGCAAAAAATATATTAAAAGTTACAATTTTTTTTCTTTTTCTTTTATACATGATAATTGAACCTTTTAATAACCCAGAATCGCTAGAATCACATTTTTAGGCGTTTAGAGGATGATATCAGCCCTTTAGGGATATTAAGGGTTGATTTTCAATCCGGACAAAACCGTATCAAATACGAAATTAGATATTTTCACGTTCATAATATAATTTTGATAACAACTTAGAAATATTTGGGGTTTTACAACTGTTGACGATTCTTAATTTGTTCACATTTTTTGTCTTTTCAAGCCCTAAATAAGGGTGATTATCGAAAATTTTCGAAAAACGGTGAGTGACGCTCATTTTCATTTTTCACGACGAGTTTTTGGATATTTTTAGAATATTTTTAGTATTTTTCCTGTCGCCTCTGTCAAAGTTTCAAAAACAGGCAGATTTTTCAGTCACTCTTTGCTCCTACCGAAACACTTTTTTTCAAAATGTGCAGAATTTTATCACACTTTTATCTTTTTCTTTCAGAATTAAAATTGCTTTAAAACTTATAGAGAAAAAAAGATAAATGAGAAAAACGAAAAAAATTTTTTTGTTTTTTCGAAATTGATTTTCCCAAAAACCCCACCTTTTATTTTCACCAAATTTGGATATGCTTTTCTCATTTATCTCAGAAAGTTTTAAAGCAATTTGAATCCTAAAAAACTAGGTAAACGCTGATGAAATTCTGTACATTTTGAAGAAAAAAATTTTTCAATAGGATGATTTGGGTCAAAATAACGGCCACTTGAAAAAAATATGCATTTTCATTTTCGGAATATTGTTGTCACGATGTAAATTTTGAAATGGCGCTACAAAACTCCAAACATTTTTTTCGGAAAAACAAAAAAACACGTCTCATAAAATTCAAAGTAGACATTCCAGTTTAAAAAAAAAACGAAGGGGTCGATTTTTTTTACTCGTTAAATCCATATGGATACTACCATATATTTTTTGTGAAAAGATTTGTTCAAATAGGTTCAAAATATAACATTTTTGAAATGCTGACATTACATTGATTAAACCGTGTTTAAAATGTTCAACACCATCAGTTGATATAATCGTAAACAAAACTCAATTTTTTACTCTAATTTTAGTCGTCGGAGCAAATTCTATTGTATCATATCAAATATCTGCGTTGACATGATATTTTTCAAAAACTTTATTATTAAAAATTCCTAGAAACCGAACCCTTTTTCCTCAAAACGATCTAAAATAATCACTCGCTTCATTATCCGAACTTACTTAAAAACCACCACTATTTTTACCGTTTATTTGTATTTTTTTTAATTCCCGTCGATCCTATAACAGCGTTTGCCTTCCTAGGGGGGCAACGGAACCCGTCCACTGCCTCAACGTCTACAATAACGAACTGATATCTGGGACGACGGCGAACCGCGTCGGCGTCCACACTTCCATAGACCTAGACGCCTCGTTCTCGAGCACCAAGCTCCGATCTGACGCCTTCAAGGGTTTACTTACGTCCATGGCGGTCTTGCCCCTAAACAGATTGTTACTGTTAGGTGCCGACACCGGAAATATTAATTTGTTGTGTTGAAATTGCCTCGAAGCGGCGATTTGGGCGGTCTTTGAACGAACAACGTGTCTCGTTTGATTTTTCACATACGAAAAAAAAAGAGAAAAATAATAAGTTCTAATTTTGAATTTCCCGCCAACGTGTCGAGTCCTATTTTTTCCCTTTTAAAAATTATACAAGTCTTAATACTATACAGAAATTATAGTATTATTATATTTTGTATTAAATACATCAAAATAATGTAAAATTTCTGTAATAATTTTAAAATTTGTGAATTTTAGTTGAATTTTAAAATTATATCTCACCGACACAGATGTACGTGCTGTAAGTACATATACCATTGTCGAATAAATACAGAGTGTGTTGTATGAAAGGAGAGAAGTTTAGCACTCCCCTAGACAAGGATGGAATACAATACACATGGTTAAGGCACACCTTGACCACAATTTTTTTTATAACTAAACATTGCAATTTGTTTCCGATATCAAAATTCCATTACTCCGAAATCAATTATAAGAGTAGCAATAATGTAAACGTAGGTACAAAAAAGTAAGTCCGGAGTGTTTCTAAGACCACCCGAATCGTTACTATGTTGTGAAATTTGAACGGTAAAGGCATAATACATATGTTAAAAATCCAGTTTTATTTGAATCAATTATGGGAATTTCGAATAAATCCAAGCTGTATTAATGATAAGGGTAAAATAATATTAAATTTCTTTTCAGTGAACTGAATATTTTTATAGCGACGTAACTTGCTTTATGAAGCATAGCATTCCTAGAAAGTACTATTTTTACGTGATATTTTACTAATTTAATAGATACGTACCAAATACAGGGTGTTTTAAATTGTGTGCGAGGCATCGGATCTAGCAAAATTACATCAAAATTTGTGTAACACTTTCCGATGAACTTTATTCTTCCTTAGTATCTGAATCAGTAAAAAATATTTATTTAAACCTGATCAAGTTCAACAAATTATTTTGTTAGAGGTTCATGTGTTGCACCGATTTTGAACGCCCTTTACATATTTTACTAGTGCAATTAAAATAGTACAATGTACGTTAATTAAAACTATAATTTCATGGCAAATAATTTTTATATCAGATAAATATCAAACTAATACGTTATAAGCCAAAATGTATGATTTAAATAGTTTTTTAGTTCGGTAGGTGATGTTTAAAACTTCATTAGCTTTCGATTTATAGGATGTTAAAAATCAAAACAATATTTCATAAACGTTAAACAGATATAACAGTAAAAATAGCAGTAAGTACTTTTTGTTCTTTTGAAGAACCGATATATTTTTATACCATAAAATAAATCAGCGATATGAATTTCAGCAAATGACAATTTGTTTTGAGAATTGACATCTCAATGTACAGAGTCTGTTCAACAACACTCTTTATGGTTCAACGTATGTAAAAACTTGTGATAGAAAATAAAATGCTGAATATGTTGAATTTTCAAAAACACGTTTGCTCAATTTTTGGTTTGATTATCATAAAAATGAACGTTACAGAAAAAAAAGGGTAGGCTGTTGAAACATTAGTTGTATTATTCATCTACATAGCCATGACAGTTCAACTGTTTACAATTTCATGGTTCTTTTGTTCGAGTGTTGCAATGCACACTCTGTGTATTGTCCGCAATATTGAATTATATTTTTTAAAAAAGTGTTACTGTAAGTAAAAAAATCTAGTCAGTACATACGTTAAGAATATTTTTATGTGATTTAAAGAATAGTTTTTATTATTTTTATATATACGAGTGTCTCTATTAAGTAGGTTTGCTTCAGATTATTGCCAGTTCTTATTTTCTTATAAGAGTATTATAATCCAAAGATAAAATTGTATTATCCATTTAGAGAAAATAAAGGAATTGTTATAAAACCTTCTACATTTTTGCCGCCCTTACATGCAGGGCGTTAAATAGGTACGTCGGAAACTGTCGGTTTGCGGATCATTTTGGTATCAATTCGTTCAAAGAATCACCGTTTAATGTTCATAGATATACTTAATTAACACCCTGTACATCCTGATAAAAAAAAAGTTTAACCCTTTCTAGGAGTCTAGGAAAATAAAGCTTAGAAAAGATTTTTTTAGACAGTATTTAAAATATCCGTGAAATGTGTTGGTGCAATGGGCAGTGTAATCAATACACATTTACTATTAACCATTAACCTAATTAGCGTTAACATAACAAAGGTAAATTCACAGGAATAGAGTTTGCTATAGCGACGGTTCAAGTTGTTTGATCAATATTTCCACCCAAAATATTATGAGACCGTATTTTGAAACAAAAGAATGGGGTTAACGAGTAAAACCGGACTGACGGCTAGTCCTACAAAAAAGGTTGCGAGAACTGAGAAGGTAAGTACGCGAAACTAAAATAAAGTGAAATATTTACGTCTACAATTATATTTAGACGAAAACTGTTCAATTAAGGGCTATCGCAAAGCCGGCACCTTTCATATTGAAACGTTTCGCTGGACTCTACAATCCTTATCCGTACGGGTGTTCGCTGTTGTGTAACCACCCTATCGATAACGAAGCAAAGGAGTTACTACGAAAAGCGAAAGACAACTGGGTAAGAGGCATTAATTCATATGGTAGACACAGAAATAATCGTTTTTGTTGTGTAGGGAGTTGAAGGCAAGAACGTCCTGTTGGCGGAAGAAATCGAAGCTATAAGAGAAACTTTAAGACAAATTAGTACCAACGAACCTACATTTGTACAAACGAATATCATTCTTCCACAAGTGGAAAGCGTTCCCGAAGAATTGTTCAGAAGGTAACTAGAGAAACTGCCCTTTTTCAATAAAAATGCAAATCGGAACGTCAATTTTACTACCCAAGTCCTTTAGTTTTGTCTAAAGTTAAAATATTTCTCGTGCTATTATCGTCTCTGCTCCACTACTAAACCCTCCTGATTTTTTGATTACGAAATTGGCCAGTATCAGCCTTTGGAACTACTCTCCCGAAATGATTACAATTATGTAAAAAGAAAGACAACCACCGATCGTTTTTTCACAATTTCATAATTTTCAGTTATTTTATTAACAACAAATAAAATCATTGCGTGACTGAACCAGTAACAAAACTACAATCCCTAAGATAACAATCACAAATTGAGACTTCAACGAACTGCATTGTAATCTCCACTTGTTTAACAATGATTGGGTGTAATCTGTCAGAATTTACAACTTTGACACCATATTTTGTGTCTTTTTTCTCGAAATGTACCAACTACAAATCATAACGCATAATACTTTGAATCTGGCGAAGTGTAATTAGTATGCATATCTCGACAAGATATTACGTAACCGTCGTAATAATTTTACTTCAAGGTACACCGAAACAGATTCTAGACCACTGACGCCAGCCCCGACTTTAGCTAGTGCAGCAACGAAAGCGACCAGTTCAAGAAGATGTGTAACACCTGATCTGATACCTACTTGCAACATCAGAGAAAAAACTTTACTCGTGCTAGATTTAAGGCGAAGCCATAGCCAGGTAGGTTTTAGCTTTCTTCGAGTTGATGAACCAATAGTTGGAATTTTTAGGAAACTTTGTCATATTACGCCAGTTCGTCCGCCCACGAACCCCCCTTAATTCGTATCCAGCACGTTCACACCAGAGCGGAAAGTTTGGAGGAAAAAACTGCCGAAGAAGTTCAAACTTTGACTAAAAGCTTGAGTACTCCTGCCATTTTCAAGAGGCCTAAAAGTGGTAGAAAGTCGGTAAACGTAAGAAAAAAAAATCGTTAGTTTGAAACTGTACTAAAGGTGTTGTTTTTAGGAAGAACATACTGAAGATGTCAACGAAAAAGACCAAGAAGATCAAGAGGAGGGGGATGAAGAAGAGTTTATAAAAAGGCGAGGCAAGAAAAGACGTAAAAAAGGAAGGGATTCTTCGAGGGGCCCTCCAGCGTTTCAAGCATCGTTAGATCCTGAAACACAGGTATTACAACTAGATTATTAGCGTGTTCTATATATATTCCAATATATTGGGTGTTTCTTACTTAATTTTGCATAAATTTGTTGTATTAGTCGAAAGTCGATGGTGCAATGATTTCCCAAATACTATCATAATTTTTAATTTCTTTATAAACTTTAACAGCCCATAAACTGAAATTCTTTGTTTGCTTGTATCACCCTATTTTAACCTGATTAAACTGTGCCCTTCTTAAAGAAACACCCTGTATTTCTAGATGGCGACTATAGGCCTGGATTCCCACAATCCCAGCGCCCGTCCTTCTTTAATACCAGGAGGTTCATTGCTGGACACTGGTGAGGTACCAGAGAGAAAGAAAAGCATACTGAAACCTTCCGTCAGCCTAGACATTGACTCGTACCTAGACACCGAAATTCTCAAACAACTGAGAAGAGAACTAAACGAAGAAATTGTCGACAATGAATTAAATAACAATGTACGACATATCTGTTGGTTTACAATCGTCTAACTGGCTTTATTTTAGAGACGGAAGGCGTTACAAGAAGCCTTACGGACGGTCACTAAAGATAAACCGGCATGTGAAGAGCTCGTGGCTCTTCAGAAGGAGTTGCGGGTGCCACCAGTAAACGCTGACCTGTGGATATCGCTTCCCAGGGCTTTCTCTAGGTCCAGCGCGAGATTCGAGCTACCTATGGACAGTCGATCGCTTAATAGTTAGTTGAAAACTTAATTTGAAAAATATTTGCACGTTTGTTTCGATATTTATCCGATTTTTTAGCTATGACGCCTTTGGATTATGTGAGGGAAAACATTAGTATTACCTCGGCAAGGAAGTTGCTGTACAATTGCATTTTCAATAAATTTAAAATGGAAGTCGAGGGTGGCGGAGAATACGAGCGTAAAGTCTCGGGAGAGGTATGAAATCGTAGTCGAAATCGAACTGTAAATAAATATTGACTCACTAGTGACGTCATTGTTCCAAAAAAACAATACAGGGGGGTCTAGGTTTATATTTAATTTAATTTCAACATCTCATATCTCAAAAACGAAGCGCATCTACGCCTCCCATTGTTTTGATTTTTTTTTTGTCTAAAATCACTCGGTAATTTTTCCTGATTAAATCGAAGACTGCCTTGTATGTCCTGTATTTTTTAGAAGTTACAAGAATGTCTGGATCTTCTAATGGGAAGGCCCCTGTCTGAGAAGCAATCGCGCTATTTCAGAAAACTTGTAGGTTGGAAGGAAAGCGATATTTTCGACTTTAAGACTTGCTGCGGAATCTTTGCACTCTGCGAGAGACTATTAGCGCCTCAGTTTTATCCGCAGCTGCCAGACAGAAAAACAGACCCTTGTCATGAGGTATAACTAGATTTTTCGAATTATTTACAAAGTTTTTTGATCAAATGCCTTAATTTTTAGGTCGAATTAGCGGATTTTGAGGTACTATCGAGAAAACTACATGGACAAAAGGTGGACGAGAGACTTATAGAAATTTTAAATGGTATAAAAACCTTATAAAAATTAAATGCAACGATGAAACTTATGTGTTTCATTATTCTGGAATCCCAATCTTATCCGATAAAATGTTTTTAAATATTTTTTCAAAAAATTTCGGTAATTTTTGCTTTAAAACAAATGGGGCATATGTACGTAATTCATGACATTTATTAACAATTAAAAATACAAATAATATATGAAATGGCTCTATTGAATACTATTATACACTCTCACTTAATGTGCCTCATATCCATCGGGGAGGGCATTAACATGAGAGTTGTGGAACAGAGAACGGTTGCCTTCACCCCATGGGAATCGCTTTGTACGAACACGGAGATAATCGTATTTGACGAACTCTGGCTGTCCGTGATGTCCGCTTTGATGGGCTAAATAGCAGTTTACACCACAGAGTAAGATCGATGGAAATGCTACGAAGATAGTGAGGTTCTTCCAAATCTTGAACCCACCTACAAAAAAGATTATAGTGAATAATAATAATAAAAGGAGAACGAGAAGAATAGGCTACTGAACTAAGTAGTGCTTAAAGAAATTTCCTTCATTATGTAATGGATTTTAACCTCTGAATCTTTACAGAAGGGTGTGGGCTTAAAAAAAGATACGTATACACTTACCTTCATGCTGTCCAGATACCGCAGAAGGGCCCTGTACCTGAACACCCCTTTGCACGGTAGTTTGTAAATATCTTCGGAATGCCTGATTTACAATGGCAGCCATTTTTACCTTTTCTATTTTTCCTTTTCTTCTTCTGCTTTCTCGATGACACATGCAAGCAAAATTAAAACTGTCAAAAGTCAATCAGGTGATTAGCTTTTGTGACTCAACAAAACTTGGCGCTTGCTTCACGTCTTTAAACTATCAAGTGAAGTTAGGTTTTATTATATGGTGTGGTCTCCATGCGCTAATTTAAAATTTAATCTAATGCCAGTTCAAAAATTACAATAAAAAGTCAAAATACCATTTTTGTTAATTGTGTAACTCTCCTAAACTGAACTAAACGCAATTGGTAAGCACATTACTATATTTTTTATTATTTGTTTGTTTTGTGATTTTAAATACAAAAATTATGTTCTGTGCATCTTTTGTTAATTACTCGCAAAAAAGTAATTTGGAAATGTGGACTGGAAAATAATTTGGTTTCTACAACCTAAATTTAAATTACCTAAAATTTGTAGAAGTCGTTCAGGCATCAAGTAATCCTAGAAAGTTGTAAATTGTCATACAAAAATTTTAACAAAGGAATGAAAGATATGTCAAACATATAATACCCTTTATTACATATCATTCAGTAGACAATATAACTGATATAATGAAAAAAATATTCCCCCAAACAAGATAATAATTTGCATAAATTTCATTTTAGTTAGATATAATATTACATTCATTTAGTCTCCCGTTCTAAGCCGAGTTTTGTGGGAAATCCGGTGTCAGAGTCTTTTTAACAACGTGTATTCTTCTGTTCGATAAACAAACTATGTAACAGTGGTCGTCGTAGATTAGGGATAATTTTTTGAAACCTTCGGGTGACAATGCATTTGAATCTATGTGGGAAGTAATATTCAACAGTCCCATAATAATCACTGCAGATTTTTCGTCATTCTCTAAGTCGCCAGAAGAGGATAAAACTGCACCTTCTTCGTTTAATAGCAAATAGCCGGTTTGGCCTGGTCGATCCATATCATCCAGAAAACTGAAAATTAAATTGTTAAAGCAATAGAAAATCTATACAATTAAATTCTACCTAAATCAAACTATTAACATAGTTCTTTGTTTTGTAAGAGCTGTTCATTAAACAGCTGACAAGAAAATAAACTTTCTGACATCTGTCACATATACGTCACTTGTCAGGTACCCATAGAAATAGAAGATATTTCTGTTCTATGTTTAGAGCATGTACTACATGGAGGAAGCAAGCTTGTGGCGACAGTGTAGACGAATGATAAAGATAGAGATAGTTTCGGTAATATCTTTCTCTCTCGCGCAGACTCGTGATTGGCTAATAAAACTCCATCCTAATCGATTAGAAAGAGAGAAACTATCACTCTTTCGCTCTACAGCGTCTACACTCGGTAAAATACCACTTTAATACATCAATCTCGTTAGTGACGTCACTACATGCATGTAAGCGTAAGCACGCCATTATTCACACCACAAGCACAGCTTAATATTAAGCTGTGCCAAGAGTTTAATTATTTTATCTATATCGGCAGGAAAGCGAGTTTTCGACTTTTTAGATTTTTTCTCATGTAGTCCTAGAAAATTTTAAGTTCTCTTCTGAGCATGCCATTTGCGATTAGAAGTTTTATTATTCTTCAATTTTATCTTTTATGACCACCTTTTGGGTCAGAGCAGGTTATTTAATATGGTACATGGTATGAGGTCATATTTTCAATTCAAAATTTCTAACAACTAAATAGCAGTTATATACTGCAAATATTTTACATTTAATTTATACAGTTATGGATTATTCGATAATTACAGTTCAAGCATCAAACAATTCAATCCATTGGTATATGAAATGTCGCTAGTTGAACGCATTCATTTTCAAATTTAAAAAACTCAACATAAACATAAGTACAGAGAAAATGAACAAAATATTTGTTTAAGTGTTGATAAGTAACAATAAACGGCTATTGTTTGACGTTATATGACTCGATAACAATTTTAAAACCAAACATGTTCGTTTCAGTTGTGTACTTCCCATAATCAGATACTCGTGTCATTTTGCAACAAATCACAACATTGTGCAATTATTAGTTGCCTATTCTTTCTATCACAATTTCGCAATCATGATTGGATGAAAGCTATTGACGTCGTACAATCAACCAATTAACTTGCGTGTTTTCTTTTCAAATCAAGATTGCGAATCGTAACGTAAAGTCAAATAAAGTCTAACTATAACGAGTAAATTTAAGGAGAAAAGTAGGCATTTGACATTAACTTCCTTGACAACGAACAAGTTTGTTATTGTTTGTTGTGATATTACTGAACAACTAGATTTATATATATAGGAATTTAGAGGATTTTCACTTGTTTTGTAAACAAAAAAAAGTTGAAATCTCGGTTTCGGTTTTATCATTCGGTTAGTTCAAATTGTGACGTTGCGAAAGTGATAAATCTAAAATAATGGTAAGTTCAAAATAAGTAAATAATACATGTGGGATTAGGTTATCTTTTTATTTTTATGTTCAATAGTGAATAGAGAGATGTAGGTACTGTTGTTATAATTATTAATATATTTTGATCTTGTGAACTCACCCGTACATATTTGATGACACAACTGTTCTTTGGACGATTAATAATAAATTATCGGTTTCTAGATATAATAAAAACAATGATGTGTTTGCTGTAAATTTTTATACAGGACTAGGTGTCTGCTCTACAGTCTTTTTGTCATTAAGATTTTGACGTTTTTGTGACTCAGTTTTTAGTTTTTGTTTTCGTTTTTAGCCGGCTCAACTCCATGCCAACTTTGTCATCATAGCTTTTTACATGCCTGTAATCCTGCTTTTTAAAAGATGGTACCTATAATGCGTTTTCACTATTTCCACAGTACATTAGAGATAAATTTTTGTTTTTGCATTTTATAGACAATGTGTAATATTTATTTCGTTTTTACTTGATCAAATAATAAATAATCTTAAATAACAGTGAACTAAAGATACACGAATTATTTTACCTTTTGGAAAACACAATCAAGAAGCTTCTTGATTGATATTTGACAATAATATTTCTCAAATAGGTACGATCAACTATCAATATTTAGTTTATTTGAAAATTTACTTCAATTTACCTGTTACCTAGCAACAGGCCATGTTTTATTTACTAGGGATTTCACCTCAGAGGAATATGTTTACTTATTCCTCTGAGGATTTCACCTAATTATTGACCAATGATCATTCAGAATAACAGATTAGCTCAGATCTCAGGTAAATAAAACACGCTATTGGTATACTGGGACTCTAAAATGTCACTTTGTCTTTGTATATATTTCTAAATAAATATTCCGATGCATATTCCGATGTCTGGTATCGGGGGGAACGCCCCAAACTCTGTGTATTCTGCTAAAAAAGTAAAAACTCAAATGTTATTCGCCCGCTGTCTTGTTAATATACTGTTTTGAACATTTAAAGAAAAAACATTGATTAGAACAACGTATGTGGGAATTTTGCTATGACGAAATTGAAATAAAAGTAAACAAGTAAAAACATACATTTTAGATATGGCTACTATTTACATATATCAAAATTAATTGTCTACTATTTTAGATTAAAATTTTGAGTTATTGTGTATAGAAATAAACTGTTTAAAATTGTTTTATGTACTGACAGATTTCGTAAGTGACACTGGACTTTTTTGCAATTTGTGATTTACGCCTAAAAAGTTAAGACAATGCGACATTGGTTGCGGTACTCTATCACTACAGGGGCTCTAATACAAAAAACTATACAGGGTGTTTCACGTTAGACGGATTCTGCCATCCAGACTATCAATTTTCTGTCAAATTTGTTTTGTCAAAATAATTTGAAGACGTTAAAATTAACTTTTCCATACCATCAAAATTAACTGGATAGAATTAGTTTGTTCAAATTTATAAAAAGTTACTATAACAATGACCGAGAAAGCTACTACTTTTTCGAAAAAAATTTTGTTTTCTACAGATCATTTATTTAATGGAAGACTAATGATTAATAAAAAGAGTTTGGTTAGTTTGAGGCTTTTTGCAAAAAATTAAAGGTGCAGAAAAATTTCCAAATTTTTTTAGTGATATTTGAAAGGCCGTATAACTTGTCGAGAAAAAAAAGAAGCATATTGAAACTTGAAGATTCTAGTTTTGAAATCTTGAGATAAAGAATTTTTTTAAGCATCGCTCTCGGCGCAATCAAAAGCAATAATGCGAGGCACAAATTTTTCATTTTTTTTTCAAAACTGCTTTGGGCTCAGAATTTTTTTTCCTGGCTTATTCAATGCCAGAGTTATTTAGCTTGATTCATGAGCTTCAATTTGTTCTTTTTTTATTTTCTGTACGATTATTTCTCATTGAGATATAGGCCAGGAAAATAAACTGGGAAATGACCATTTCGCGACTTTTTGCTTCGGCAAGCTGAATTTATCACTATAGATGCTAAATATTATGTACAATAACATTTTAGTTTTCACAGTCATAAAAATGGGGGGAAGATTGCTTACAGGGTGGTTAATTTCTATAATTTTTACGAAAATTCACGTTTTTCGCTAATAACTTTTTTTCCGTTCATTTCCACGAGAAAACAGTAATGTACTTTTTTTTCATCTTCAAAAGACCTACAAAATGTAGCCCTCGAGCGTCAAAAAATATTGATTAGATCAAAAATTATAAACAGAAGAAGTTTATTTATGAGTTTTGAACTAAACATTAATTTATAAACTGCGTAATTATTACCAGAACGTTTTGGCATCGCATCCTCTCATTCCTTATCACTGTCTAATAACTCACACGAAATCTGGAATCGGTAAGTTGAATAGTTTACAAGTTATGGCCTTATAATCAAATTAACTAATTATTAGTGTGGACGATCCCAAGCATCTTCCACAATCGCACTGATTTTTTTCAAGGTAGATTTCATAATAATACGTTGAAATCTATCTTTTTTTTAATTTCAAATTTGCAACCTGGAAGTTTTTTAATTTTTTAGCCTTAGTTGCAAAATCAAATATACGACGCACGAGCGTGATATAGTTATATATTATTACATATTCGGACACCTTATGAAAAGAGCTTTAAGTTAAAGAAAAAAATTGTCAAGATTCGTTGAAAAACAACGGAGTTACAGACTGTCAAAGTTGACAGCCGATTGTTAAACAAATTAGGTTGATAGCGGCAAAAAAAATACTGTCTTAACCGGCAACCCGAGTATTTTCCCAGGTAAATATATTTTATTTGTGGAAGTATGTTAAGTGCATAAGAAATATTGTCCAGTCAGTGGGTCGCTTGATTTTCGGCGAGCCATGGCGCGGCGGAAGGGTGGGGGAAGCGAACGATAGCGAGTTCGAAGAAAATGACGATAATATTCATAGTCCTGCCGTTAAAAAAGCGAAATTCGCTTGAAAATAATATATTTTACAGTCTGTAACTCCGTTGTTTTTCAACGAATCTTGACGATTATTTCTTTTTTTAACTTAAAGCTCTTTTCATAAGCTTTCCGAATATGTAATAATATATAACTATATCACGCTCGTGCGTCGTATATTTCATTTTGCAACTAAGGCTAACAAATTTAAAAAATTCCAGGTTGCAAATTTGAAATTTAAAAAAAATGATAGATTTCAATGTATTATTATAATGAAAAAAATCAGTGCAATTGTGGAAGATCCTCGAGATCGTCCAGACTAATAATTAGTTAATTTGTTTATAAGGCCATTACTTGTAAACTATTCAACTTACCGATTCCAGATTTCGTGTGAGTTATTAGACAGTGATTAGGAATGAGAGGATGCGATGCCACAACATTCTGGTAATAATAACGCAGTTTATAAATGTTTAATTCAAAAGTCATAAATAACTTCTTCTGTTTATAACTTTTGATCTAATCAATATTTTTTTACGTTTGGGGGCTAGTTTTGTAGGTCTTTTGAAGACGAAAAAAACTACTGTTTTCTCGTGGAAATGAACGAAAAAAAGTTATAAGTGAAAAATGTGAATTTACGTAAAAATTATCTTCCCCCCAGTATTATGACTTGAAACGAATATGTTATTGTACATAATATTTAGCATCTATAGTGATAAATTCAACTTGCCGAAACAAAAAGTCGCGAAATGGTCATTTTCCAGCTTATTTTCCTGGCCTAAATAGAGAGACGG